TCAAGAAACTGCAGTCCGTGATCTAAGAATCCAAACCATTCCTGTTTGCACCATTTGCGAAGCCAGCTGTTCACTTCCACTATTTTCCCCTCTCTCCCTGGGCCACGTCGTTCAACTGGGAGGACAGATGAGATGACAATTTGTGCATTTAATTGCTTCAATTTCCTGCCCAGAGCCTCGTAGTCTCTTTTGATCTTCTGGAGGCTATTGCTTGCAGTGTCATTGGTTCCCACATGAACCAAGAGGAAGGGGTATTTGTCAGTGGGTTTTATGATTCCTTGCAGTCGTTCAGTTACATCTTGGATCTTAGCCCCGGGGAGACAGCACACTTCCCGAGACATCTTGTCAGGCCCACAGATCACTGCTTCTGTTCCCCTCAGTAGGGAATCCCCTATCACCACTACACGCCTCCTCTTAGGTTTGGTGTATAACCCATGAAGATCTGGGTTATAGGCCACAGCATTGTCCATTGGGCAGTGGATTATGCACAGTCTCAAAATCGTGGCCATAACCTTAACATCCACCCCAAGGTACGCTTTTGTTGGATGGCCCAGCGGGGCATGCGTTGGCGGAGCTTGATGCCCATGCTGCGTAGTGCCGCAGCGACCCATGGCCCTCCAAGGGTCTTGATTACACTGGTCAACAACAAATTTGTTGTCTGCGTTTTTTCAGCTGATTTAGGACAAATCTGATGCGCTGAATCCAAAAATCACATTGGTTTTGCTCAGTCAGGTCAAGTTTTTGAGTTATGGCCACATGTCATTTTTTTACATTTTTATTCACATGTACGCTTGTGTGGAGCATTTTAGAAGAAGTTGGTGGGGGTAAAATGCCATGCCGAAGAATTTTGATTGGAAATGATTATTTTAATGACAAGAAGTATTCAGGTTCGATAGTTCTGGGTGATTATGTCAAAAAGGGATCAGTTTGAAGCCATAAAACCTCGAAATCTTCCATAAATTGGTGCGGCAAAGCATAAAGTTGGGGGATCAAAACCCCTGGCTCACTCGAGTACACTGAAGGAGAACTATGAAGGGGTGAAGTATGTGCTGGAGAAAATTGGTTATGATCAGCATGATCAGCCTAGCTTCCTTCCGGGCTTGAGAATCTCCGCAGCCAGTTATTTCCTCCCAGCCTAACCTGCCTTGCACCCTACAGTTGTGCTGTGCTTGCCTGTGCTTTTGCTGGTTTTGTAAACTGCTTTGAGTTTTTTTGTTCTACAATCAAGCAACACATACTTTTCATGAAATAGTGAAATGGAAACATGGCCACCTGCCCAACCTGAGGAGGTGTGTGCAGATCAGGAAATCTCCAAAAACAGATTGGGTTTTCGTTGGAAGGGGACAACACCTGCTTCTGGTGCTCGTGAGCAACAGTGAGCGAGTGTCAGTTGCAATCAAAGTGTACTTCCTGCATTGCAGGGGGTGGGCTGGATGACCCTTGGGGATCTCTGAAGCCTACAATTCTCTAGAATCTGAGGCAAACTGACAGAGTGTTTAGCTTGGGTGTTGGTGCCAAATGAAGGCCTTTCTGTGGCAAATAGCCTGGATTGGCATAGATTTTTTCTTTGGGCCTTTCCCTGAACCCATAAATTTGGGACTTGCTTCCAGAAAAATGTGCAGGACAGACCTGCAGCCATTCCATGTAAAGACAAAAGACAAAAAAAAAAAAGACCTCTATGCTGACTTGCCCGTTTCAGGATAGTTTCACCCAGGTTCCAAAATGTCACATTGATCTCAACAAAATTCATTTCAAGTTAGTGTGCATATAGCCATAGCCTTGTATTATTGTTAAGTTTGCTTCAGATGATTCACTTGGTTTCACTTCTGCCCTGTGTGTTTGCCAAAGGACTGGCAGTGGACTTTTTTGCCTGTTCTTAAAGACCACAGAGAGAGCGACCTGCGTAGGGGAAACTTCTGCACCAAACACATCAGCGAACCCAATGCACCCAGGTATCTCTCCTCGTGTGAGATAGAGAGTGGTTGCCAGTCAGTGCAGAGCAGCCTTTCTCCACCTTGGGTCACCCAATGTTGTGGGAATACAAGGCCCATCATCCCTGACCACTGGTCCTGCTAATGAGGTCCTGACCACTGGTGGCTTGGGCATGCTGCAGGCCCCGTGGTGAGTGCCGCCCAGCATTTTGTCACCCTCCTCAGTGGTGACGCCCAGGGTGGCACCCACCCACCGCACCCCCTTCCTCTGCCCTTGCCTGCAGAGACAATGGAATGCATCCCTCCTGTCATAACCCTGTTTTTATCAAGGGACAGAGTTAAGAGCTTTCAGCAGCAGTAGCCACCTCCAAGGATGCTGTGTTTTGATAATCAGTTGGTGTTTGTTTCAGGCTGCTTTGGGCACCATTCAGTCCAGTGACATAGTGTCACACACACACTCAACTAAACTTGCCATTTGTGGGCACTCTCAGTTGGCATCTCTGTGGTTGGCAATGATGGGAAAACAGAACTGAGATGTCTGTAAGAAGCTGGTGAGGTGGGCAAGGGGGCTTGGCTTAGCTCAGGCAAGGGACTGTTGGATGGCTTCCTTAAGTACAACTGATAGCCAGTTTGGATGAAGAGCAAAGAACTGAAGAGGTTGTGCCTCAACCTACCAGGCACTTTCTTGGCAGAAACAGTGACGTCGCAGAGGGGTGTGTGAAATGGGTACCTTAGGGGGTATGGAAATCAGCAGGTCTGCAACTTACATCTGTTGGAGGGGTCGGGCCTCTGAGCACCCCAAGTGCCTCACTTCACAAACAAGCAGACTTCAGAGCCAGCTCCAGGTGGATGCTGGTGTGGTAGGTTCTTTCATGGAGCTTTGACTGTGTTAGGCCATGGAAGGCTGGGATGCCAACGAAATTGCTCCATGGAGTAAATATTGTGGGAGTTTAGAAATCAAATCTAAAAATGCATATTCTTACGAGTAAGCAAGTGTGGGGATTAAAATCACAGAGCAGTATTGCTGTTAGGTGGACTCAGATAAATGCAATTGGTAGAGAAGGGTCTGTGTTATTTCATTTCCCCTCCTCTCTTGGTAGGGAAGAAAAGAAGTATTTTCTGTTCCTTCTCTCTCTCTCTCTCCAACCAGCCGATGGGAGAAGACTTGTATCTGCTTGCTCCAGCATCAGGCTCATGCCTGAGGCTGCTTTCACTGCAAATACAAGTATTTTACCTGCATTTATTTTTACTGCTGTTGTTGCTAAGGACAGGTGCTTGACTGTGAGTAAACTATATGTTTTAAGCATACTTTCCAGTCGGCCTGTTTCTATAATAAATGGGGTAACAGAAGGGGGAGATCAGCCTAAAGGCTTTTGTTTTTACTGTTTAAGATGCTCAGCACTGTGCTTCTAAACACAAGCGATAAGCTGATGTTTTGTCTGACACCGGCCAACAGACAAAACAAACCCGGCTGTGGAGGATAAAATATAGTTAACATATTCCCACACCTACATGGTAAAACCTAACCAACATCTACCATAATCAAGCCATTCCAGGAGGTGTGCCGGAAGCTGAGGAGGGAGGGAGCAAATCATTCGATTCTGCTCCCTTGCCTCAGCCATGACCCCTCTGGTGGTGGGCAGACTGCGGGGTAGACTTCCTAGAACGACTAAACAACAACGTCTGGCCAGTAGCTACTAGCCTGCCTATGGAGCGTGCTTGTGCTTGTGAGTGATTTGGTTGGAGACAGCTCTAGTCTGAAGGGAAGCATTCATCTATGGTGTGTGTGGATGCACATAATTAGACCACGTTACTGAACTCAAAGTAGGTAAAACCTAACCAACATCTATCATAATGTGAAATCAAGCCATTCCAGGAGGTGTGCCAGAATCTGAGGAAGGCAGCAAATCATACGATTCTGCTCCCTTGCCTCAGCCATGACCCCTCTGGTGGTGGGCACCCTAACCCACTGCTCTAACCCTAACCCAGCCCTAACCCTGCTCTAACCCTAACCCCTTAACCCCTCACCCTAACCTAACCTCTAACCTAACCTAACCCAACCCTTAACCCTAACTCCTACCCTCACCCTAACCCCCTTATCCCTAAACTCTAGCCCTGCCCCTAACCCTAATCTATACCTGCGCCAAAGATCAAATCCAGTGTGTGGCCTGCTTGACGTGTGTGGCCCAAAACAAACTGGGAGAGCCCTAGTATAATGGCTTGGCTCTCCCACAAAAGCGAGACACCGGCAGTAATTATCTCAGGTTTATTGCTCAAACACATAAATCACTCCGGAGCTCCTTCTATCTGACTCCAAGTTTGCAGTTGCCGAGTCTAAACTCCGCCCTTCCTCTTCTTCCAATAGGGGAAAAAACCCTTTCGCTTCCGCTCTTTTCCCCTCCTCTCACTGACCTCTTTGCACCTTTGAGTTTTTGGGCTATCTATTCCCGGCCTCTCCCCTTCTGTCTCTGAGCTAAGATTGGTATTTGGATCTTTGCTATCTGCTGCCTGCTCTCTGTTCTCTGAAGCTATGCCACTCGCCTGCCCCTCCTCCCTCTCACATTCCAGTGTCCTTATCTCTCTTTGCCTCCTGTGATTCCCAGCCTCTGAAGGAAGCTGACGCCGTGGCGGACACAAAACCAGTAGGTTAGGGAACTCCAAGGCCCAGCCTGCCACCACCTCCAGCAAGCCTGACAGGGTGGCTGCCAGTGCTCTATACACCAGCCAGCCAGCCATGCTCTCCTTGGTGCCCCACACCAGGCCAACACATTCAATGTCGGAGATCTATGGCTCTGGCAGAACCCTGAAAGAGCAATCCTCCTGGATTAACGACGACACCCCTCCCCCCAACCCACAGTCCGTGATTGAACTACGCTCTATTCTGGTCTTGCTTTCAAATGTGAACTGTTGACAGTGCAAAAAGATATAATTGCAACTGTTCACTTTGCAAAGGAAACCATCATTTATATTTACCATCTTTTTCCATGTGTTAGTCAATGTTTTTTGCTTTAAAAAACTTACTCAAAAATTGAGGTTTCTCTTATACACGGATGGTGAACCCCAAATTAAGAAATCAAATTTTTAAACATCAAACAAAACTTTGATATTTTCTTAAATATTCAAAACACTGGTATTTTTAGTATTGTATATTTAAACATCACCAGCAGTGAGCTTTTTTTAGGTGATTGCAAGCTCACCTCCTCCCCCCTCCGTCCGCCGCCACTGCGCCAAGCCCACCCGTGCCTGAACCCGAGCCCGAGCCATTATACCTTCTATTTATATATGACTGAGTTGGGGGGGTCATTCATCCAGAAGCAGGGAAAAGATTCCAGAACAATCATATATAAGTGGGATTGGCACTCTGAGCATGCGCAGCTTCAGCTGGAAGTGCTGATAAAAGTAGAACTTTTGTTTTTTCCTTTTGCAAACAACTGACCAACAAATGCTGTCTACAAACTGTTGTGTCATGACTGCCTATAGACTGTGTCTGCCTGCATCTCGCTGCTAAAAAGAAAGAGTGAGACTTAAGTATGACGTTACAGCTCTTGCTATAATGATTGTAAATAGTGTTACCGTGAAGCATTTATGACCAGTCAAGCAATAAAACACTTGACTGAGTTTTATGGTGTCTGTGAATGTTTCTTCTCAAAGTGTAGCTTCAACTGCTGACGACTGCTTCCAGAAACTCAGCAGAAGGACTGAAAGCTGCTAACAAGGTGCCTACACATAAGTATACTGTCAGGGAACTGCCATCGGAAGGAAGGGAGGTGAAAGGACTCAGACAGGTTGGAAGAGATTCAGCAGCTGAAGAGGGAACCAGCAAGGGGAGAGAAGCTGAACTGAGGGAGGTGAAAGGGCTCAGACAGGTTGGAAGAGACTCAGCAGCGGAACAGGAAACCAGTAGGGGGGGAGAAGCTGAACTGAGGGAAAGGGAGCTGGGGGGATGGCTCAGAGATACTTCCAGCGAAAACAGTGGTGAGGTTTCCGGACCTCCTGTAGCGACACCCACTCCTCGCCGGAAACTGTCACGCAGAGAGTCCAGAAGACGTGTTTCCGTTAAGGAGCTTTTATGTTGGAAGCGATTACGAAAGCAACCACTGTCGGAATCTTCTAGTGACTAGAGGAGCCATGTCAGAGGGGCTCAGTCACAGACAGAGGTTTGTGGACTTGAACAAACTCTGAGGGAATACGATTTTACGCACAAGCAGCTCATAATCCCATCACAGCATTCCGACAGTCTTTGAACGCAGCTTGTGCAGGAGAAGGCATAATGAGCAACCCAGCAGGAACCGGAGAAGCAGGGGCTGGAGCGGGTCCAAGCCTGGAAGAAAGGTACCGGGTGTTGGAGGTCCAGCTGGCGCTGCAGACGGCGAGGCTGGAGGAGAGGAGGGCGCAAGATGCAGACAAAGGGAGAAAGCCACCCAGCTCGCCAGAAAGGTACCAGGATTGGTGCAGAAATTTGGGGGGGAGCCCAAAGACTATCATAGCTTTCGGACAGAAATGCAATATGCCCTCAATCTGCAGTTTGATGATTTCCTGATGAGGAATCACGAGTGGCTTTTGTGATTGGGCATCTTGAAAAGGGGGCGAGAGACTGGGTGAGACCCCTGATGGCAGCGCATAGTGACGTCCTAAAGGACACAATGAAGTTCTTTCGCGCCATGGATTTGATGTTTTCCAGCGATATTGAAAAGGGAGTGGTGCGCAGACAGTTAATGGCTTGCAAACAGGGGAGCCGATCTGTACGTGAGTACTGGACTGAGTTCACCATGCTGATACACAGATTGGGGTGGGACTTATCGGCGGAACCCATTCAAATGCTCTTTGAAGAAGGGCTTTCTTCGGCTGTGAAAGATGAACTTTCCCGGGCGCCCAGGGCGGAGTCTATGGACCAGCTGACCAAATCAGCGCTGGCCATAGGAGCGCGCCAGGAGGCGAGAGCATTGGAGAGGCGGGAAGGGAAAGGGGAACGTTGGAAGGAGTTCCGCATTCCAGACATTCCAGAGCCAACTGTCCCGCCGGCAGAGCCGATGGAAATCGGAACAGCGCGCGCGCGCAGTTTCAAAGCCCAGTGAGGGGGAAAGAAGGATGGAAAAGGCGCCCGGAAATGCTATCTCTGCCAACAGCCAGGGCACTTTGCCAGAGTCTGCCCCCAGAGGAAGGAATGGCAAGGGATGGTGGGAGCTGTGGAGGGAAGAGAGGAAAAATACCGGAGCAACTAAAAGCCAACGCCTGGCTGCCATTGTCGGGGCACAGCAGCCAGGCCAAAGAGCAGTGAAAGTGCCCACTCCAGAACCTCCTAAACCCGCCCTAGTGATAGAAGTGACACTAGAGCTGCCAAACGGACACCCTCTAAAGATTAAGGCGCTGTTGGACTCAGGCAGCTCCTGCAATTTCATGAGCAAAGAGTTTGCAGCTGAACACCAGATACAGACGCTCCCTTTAAGCAACCCCTGCAGGTAACCACGATCGATGGCAGGGAGCTGTTGGGAGGAGAAGTCAGCTTGCAGACCGTCCCAATGATAATGAAGGTGGCAAGGCACACCGAACTAATAGCATTTAATGTGGCCACCTTGGGAGGAGCTCCCATTATATTGGGGATGAGCTGGCTAGCGTTACATGATCCGCTGGTGGGCTGGCATCAAAGAGTGGTTTCTTTTGGGTCAGCACATTGCTTAGAACATTGCAAAGAGGGAAGGGTTTTGGCAGGGGCCCAAGCCACTCTAGCAGGGACTGAAGTGACGGAGAACGTGAAGGTACCACGACAATACGCAGATCTCCGCGACGTTTTCAGCGAAAGGGAAGCTGACCAACTACCACCGCATAGAGCCTTTGACTGTCAAATCAATTTGCTCCCTGGGGCACAGCTCCCTGTAGGCAAGCTGTACGCCATGTCAGACAGAGAGATGCAGGAGCTAAGAGAGTTCATTGACAAGAACCTGAAGAGAGGGTTCATCAGAGAGTCCAGGGCGGTGGGGGGCAGCCCAGTGTTTTTGTGGACAAAAACACGAACAAGCCGAGACTGGTGTGTGACTTCAGGGCCTTAAATGCAGTGTCAGAACCAGTGGCCTTCCCGATGCCCAGGATTGACGACATTTTGACAAGGGTGCGGAAGGGAAAGATTTTTACCAAGCTGGATCTAAGGGGGGCGTACAACCTGATACGAATAAGGAAGGGGGATGAATGGAAAACCACCATGTTCACCCCTTTAGGGGCATTTGAATACTTAGTTATGCCCTTCGGTCTACAAGCAGGCTCCGCAACATTTCAATCGTTTATGAACCACGTCCTGGGGCCGTTGCTTTACAAGAATTGTGTGGCCTTCTTAGACGACGTGTTGGTGTATTCTGAGAATGAGGAGCAGCATGTGAGAGACGTCAGAGAAGTGTTGAGCAGGCTGCAAGCCAACCAGCTGTGGGTGAAACTGGAGAAGTGTCAGTTTCATACCAAGGAGGTGGAATTCCTGGGGTATCGCCTGTCTGACAAGGGGTTGGCCATGGATCCCGACAAGGTCCAGGCGGTACTGGAATGGAAAACACCCAAAACAAGGAAGGATGTGCAGAGGTTTTTAGGGTTTGGGAACTTCTATCGTAAGTTCATCCCAAACTTTGCCCACCTGACGGCGCCCATTACGGACTGTCTCAGCAGTAAGAAGAAGTTCGTTTGGACGGAGGAGGCGGAGCAAGCATTTGAGGAACTAAAAGGGCCTTCGCCTCGGAACAACAGCTCCTGCATGTGGATTTACAAAACCGATGAGAGTGGAAACTGACGCATCAGACAGAGCGGTTGGGGCGGTGCTTCTCCAGCCAGGGAAGGAGGAGTCAGATTGGAGACCGTGTGCTTTTATTCGCGAAAGCTGAACAAATCCGAGAGGAACTACACGGTGTATGACCGAGAACTACTAGCCATTCATGAGGCGTTCCGGAGATGGAGGCACCTGCTAATTGGCGCACAACATAAGGTGCAAGTGTGCACTGACCACAAGAACCTAGAGTATTGGAGGACGGCACGAGTGCTCAACCAACGGCAAGTGAGATGGGCCCAGGAATTCTCCAAATTTAACTTTGAGATTTGTTACGTGCCAGGCCCAGAGAACATTAGGGCGGACGCTCTCTCACGCAAACCTGAATATTGGGAGGGGGAGGGAGCACCCGAAGAGAGACATGTCATTCCAGAGGACCGCTGGGTGTGTGGGGCGGCATTGGTGGGACAAAGAGAACTGGTAGAAGAAACAGAGAATGATGAATACGCCCAGAATAAGCTCAGAGGTCTTAGGGATGAGGGAGAGGAATCAAGGGGTTTCGAGGAAAGAAATGGAGCTTTGTATTACAAAGGGGCACTGTATATCCCTGAAGGAGACTTAAGGGGAGGGTACTCAAGCAGTTGCATGACAGCCCCACGGCGGGCATTTTGGGCAACACAAAACCATGTGGTTGGTCACCAGGGAATTTTGGTGGCCTAAGGTGAGGGAGGATGTACGTGAGTATGTAAGAGGGTGCGAGCAGTGCCAGCGAGCCAAAGGGGAAAGGCGGGCGCCGGCGGGGCTATTAGAACCCTTACCAACACCAGAACGACCTTGGGAGGCAGTGTCGATAGATTTTATGACTGATCTGCCGAAGTCCAAAGGGAAAACAGCCATCATGGTGGTGGTAGACCTACTAACAAAGATGTGCCACTTTGTAGCTTGCTCGCATGCAGTCACGGCGGAAGAGACAGCGAAGTTATTTGTAGAACACATTTTTAGGTTGCACGGGGTGCCATTGAGGGTGGTCTCAGACCGAGGAAAACAATTTACTTCCAGGTTCTGGAGGAAGCTCATGAGCTTACTGCAGGTGGAGGTCAACTTTTCGACTGCCCGGCACCCTGAAACCAACGGGCAGGCGGAAAGAGCAAACGGTGTCCTCCAGCAATACCTGAGGTGTTATGTCAATGACAGAGAGAATGACTGGGTAGAAAAGTTGGCGCTGGCGGAATTTGCCTACAACAATGCCGAGAATGTGTCCACAGGGATGAGCCCCTTCTTGGCTAATTATGGGTGTCATCCCAGGGCTTTCCCAGGGGAGAAGGGGAGAGATGGAGCGCACCGGCAGCCGAGCATTTTGTAGAAGAAATGGAAGCAATCCACCGTCAGCTCCAACTCAACTTAGAAAGGGCGAAGGAAGAATACAAGAGGCAGGCAGACAAGAACCGAAGGGAAGGTGAAACCATAAGGGTTGGAGATAGGGTGTGGCTGTCAACCCGAGGGTTGCCGTTCAAAGGAGGTTGTAAGAAATTACGACCCAGGAGGTTGGGTCCCTTTGAGGTCATTCAACAGGTCAACCCAGTGGCTTTCAGGCTCCGGTTACCCAACCACATGAAACTGCACCCAGTATTTCACAGGTCGTTACTGTCACCGTACGAGGGGGGACGAGAAGGGATGGCCACTCGGGACCGGTCATAGAAGAAAGAGAATGCAGCAGTCATGTGGCAGAAATCCTTGATGCCAGGTGGAAGGGGAATCAGGTGGAGTATTTGGTAGCGTGGGAAGGAGAACCGGAGTCAGAAAACACGTGGGTAATGGCCAAAGATATCAATGACGAGGTATTGATAGAAATGTTCCATCAAAGGTTCCCGCGGAAACCTCAGCCTGTGGAGAGGTTCCGGAGGGAATACTTTGGGACCACTGAGGAGGAGGAGGAGTTGGAAGGATTCCCAGAATCGGAAGGGGAAGGGGAGATGGACTCGGAGGAGGAGGAGTGCTTCGAGACCAGGAACCGCAACAGGTGGAGAGAAGTGTTCGAGACATCGGAAGATGAAGGAAGTTCATTCCGGGTTTTGCCTCCTCACCGCCCGTAGAGGAGGGGGCGAGAGGGGGTGAAGGGGGCCCTGGAGGGGAGGTGGATGTCAGGGAACTGCCATCGGAAGGAAGGGAGGTGAAAGGACTCAGACAGGTTGGAAGAGATTCAGCAGCTGAAGAGGGAACCAGCAAGGGGAGAGAAGCTGAACTGAGGGAGGTGAAAGGGCTCAGACAGGTTGGAAGAGACTCAGCAGCGGAACAGGAAACCAGTAGGGGAGAGAAGCTGAACTGAGGGAAAGGGAGCTGGGGGATGGCTCAGAGATACTTCCAGCGAAAACAGTGGTGAGGTTTCCGGACCTCCTGTAGCGACACCCACTCCTCGCCGGAAACTGTCACGCAGAGAGTCCAGAAGACGTGTTTCCGTTAAGGAGCTTTTATGTTGGAAGCGATTACGAAAGCAACCACTGTCGGAATCTTCTAGTGACTAGAGGAGCCATGTCAGAGGGGCTCAGTCACAGACAGAGGTTTGTGGACTTGAACAAACTCTGAGGGAATACGATTTTACGCACAAGCAGCTCATAATCCCATCACATATACTCATGCAGCAGAAGTGTGATGGACTGTGACCTTTAACACTCCTTGGAGGAAAAGGAGGTATAAAAAGGCAATAAATGAATTTTAATAAGGACAAATGTAAGGTTCTGCACTAACACAGGAATAATCAGCTGCACATATATACAATGGGTAATACTTGGCTTGACACGAGTCAGCAGTGTGATGCTGCAGTCAAAAAGGCTAATGTCTGCATCAACTGAAGTATAGTGTTCAGTTCAAGGTCAGACTAGTCCTTGGACAGACTACACCTGGAATACTGTGTCCAGTTATGTGCAGAGGAGGGTGGTTAAGATGATCAAGGGTCTGGAAAACAAGCCTTGTGAGGAATCGTTTAGGGAACTGGCTGTGTTTAGCCTCGAAAAGAGGAGGCTGAGATGGTGGAAATAGCTCAAGGAAGAGCTTTCTGGTGGTAGAAGCTGTTAAACAGTGAAATGGACTCCCTCAGAGGGTGGTGGGTGCTCCTTCATTGAAGGATTTTAAGCAGAGGCTGGGTGGTCATGTCATGGATGCTTCAGCCGAGATTCTTACATTGCAGGAGGTTGAACTAGATTAACCTTAGGGTCCCTTCCAATGCTACAATTCTATGATTCTCCCCACGGTGAATTATTTAATGGGACGTGAGCTTGGTGCTCTTACTGAAGTTCTTTCCACATTCCAAGCACTGATATGGTTTCTCCCCTGTATGAATTCTTCAATGGACCACGAGATTCCCCTTGGAATTGAAGCTGTTTCCACATCACAAGCATTTTAATGGTTTCACCCCTGTATGAATTCTTTCATGTGAAGTGAGACTTCCTTTCCAGGTGAATCTCTTTCCACATTCCAAGCACTGATATGGTTTCTCCCTGCTGTGAGTTTTTTGATGGGAAGTGCGATGGGAATTTCGACTGAATCTCTTTCCACATTCCAAACATTGATATGGTTTTTCCCCTGTATGAATTCTTTGATGGGAAGTGAGATTTTCCTTTTGGTTGAATCTCTTTCCACATTCCAAGCACTGATATGGTTTCTCCCCTGTATGAATTCTTTGATGGGAAGTGAGAGTCCCCTTGGAATTGAAGCTGTTTCCACATTCAACACACTGATATGGTTTCTCCCCAGTGTGAATTCTTTGATGGGCCGTGAGATGGGCCCTCTTACTGAAGCTCTTTCCACATTCCAAGCATTGATATGGTTTCTCCCCTGTATGAATTCTTTGATGGGAAATGAGATGGGTGTTCTGACTGAAGCTCTTTTCACATTCCAAACATTGATATGGTTTCTCCCCTGTATGAATTCTTTGATGGGAAGTGACACTTTCTTTCCGACTAAAGCTCTTTCCACATACCAAGCACTGATAGGGTTTCTCTCCGCTGTGAATTCTTTGATGGGAAATGAGATTATCCTTCCGAATGAAGCTCTTTCCGCATTCCAAGCACTGATATGGCTCTTCCCCTCTGTGAATTCTTTCATGTGATGTGAGATGGGAGTTCCGACTGAAGCTCTTTCCACATTCCAAACATTGATATGGTTTTTCCCCTGTATGAATTATTTGATGGGAAGTGAGACTTACTTTCCAGGCGAAGCTCTCTCCACATTCTAAGCACTGATATGGTTTCTTCCCTGTATGAATTCTTTGATGGGAAGTGAGACCTTCCTTCTGGGTGAATCTCTTTCCACATTCCAAACACTGATACGGTTTCTCCCCTGTATGAATTCTTTGATGGGAAGTAAGATTTACCTTCCAAGTGAAGCTCTTTCCACATTCTAAGCATTGATATGGTTTCTCCCCTGTATGAATTCTTTGATGGGAAATGAGGCTTTCCTTGCAGGTGAAACTCTTTCCACATTCAAAGCACTGATAGGGATTCTCTCCACTGTGAGTTCTTTGATGGGAAGTGAATGGGCCCTTCTGACTGAAGCTCTTTCCACATTCAGTGCACTGATACGGTTTCTCACCACTGTGAGTTCTTTGATGGGAAGTGAGATGGAAGTTCCGACTAAAGCGCTTTCCACATTCCAAGCACTGATATGGTTTCTCCCCTGTATGAATTATTTGATGGGAAGTGAGACTTGCCTTCCAGGTGAAGCTCTTTCCACATTCCAAGCAATGATATGGTCTCTCCCCGCTGTGAGTTCTTTGATGGGAAATGAAATAGGAGCTTTGACTGAAGCTTTTTCCACATTCCAAGCACTGATATGCTTTTTTCCTGCTATGAGTTTTTTGATGGGAAGTGAGACTCCTCTTGGAATTGAAGCTCTTTCCACATTTCAAGCACTGACAGAGTTTCTTCTCAATGGGATTTTTTTGATGGGAAGAGGAATGGAAGCTCTGACTGAAGCTTTCTCCACACACCGTATAGTTATATGGCTTCTCCACTGTGTGGATTTTGCAGTGGTCTCTCTTGTTCTTAATTTCCAATTCATCAGCACCTGCGACAATAAGAGAAATGGATTAGAGCCTTAGCAAGAAACTGAGCCCGATTATTGGACAATGATAATCAATGCTTGTGAGAGATAGAAAAAAGAAAGGAGTTAGACAATTATTTATTCATTCATTTATTTATAATAATTAGTATTAATAATGATAATAATAATAATAATAATAATACCCTGCCCATCTGGCTGGGTTTCACCAGCCACCCTGGACGGCTTCCAACAAAATATTAAAATACAATAATGTGTCCAACATTAAAAGCTTCCCTAAACAGGGGTGCCTTCAGATGTCTTCTAAAAGTCTGGTAGTTGTTTTTCTCTTTGACAACTGGTGGGAGGGTGTTCCACAGGGCAGGTGCCACTACCGAGAAGGCCCTCTGCCTGGTTCTCTGTAACTTGGCTTCTTTCAGTGAAGGAACCTCCAGAAGGCCCTCTGCACTGGACCTCAGTGTCCAGGCAGAATGATGGGGGTGGAGACACTCCTTCAGGTATACTGGACCGAGGTTCTGATTTGAAAGAGAGGTAGAGCTGGATATTATATGCATACTGATGAACACCCAGGTCTTACTACAAGGTTCAGTGTCTTTGTATTAACTGACATATTTATAGGAACCTGAGATCAATAAAGCCTGATTCTTTTCTGGGATGGATTTTGCTTTGCCCAATCATGGACTCTTCTCCATCTCCAATGTTAGTTTTCTCTTGAGTCAACCAAAAACCCTGACAGAAGCTGTTTCAACTTTCCTAACAGCTCCGAAGCCTAACTGGAGGGAGAATATGCACAGACAAAACAGTTGATAGTCCTCCATTGGGGAGTTAGAATCCTTGATGCTGCAGATGGTGCTGTTGAGCTCCATCCAATTACTGGAGGTTTGTCACAATACTCAATATCAAAACAGAAATTATGAAGCAAGAGGGAGTCTTACTGAGAGAGTCCATGACCTCACGATTCTCCTCCATGACTTCCTTATGCAGAGTTCTCTGGTCAGGATCCAGCAACACCCATTCCTCATCTGTGAAATGAACAGCAACATCTTCAAAGCACACTGGACCCTAAAAGAAAAAGGTTGTCCTCTTAGACAGCATGAAGAATATAAACTGTACACTGCTCTGCTATTTTCTGCCTGTGAATTGCTGCGTTGTTTTAATTGGATGGGTTTGCTGCACATTTCAATTATGTGAGCTTGTTTTAACATTTTAATGGAATTTTTGTTGTGTATTTTAATGATGGGTATTAATTTTGTGTAATAGGGTGGAACTTCAAATCCTTCTGTCTGTGCAAGCATTCCAGCTTGCCAGATGGAAAGATCCCCACTCCACTCCCCAATGCGCTGTTCTTGGTGGGGGGGGGCTCCCAATGCCCTAAAGCCAATTGCAAGGGGTGCATGGGGGCACAAGGAGTGGGAGGAAAGGGAGCTGAGCCCCATTGTGCAACTGATGTGGCTGGCTAGAGGACTCCTGGCCACTGCTTAGAAGCCTGTCTTAGCATTCAACAATAAATATATAAATAAAAGTGCAACAACATACCATATTTTTCGCTCCATAAGACGCACTTTTTTCCTCTTAAAAACTAAGGGGAAATGTCTGTGCATCTTATGGAGCGAATGTGTGGTTCCTGGGGCTGGGGGGGGGGCGGGAACCCGGGCTTCCCCTACCAGCCCCGCAAGCTCCGGGAGCGTAGGCAAGGCTGCGCACAACCTTGCCACCGCTCCCTGACCTGTTCTGGGGGCTGGGGTCGGGGGAAGCTCGGGCTTCCCCCGCCCCAGCCCCATGGCTAAAAACGAAGCCAAGGCAGCGCACAATCTCTCCAGCCAGGAGAGGTTGCGCACGGCTAAAAACGAAGCCAAGACAGTGAACCCGGGCTTCACCTGACAGCTCCAGAAGCCTGTCCACTGCTCTTTGGGGCTGGGGTGGGGAATAAGATTCCCCCCCCCCAAAAAAAAACTAGGTGCGTCTTATGGTCCAGTGCGCCCTACGGAGCGAAAAATACGGTAAATAATACTAGCAACACTCAAAAACCTAGTTAAGGAGAGGTGGCTGTTGATTATTCACAGCACACAAATCTTCTGGAATGGCATGTTCAGACTTTGTTAAGGGCAGTTTCACAGCAGCAAGAGGAGGGGGAGAGATTCATTTGGGCCCGGAGGCACCCAGGCAGCCCCACCCCTCAGCCTCTTTCCCCACAAGGCGTCTTCCTCCTACTTGATCTGGTTCCACAGCCGCTGCTTCCCCTCCAGCACCATGAAAAGATGGAGGAGCATGTCTTGATGGCATCATTTGGTCACCTGTAAGTAAGAAGGCAAGTAGGAAGACACAGGTGCATGCTTCTCTCAGAGGCTAAGCAGCACGGCTCTAACTTCAGATGGGCCTTACATAAAGTCTTGCCTGCTGAGTGCATTTGGATGTTTGTACTCATTTCACATTTTCATGCTACAAAAATGGATCTCCTCTCCTTGGGACTCAGCTACACAGCCACAAATAAAAGGCTTTAAGTGTGTTTTCAGTGCAATATGCAATGTGACACTAAATGACGGTGGTGAGCCTTATGGAAATTCCAATGTATTTTTTAAAAAGCATTTTCAGAACAGTTTTTATGTGTGTGTAGACTCCATCTTGGGCCCAAATGTCTTCCTCAAAAGAATTCAAAGAACCCATTATATTAGTTTCAAAATCAATAGCATGTGCCAAAATGTAGAAAGAACTCATCAATCCTTACCCAACAGCCTCTCTCTGGTTTCCAACAGAGTCCTCTCTGAGGAATCCAGGAAACTGTTTTCTGCAAACAGTTCCTTTCCCTGAAAGAGCAACAAGGATTTAAAACAGAGAAGTTGGAGAAGTACTGGAAAAGGAATGGCAGAGGCATTCCTTGGATGCTTTCCAAAAAAGGATGGGATTTAGGGATGTTCTCCCTCATGTTTGGAGCCCCTTAGGAGCATCCAGAGGAAAGCCTCTCTCACCTGCTGCTCTGCCTGCTTTCTCTCCTCTGCCAGACTCAGGAGAAAACCTTCAGCCAGGGCCACTGCCTGGGAACTGGTCTCTGCTCCACATTCCCTCACCCAGCACTCCATCTCCAGTGGAAGGACAGCCAGGAACTGCTCCATGATCACCAGGTCCAGCATCTGAAGTTTTGTATGCCTTTCTGGCTTCAGCCACTGACCATCAAGACGGTAAAATTGGTTGCAAACTTCTCGGGGTCCTTCAGTCTCCAGGGAACAGAGCTGCCTGAACTGCTGGCTCTGCACCTCTGAGCGGAGGGTGTCCTCCTCACCCAGGACCTTCTGCAGCGAGTTTCCCCAGAAACTCCCACTGCTCCCAGTTTTGATAGCATGTCCTCTTCCTGCTTCAGGGTCAGCTGAGTCTTGCTCATCCATATGTGCTCTCATGAAGCCTCCTGGAGATCCCTTTTTCTTCTGCCAAGTTCTGTCTGTCCCAATTAGAAGCACTAGCAAGTCCTACAAAGCAAGTGCATTGTTCTGTTATAAAATTGGTACACTGTCAGGAGAAGAAAAATGTTCCCTGAGTAAGCGTGGATGAGTCTTACTAGGAACCAGGGTTGGACTGCACCACAGCACAGACTCTGAGCTTTCTCTAAAAGAAAAAGGAAGACTTTAGCCCTCCTAGAAGTAATGTTGCCATACAAAATGTGCAGACAACTGAGGGCATTTCTGTGAGATGAATACCCCGCTTGTTCCTGCCTTTCAGTCAATGCATGAAGTCAGAACTGCGACTGATGAGTGAGTACCAAGTGCATTGTGGACACTAGGCTGTGGTGGGGGTCCTAAACCTGGGGTCCTCAAAAGCTGCTCTCTGTCCTGTCCTCCCCCGTTAAACACACATTTATTTCCTGTTTCTGTCTCATTTTCTAGCACTTGGAAACTCCAATGTTCTCAAAACATACTGCTGGTGTGGGGTCTCCCCTTTTTTGTTCTGAGGGCCAGATACTTACCTGGCCAACCCCCTGAGGATGACGGGGGTAAGTTCAAAGCACGTGGGGGTGGAGCCAAGGGACAGCGCTAAAAAGCAAGTAAAGAAAGACTCATCTTATTTCTGAGATCGTAAGTTGTTTTAAACGGTTTTAATGTGGTTTTTAATGTTGTAATCTGCCCTGGGAACTGAAGGTGAAGGGTGGATTAATAATGATGATGATGAAGATGATGATGATGGTGTGACATAGCTTAACCCACACACAGTCATATATGCCTGGGGGTCCTCCTGAATCCAGCATGGTCACTTGAGGCTCAGGTGGCCTCAGGGACTAGCAGTGCCCATTTCCAGCTCTGGGCTAGTTTGCCATCTCTGTCCCTTTGGGACTGTGACGAGGTGTCCCTTGTAATCCATGCTCTGAATCAGATTGAATTACTGCAATGCCCTCTGTGTGAAACTATCCTTGAAGAGAAGAAGAAGAAGAAAAAGAAAAAGAGGAGGAGGAGGAAGAAGTTTGGACTTGATATCCCACCTTTCACTCCCCTTAAGGAGTCTCAAAGCGGCTCACATTCTCCTTTCCCTTCCTCCCCCATAACAAACACTCTGTGAGGCTGAGAGACTTCAGAGAAGTGTGACTAGCCCAGCAGCTGCATGTGGAGGAGCGGAGACGCGAACCCAGTTCACCGGATTATGAGTCCACCACTCTTAACCACTACACCACGCTGTAGGAGGACTTGGAAGATGGTCCAAAATGCAGTGACCAGATTATTGGCTAGCTGGTGGGCTCGCTCTCTTTATTAACTGTATTTATATCCCACCTTTTTCTCCAAAAAGCTCTACTTGGCATACACCCCTCCTCATTTAATCCCCACAATGACCTTCTTTGCCTTTATTCTCCGATAAAGAAAACAATGCCCAACCTGAAGAATTTGGAGCAAATGATTCAGCAAAGGAAACACAGCCCAGAATAACTAAGGAGATAGTACAAGAATACTTGGCTAGTTTAGATGTATTCAAGTCTCCAGGGCCAGATGAACTGCATCCAAGAGTATTAAAAGAACTGGCAGATGTGATCTCAGAACCACTGGCAGTCATCTTTGAGAATTCCTGGAGAACAGGCGAAGTCCCGGCAGACTGGAGGAGGGCAAATGTTGTCCCTATTTTCAAAAAGGGGAAAAGAGAGGACCCAAATAATTACCGCCCAGTCAGTCTGACATCAATACCAGGGAAGATTCTGGAGCAGATCATTAAGCAAACAGTCTGTGAGCACCTAGAAAGGAATGCTGTGATCACCAACAGTCAGCATGGATTTCTGAAAAATAAGTCATGTCAGACTAACCTGATCTCGTTTTTGACAGAATTACAAGCCTGGTAGATGAAGGGAACACAGTGGATGTAGCCTACCTTGATTTCAGCAAGGCATTTGACAAGGTGCCTCATGATATTCTTGTAAAGAAGCTGGTAAAATGTGGTCTTGACTATGCTACCACTCAGTGGATTTGTAACTGGCTGACTGACCGAACCCAAAGGGTGCTCATCAATGGTTCCTCTTCATCCTGGAGAAGAGTGACTAGTGGGGTGCCACAGGGTTCTGTCTTGGGCCCGGTCTTATTCAACATCTTTATCAACGACTTGGATGATGGACTCAAGGGCATCCTGATCAAATTTGCAGATGACACCAAATTGGGAGGGGTGGCTAACACCCCAGAGGACAGGATCACACTTCAAAACGACCTTGACAGATTAGAGAACTGGGCCAAAACAAACAAGATGAATTTTAACAGGGAGAAATGTAAAGTATTGCACTTGGGCAAAAAAATGAGAGGCACAAATACAAGATGGGGGACACCTGGCTTGAGAGCAGTACATGTGAAAAGGATCTAGGAGTCTTGGTTGACCACAAACTTGACATGAGCCAACAGTGTGACGCGGCAGCTAAAAAGCCAATGCAATTCTGGGGTGCATCAATAGGAGTATAGCATTTAGATCAAGGGAAGTAATAGTGCCACTGTATTCTGCTCTGGTCAGACCTCACCTGGAGTACTGTGTCCAGTTCTGGGCACCACAGTTCAAGAAGGACATTGACAAACTGGAACGTGTCCAGAGGAGGGCAACCAAAATGGTCAAAGGCCTGGAAACGATGCCTTATGAGGAACGGCTAAGAGAGCTGGGCATGTTTAGCCTGGAGAAGAGGAGGTTAAGGGGTGATATGATAGCCATGTTCAAATATATAAAAGGATGTCACATAGAGGAGGGAGAAAGGTTGTTTTCTGCTGCTCCAGAGAAGCGGACACGGAGCAATGGATCCAAACTACAAGAAAGAAGATTCCACCTAAACATTAGGAAGAACTTCCTGACAGTAAGAGCTGTTCGACAGTGGAATTTGCTGCCAAGGAGTGTGGTGGAGTCGTCTCCTCTGGAGGTCTTTAAGCAGAGGCTTGACAACCATATGTCAGGAGTGCTCTGATGGTGTTTCCTGCTTGGCAGGGGGTTGGACTCGATGGCCCTTGTGGTCTCTTCCAACTCTATGATTCTATGATTCTACCTGAGAACACATTTACTTGCTTTTTAAAACTGCTGCATTGGTTGTGAGTTCATTTCTGAGCCCCATTCAAGGTGCTCACATTATCTGAAGAACCACCTCCTTCTCTAAAATTCCCATTGGATGTTTTTGGATTGGGAGAGGTCTTGGTAGTCTCACCACGCTCAGAGTTTTGGAAGGGGGATGTCCCAAGAGAGGCATTCCTTGGTTGGGGAATTCCCTCCCACAGAGGCACATCTGGCACCTTCCGCTATTCACCAAAGCCTCTGACACCGCAGACATGTGTTTACAGGACCACCCTATTCCTGTGACTGTATTTTGCTTCAACTCTGTTTAATGTTGATTTTAAAAATTGCTGTATCCCGCCCTGGATAATAAATGGAGTAGTAGTAAAAATAGTGATAACAATAACAAGAAGAACAGCAGTAACATACATCCTCAAGAAAGTGGGGAACTTGCCTGCTGGAATTTGCAGAGGTTTTGTTGCCCCTTGAGGTTACAAAAGAAAACACACACATCATCAGTATTTGGCTCAATCTGATTGATCTAAATTTAAATGTAAACATAAATCATCATCTTCACTTTGAGCCTCCCTCCCACAACTCATCAATAGACCAACATTTCCATTAAGAATCACAGATTTGTAGAGTTGGAAGGGACCATGAGGGCATCTAGCATTCTTCCATTTGCAACATGAAGGGGGGGGGGGGAGAGTTAACCTAAGAGCAACCACAAGCTTGCCTCTCTAGGAGTTTGGCTATGCTATGTTGCTTCTGTTTAAACCAATTCAGGAACCAAGGAATCGAACCAAGGAATCCAACGTTGAACATTCATAATGAAGCATATATTGCAGATATTCCTGCAGATTTATTTTGCTATTTTTGTGATATACAAATGACATGAGAAGACTTGGTCTAATTATTGGTATCATTCATTACTTCTATTATCCTTGTTTATAAAGTTCAATAAAAAGTTATTCAAAGAAGAAAGAAAAAAGCACGCCCAGGCCACACCTGCAATGTACCTTCAAAGCAGAATCAGACCCCTTGAAAGAGCCATGGCTTCCAAAGAATCATGGGGAATGTGGTTAGTTCGGAATGTTGGGAATTTCAATCCTTCGTGCTGCAGATGTGTGGGATTGTTATATCACATGCCTGCATTTACGTTCCAGCACTGATGTTGGAGTCTTGTGCAGGCGGAGAGCTGCTAGGCGAGATTCCCCCGTCCCACCCCGGGGGTTAACAATCCGTCCTTCTTGCCAGGTCGGAGGCCCTTCCTGCCTCCTGCGGGAGGGAGAGCCAGAGTTCACCGCAGGAAGAGGCGCTTTCTTTTCTTCGCCTTCAATCTTCCGACCGTCTTTCTCTACGGATTGCATGGCTCAGGTTTCCGTTTCCATTTTTTGCATAGCTATTTATGTCCAAATGGTTCGGTCTGGCTACCCCGTCTGTTAATAATCAATGTGCTTTGTCTCTCGTTCTTTGCGCGCCCGCTTCCCCCCGACCCAGGGCGGCAAGCAGCGCCCGGACCCCGAGGAAGAGCCGAGATGCTCAGCTCCCTCCTGCCCTGGGGTCCCCCGCGCACCCCGGCCGCGGCCCCGGGACTGGCTCCCCCTCCCCCCCCCCCGGGGGAAGAAAGACTCACCCTCCGAGGCTCCCGGGAGGAGAGAGACCCGAGCCGGAAGAGACCAGCGAGGCACTGCGCCCGCCTTCCTCTCCTGTCCTCTCTAGGAATCCGGCGCCATGCTTTTAACCCTTCGCTTGGGCTCGGGATGCCTTCTTCTCCTGTCCTCTCTAGGAATCCGGCGCCATGCTTTTAACCCTTGGCAAGCCTAGCCGCCCAGCTCCGCCGCCCGCTGGCCCAGGAGGGAGTCCCTGCCTTGTTCTCTTGGGGGGATTCCCTGGGCTCGGGGGCTGAGCGGTTCTTGTTCGAGACTTTCCTTTGTTTGTTTAAGACCCTTATTAAGATCTCAGCAAGGGCTTTGCGGAGCTCAGGGGTTTCCTATACCGGAAAAGGAAGGTTCTCCGAGGGACCTTGTCTTTGGACTAATTTGAAGGGCGGGAAAGGAGAGAGAGTGAATGTGTCCTTCCTTTGGGACTGTGCAGCCAGTGCTGCCAGCAGATGCTTGTTCAGGGGACAAGGAAGAGAGTCTCTGGTTCGCCCCCCTCTCCAGCCCCCAGCCCTGCTCTTCGACTTCCTGCAATATGGGGGGGGGGGGACTTCCCGATCTACCTTATAGGGCTGTTGTAAGAAGGACGGTGTTTGTTCTTAAGGAAGCACTTCGAACACTTCGGAATATCCTATGCCGAGGTCTGGCTTATCTCCCGATGTTCTGCCACCCCATCTTTCCTTGGAGAGGCTCTGGCACTGCCCAAACACCCCTGCACCACCCTCCCCCTTCATTCAAAGGGCACAGCTATGAGATGGGGCTGGACTGGGACCTGCACCAAACTCCCATCTTATTTGCTGCTGCTGCCACCACAGAGAGCTCCTCTTTGACCACTTCTCTCCTAAGGTAGCAAAGAATGAGGGGTGTGGTGGAATACAAAGGATTTATTGAAAAATAAACAAGGGTTTCAAGATAACTGTGTAAAAATGTTCATTTTTGTTACTTTATTACAGCAGGAGCAATGGGGAGTATAATGCTATTCCTATAGTACTAATCTAACCAACCTGCTTCAGAACTGCCACTGCTCTCTCCCCTCTGTTAAGGAAAAAATCCAGGGTGAGAGACTACTCAACAGCCCAGCTTGCCAGGGTGCAAGTCCCCCGCGGTTCTATGTGGTCAGTAAAAGAAAGAAGCACCTCACCTCATCTGTCTCCTGAGAAATCTCTATGTGGGACAAGAAGCTACAGTTAGAACTGGATATGGAACAACTGATTGGTTCAAAATTGGGAAAGGAGTACGGCAAGGCTGTATATTGTCTCCCTGCTTATTTAACGTATATGCAGAATTCATCATGCGAAAGGCTGGGCTGGATGAATCCCAAGCCGGAATTAAGATTGCCGGAAGAAATATCAACAACCTCAGATATGCAGATGACACAACCTTGATGGCAGAAAGTGAGGAAGAATTAAATAAGCTTTTAATGAGGGTGAAAGAGGAGAGCTCAACATCAAAAAAACGAAGATCATGGCCACTGGGCCCATCACCTCCTGGCAAATAGAAGGGGAAGAAATGGAGGCAGTGAGAGATTTTACTTTCTTGGGTTGTCACCAATGGAAGCAAAGGCTCAGAAAAAACTCAATATGGAGGCCAAATGGCCGAAGTATTGGGAAATTTTGGAACAAGAGGGTGAGAGATTTAAACTGCAGAGCTTTGAAAAATTAAAAAACAGAGTACGAGATTGGCTCCATTATTTTCAAATAATGGAGGCATATAACTTGGATAAAAAACTAGGCTTCCAGGTGGAAAAATCAAAGTTGGAAACAGAATTGTTAGACCCTAAAGTTAAGAATTTGTCAAGAATGTATAACTTGCTGTTGAAATGGAATACTCAAGATGAAATGGTGAAATCTGCTATGATTAAATGGGCACAAGATGTTGGACATAATATTATGATGGCCGACTGGGAACAGTTATGGACCACTGGTATGAAGTTTACGGCATGTAATGCCTTAAAAGAGAATTTAATGAAAATGATTTATAGGTGGTACATAACACCAGTCAAGCTTGCAAAATCTATCATTTGCCCGATAACAAATGTTGGAAATGTAATGAAACTGAAGGTACATTCTTTCACCTTTGGTGGACATGCCCAGAGATTAAGGCATTCTGGGAGATGATCTATAATGAAATGAAAAGGTATTTTTTTTTAATGATATTTATTGAATTTTTTTTTAATTACACAAAAGAAAAGACAAGACAGAAAAATAAAAAATAAAAATAAAACCATCATTCTCCAATTCTCCACTTTCAATACCTTCTTTCTTTGACCTCCTCCTCCTCCCTTTTCTTGTATCCTGATTTATAATAATCGCAGCAAATCCTTTCCATAATTCATAATATTCTGTCATTACATTACCTTAATCTATTTTCATCTTATCTTATAGAAAACCTTAAAATTTAAAACTTAAATCTTATTTTTACCAACTTCTCCTAACCATAACATTCTTACCTAATTCTTTAAACATTTTTACAAGAGCCAAATAATTTCATTTCAACATTTTTCTAACATTCATCAATTTTATAAAACAATCCTAATGATAAAAATAAAAGAAATAAACAATCCAATCTTCATCCAGCGTCCCTTCCTCCTGGTCCCGGGTTTTATCAGTCCTTTTTATCCTATTAATCTAGCACATTAACCTGGCAATCTTATATCCGAGGCCCTCAAGTCTCTTCCATGTCCCTTCCGCTGCTCTTCATATTTTCCTTTCATTCGTGGGAACTCCAGCTTGGTAATGTTTTTGACCCTTTTCAACAAAACAGCCCCTTTTCCATAGTCCAGACTAGACTCGATGTGGTATTTAAAAACATGTTCCAGATTCCCTCCAAAATTGAGAGCCCCCACAGCTCCAGACATCTGACGGCCCATTTCCAGACTCGAAAAGTCCAAATCTCCCTGTATAGGGGGGGTCTATCCAACCCCCCATTTCCAAACCAAACCAAACTTTATCTTTCCAAGTCTGGTTTTTTCCAAGTTCATTTGTCAAATCCAAAAATTTATGTTCCTGCTGGGCCGCAGCTCCCTCCGTCTCTGGCGCCCAAGATTCAGCAGCATCCTCTTCTCTCAACTGTTCTGTCATGGCACGCTCCTGTTTTAGTTCCTGGGTGGGCTCCATATAGTTTCCCACTACCTGTTCAAAGGTTCTGGCCGCATTAGTCATCAAATCCGTCTTCTGGCTTAACTGATCCACTAGGGCATTTATTTTGCAGAGAGCACCCAACAGTGCTTCTGAAGGCATTGTCCTGCAAGGTCACAAATCCTTTCCCACGGTTGTAATCAGTGACAGCTGCAAGCTCCCAGGGATTAGTTACAATTTCACAGTCCCCCTCTAGAGGGAAAAACTTCTGGTTGTTCTTTCTCTTAAAAACAATAGCAACAAAGTTTCTTTTTAAAGATATTTTGTCCATATATATTCTTCTAAAATGCGAAAGGAAGCAATGGAATCACTATGTTTCTCTTCTTTTAACTATCTGTCAAAGACATTTGTTTCTGGTCAATGAGCTTCAAACGTCAATTCTGACACCCCGCTCCAGGATCAGGACGGTGGAAAATTACTTTGCTTTCAATTCACTTCTGCAGGTTTAAACAGCTCAAGAAAGATCCCCCTTCTTCTCCTGCTACCGAAGAGGGGTTCAGCGATTTTAAATGATGAAAGCCAATCCTTTGAAAGTGATTTTTAAAGCTCTAGCTTACGTTGTCTTTGCTTTATTCTGGCTACAAGGAAACGGAAGGCTGACTTCCTGTTTAGACCTTCCTGTTTCAGTACCAAATTAAGGTGAACTTTTAAGTCCAAATTCCTTTCTATTTCGCCAGTTCTTATTTGAAGTCCAAATATTCAATGTTCCAGTACTCACGGTTGGTTATTTTAGATGCCAAATTGTCCCAGGAAAAAGGCAGCGCTCTCCGGCAACGGCTATGCGGCTTCGCTCCGCAGAAAAAGCAATTGACTCACAGCACCGCGCCACTTCCCCCTCTTCGCTTCGGAGCCCGTTAGTGGGTTCCTTTGCAGGTTGGGGGGGGCGCTAAGGGTGCCTGCCGAGTCCCACGGTCACAGGCTTCATCCACCTGTGATTTCCAGAAGGGTCCCCGCTTCGCCGTAGCGGAAAAGACCCGTTTCATGCGGAGCTGGTCCCTCCAGCTCAGAGGGAGTCCGCCATTGCCGATGGCGCCACCCCGGAAGTCTCATGAAAAAGGTATTTAAATATACCTTTCTGAAGAAACCAGAGGCCTTTCTCCTGGGCATGGTCGGCCAACTGGTGCCAAAGAAGGATAGAACTTTCTTTATGTACGCTACAACAGCAGCAAGAATACTTATTGCAAAGTATTGGAAGACACAAGATCTACACATCAGGGAAGAATGGCAGATGAAGCTGATGGACTACATGGAACTGGCGGAAATGACTGGCAGAATCCGAGACCAGGGAGAAGAGTCGGTGGAAGAAGATTGGAAAAAATTTAAAGTATACTTACAGAAACATTGTAAAATTAATGAGTGTTAGAAGGATGCTGGAATGAAGCTATATGGTTTTAGTAGAAATGCAACAAAGAATTAAGTAAAAGTTGATTGATAACGGGTTAAAATGAAAAAATTTAAGGTTAGACCGTTAAGATAAATTATAGAATAAAAATTGAGAAAGATGGGAAGAATTTGCTGAAATAGTGAATTGAACTAGAATACAAAAAAAGGGAGGTGTGAGGAGGTCGATGAAACAAGTAAAGGAAAGGCAAAGATATGGAATATTGGTTGTGTGTTTTAGTTTTTTCTTTGTTTCTTTTTGCTGTATTTTTGTATTGCTTTTCTATGTTTTTTTCTTTTTTATTGTTGCCTTTTTTCTTTTTTCTGTAATTTTTTAAACTTTTAATAAATATCATTTAAAAAAAAAAAAGAGAGAGATTTTACTTTCTTGGGCTCCATGATCACTGCAGATGGTGACAGCAGCCACGAAATTGAAAGACGCCTGCTTCTTGGGAGAAAAGCAATGACAAACCTAGACAGCATCTTAAAAAGTAGAGACATCACCTTGCCAACAAAGGTACGTATAGTAAAAGCTATGGTTTTCCCAGTAGTGATGTATGGAAGTGAGAGCTGGACCATACAGAAGGCTGATCGCCGAAGAATTGATGCTTTTGAATTATGGTGTTGGAGGAGACTCTTGAGAGTCCCATCGACTGCAAGAAGATCCAACCTCTCCATTCTGAAGGAAATCAGCCCCAAGTGCTCACTGGAAGGACAGATCGTGAAGCTGAAGCTCCAGTACTTCGGCCACCTCATGAGAAGAGAAGACTCCCTGGAAAAGACCCTGATGTTGGGAAAGATAGAGGGCACAAGGAGAAGGGGACGACAGAGGACGAGATGGTTGGATAGTGTTCTCGAAGCTACCAGCATGAGTTTGATTAAACTGCGGGAGGCAGCGGAAGACAGAAATGCCTGGCATGCTCTGGTCCATGGGGTCACGAAGAGTCGGACACGACTAAATGACTAAACAACAACATGCATATCCTTGTCCCCCAGCCTTCCCGATTGGGCTTTGGGAACACCCTGCCTCAGCAAACCCATCAGCGGATCTCCATTGTTTTCCACAGGAGAGGGGTGCTGTGTAAGGGACTGCATGCGTCAGGGATTATGGAGGCAGGGGAAGCCTGGATTCCCTTCTTCCAGAGGAGTCATAGAATCATAGAATAGAATCATAGATTTATAGAGTTGGAAGAGACCACAAGGGCCATCGAGTCCAACCCCCTGCCAAGCAGGAAACGCCATCAGAGCACTCCTGACATATGGTTGTCAAGCCTCTGCTTAAAGACCTCCAAAGAAGGAGACTCCACCACACTCCTTGGCAGCAAATTCCACTGTCGAACAGCTCTTACTGTCAGGAAGTTCTTCCTAATGTTTAGGTGGAATCTTTTTTCTTGTAGTTTGGATCCATTGCTCCGTGTCCGCTTCTCTGGAGCAGCAGAAAACAACCTTTCTCCCTCCTCTATGTGACATCCTTTTATATATTTGAACATGGCTATCATATCACCCCTTAACCTCCTCTTCTCCAGGCTAAACATGCCCAGTTCCTTAGCCATTCCTCATAAGGCATCGTTTCCAGGCCTTGGACCATTTTGGTTGCCCTCCTCTGGACACGTTCCAGTTTGTCAGTGTCCTTCTTGAACTGTGGTGCCCAGAACTGGACACAGTACTCCAGGTGAGGTCTGACCAGAGCAGAATACAGTGGCACTATTACTTCCCTTGATCTAGATGCTATACTCCTATTGATGCAGCCCAGGATTGCATTGGCTTTTTTAGCTGCCGCGTCACACTGTTGGCTCATGTCAAGTTGTTTAACTGCCCCCCCCCCCCCCCCCGTTCCTGGTTTTAACACCTCCAACTGTCTTACCCAAGAGGCTGCTGAGGCCACCTTGGCTGAGATTCCTGGAAGACCTGCTCCCTGCTTTAAAGGCCTTTTCCCACCTAGCCTGGAAGCCTTGGGCCCTGACTTTCGTTGCAAAAGCTGAAGCTGCTGAACAGAATCTTGGGCTTGGGAGGTTGTTTTTGTGAGTCGGGTCTGTTCCTGCTGGGTTTTCTTCTTCTTCAGATCTTGTGATTTATGAGGAAATTGTTCAGTTTGGTTGTATATTTTGGTTGTGTATTTTTTAATTATTTATGTATTGCTTATGACTATGGGAAGGGCTGGGCGATGGGCTCCGTGGGGTGGTGAATGCTTTCCTCTGTGTTTCAGTTCTCCAAAGGACCACAGACCCTGAGTGAGTTCCTGGAACCCCTTGGACTCTTGCTGCAGCTCAGCAGAGTGGGGGTGGCACCCAACTTTTGTAACATTATCATCATCATTGATTAAATGTATACTGCCCTATACCTGTAGACCTCAGGGTGCCTCATCATCAATCTCCTCCCCTCTGGTTGTACCACTTCATGAAATCTGCTCCTCTGGTTCTCCTTCCTGCTCAGCATCTGTGCTAGGAGGTCTGACAGTAGGCAGTAGATCTGGAATGCTGTACATCAATTCAGGGACGTTTATGAGGGCTTGCATTTCCCCCCTCTGAATCATCAGATAAGTGTATCACAGGTCCTCCCTTGTCAGCTTTCCTGTGTTTGTCAAAATGAACCACTTGTCTTGTGCTGACTTTCTTTGTATTCAAGTCCATCACCCTTCATCCTTTGTTCCCTAGAGCATAGCCAATCATCATAGTTTCTTCTGCTCTGAAATCTACACTGTGGAGCCTGCTGGAAAGTGTAGTCTGCTCAGCAGCACCACCCATGGCAATGGGCAGAAGCACGGACTGCTTCTCCCAGGGGGCACTGTACTTTTTTACTGGGCTGAGACCCCCGGGAATCAGCAGAAGGGGGGGGAGCTATCCCTCCTCCTTCCCCCGTGGGTGCAGGGGGCTGCATGCAACACTGCCTCTGGGAGCTGGTGGCTTCTTCATGGACATTTCTGCAGACTGCCCCCCTCTGTGCAGGAGGTTGAGGGGTGGGGTAGGGTGAGGCGGATCCTGGGGTTGGCTGTTGTTCCTCTCCTTCCCCCATGCCTGGCTCCCTCTGCCCCAGCCTCAGCTGCAACCAGATGGGCCCCTGGGGCCAGTGGGGGGAAAGAGGTGATGTGGGGCGGCCAGGCAGGTATCTCTGGGGGAGGGTGGAACATACATGTGGAAGAACCAAGGGGTACACAATTACTATGGTTTATTGAATTTGTTAGTTGCTTTAACTTGCTCAGCCCAAAGTGACATGCCACCAGCTGCTTCCTGGAAGAGCAGCTGCCTGCAGCCAGCCCAGGCCAGAGGGGAACACCCAGCCCCACACCCGCCTCTTCTCTCAGTGCAGAGGTTTTGTTGCCTTCCTGCAGCTTCCCCACAATGCAGCGTCAATGTCTCAGCTCAGTCTTGGCAAATGTAAAACCTGTGCATAGAACAGCTTTTTGTGCCATGAGTTATAAACCTTAAATTTGCTTCATCCTTTCCACCCACCACCCGTTTTTCTCTTTGCCCTTTGTTGTAATATATTTACCAATCTCCAAAAATTCACCCCCCTCCCGGCTTTCAAGAACCCTTCCAAGAGGCAGGTTACAATAAAAACAGAACATGCCACTGAACCATGGCTGTGGCAGCCGTGTGGGTGGCCACCTTCCCACCCTTCAGCGAGGGGCAACGCAGAGCTGGTAGGCTTTGGGGGCCATTGTCAGGAATGCTGGTGCTGGCGAGGCATCGAGGTCCTCAGGAGCCACAAGAGGGACCAGGTCAAAGTGTTGCAGGATGGATGTCAAGGCCACAAAGATGGTCATGTCCACCAGCTTCTTGCCAATACAGGCCCGCTGGCCTGCAAGCAGAAAGGGAGGTGAGCCCTGGAAGTGCCTTCCTGGCTGCATCCTTGGAACGGCAAAGCCACACCGGCTGGGATGGCAGGAAGGGGGACCAAATGAGATGCTAAATTGCGGGGGGGGGGGGGAGGCAGAGCAGCTCTTCTACGCTGTGGGCACAAAATCTATGGCTGTCTGTGACCCCCCCCCCTCCAAGCAGCCAGAGACTCCAGCCATGCATTGGAATTAGGATGAGGCGTAGGAGAACCTGTTTGGCTGCAATATTCCTTTCAGCTGTAAAATGAGGATTCATCTATTTACCTACGGAAAGTGGGATGAAGAATTTGCTCTCCTTCAGGCCTCCGTTATCATCCAGGAAATGCCCAGGATCAAACTGCAGTGGGTTGGGGAATTCTCTGCTGTCGTGCAGCGAAGGCTTCAGAGCAGGGAAGACTGTGGTGCCCTGGTGGGGGGACAAAGAGAGGAGACCCTCCTGGGCTCAAGAGGTTCTTCTCCAAAAGAGAAGGAAGCAGAGAGTTCTGCCCTGCAGGTGCAATCGCAGACAAGGCCCTCGAGGTCTGGGGTCACCCCCTGCCTGGCTCAGGTGGGGCAGCCCTTAGTAACCTCCTCTGGGGACCAGGTGCCTGATGGAGAAATGACTTACTCCCCCCCGCCCAGCCCTGGCCTCTGTTCTGGGCACTCCTGTGCACCTCAGGAGTCTCAGGCTTGCCCTGGTTGCAGCTGCATGGAGGGGATTACTTGGCAGGGTGGCCTTGATTCACGTGCAAAGTGCCGGCTGCACATTTCTGGTGCTGTGTGTTTGGAAAGCCCTTGAGCGTGTCCTGCCCAGCTTTCAAATCCGCTCCTCCACTATAACCAATACCCAGAAGGTTCCACAGTGTCTGCTGTGGATGAAAGGAAACTGCACACAGGTTTCTTTGTGGCCATTTTAGAGGCCACCTGGGAGGCCAGAAACTGACCTTGGGGATGAAGTATTGCCTGAAGAGAGTGTCCTTTGTGGTTTCATGTGGCAGATTCAGTGGCACAAGCACCAGGGTTCGATGGATCTCATGGATCACAGCATCTGTGTAGGGCATCTTTCCCAGATCCGCCATGCAAGGACTTCGTGATGAGCCAATCACAGTATCAATTTCTTGATGAACTTTCTCTAAGGTAAAAATAGACGAGATGTAGTAAGAGTGAGATTTTTGTGAGTGTGATTTTATTTTATTTTTGTTTTGTTTTGTTTTCTGTTCCTGCCCCTCTTCTCTGCCCCCTTATTTTCCAAGCTCCTCAGTCTCCGAACTAGAAGCCCCCCACTTCTGTCAGGGTGCTGCCTACCTTTGACCTCTGGGTGCTTCATGAGAGTCAGGAGGGCGTAACTCAGGGTGAGGCTGGTGGATTCTGCTCCTCCAATGAAAAGGTCTAAGATGCTCCTCACCAAACCTTGAAGATTAAACACTGACCCACTGTTCTGCTTCTCCTGTAGGGAGGTTGGAAGAGATGACAGATGCACAAAGCACATTATTTGCCCAAAGTAACTTTGCCATTACAGAATTCCACCACAAACACCTCCCAAGGATCTGGGGCTGGGCCTGTCTGTCATGTTTGCAATGCAGAGATAAGTCCCAGTCCTGGAAAACTCTTCCTCTCATCCTGTGTGAGGGGAGAGGACTTCCCCAACCTGCCACCTTCCAGGATCCCTCTCCTCAGCACACCCACCCACTACCCAAGCCACTCCCTCCTGACCTCCTGCGTAAAGCTAGGGGGGAGGGGGTGCAATGAGAAGCAGAATAAAGCCTTCTGTGCCTGCTGCCATGGCTCAGCATAAGGTGGGAGCAGGGGGTGCTTTGACCCTGGATGTGGACTTCCAGAGCAAAAAATGTGCCCTGCTGCCCCCTTTCATACAGTCATGTTTCCCTGCCACTCCAGTCTGGAAACGTGGCAGAGAGGCTCTGCTGAGCACACAGCCAGGGGTAGCACAGTACCACATGCACCACATGGCACCTGCCCTCGGATGGCCGCCATAGTGAGACCCAGTGAGACAGCGGATCAGCTTCTGAGCAGGGTGTCCCAGGGATCACTGCAGACAGGACAGCCAAGGAGGCAGGTGACACGCCCCCACCTGCTCCATCTTGATGAGAAAGGCATCAATGAAGTCCTGAGGCTGGCTGGGCTTCGTTGTCTCCTGGTGTCTTTTCACCCGCCTTGAGATGAAACGCTTTAACTCCTCTGTATTTTTAAATATCTTCTTGTGAGATCCAGGGAAGTATTCCAGGATTGTCGGGAAAATATTGTACAGCTGTGAAGAGAAGGAGGTAAAACTCACCATGTGATTCCTGCATTGCAGGGGGTTGGAGTAGATGCCCTTTGGGTCTCTTCCAACACTACAGTTCTGGGATTCTATAGTTGCCTGGCCATAAAAAGGAGCATTTCTTACCATTCAAATGGCATTTCCAGTCTGCCTGCCCTATGTTCAGGTTGACCTGAGTAGCCCAATAACTGCTCACATCAGGCAGCCTTTTCCAAAATCTTAAACTGGAAACCAGCCAGCCAACCTCCCCACTCACCCCCAGGGTAGTGCATAGCGTTTACACAGGAGATGGTCTGCTCTGCCCACCCCCACCCCCTGCAACCTCTTCCTCCTCCTCTGGATGTTCATAGCTCAGCTCTCTGTTCTTGCAGGCTACCTTGCATGCTGCAGCCCAGGGGTCCAGCAAGCGGGTTGGAGCTGCTCCCCCCCCCCCAGTTCAGCCCTTGGTTCAGGAACTTGGGACCCGTCTCTGTGAAGGGGGAAAGCTGACCTCTCCAGCCCCACACCCACTGCTGGGGGCCTGCCCTAGCCAGCCCCTCCTGCTCACCTCACCTGGTGGGCAAGGGGAATTGGAAGGGCCCGGCTGATGGGGGCAGGGGCTGCCTTTTCGGTGAGACGGTGCAGGCATTTTAGGGAGTTTTCCATAAAGGACCCCAACTGTGTGGCTGTGTGCACATTACTGTACCTGTTTTTTCTCAATTCTGATCAAAGCTGATTTAGAGGAGAAAGACATCAAAATGAAGCATTTCATAGGGTAGATACAGGATAGATATGGATTGTGGCTTCCCCAGTCGGCAGTGGGGATGCCCTGGGTGCCGTCTGAAAGGGAGCGTGTCTTCTGTCTGTGCCTCTTGGCAGAGGGAGATGGGAGCAGCAGGAGCAGACACAGACCAGAGTCAGGAAGTGCTGGCGGGGGGCACCATCACAGAAGGCCCCCATGCTACCTCAGGCATCGATTGCATGACGGGTCACTTCTTGCCCCACAGGAAGAAAGGAACCTCAGCCATCTTCTGCCCTCCCTGCACATCCTATACAGAGCATCGCCGCTGCCCCCCCCCCAGTGGCTGAATGGCTGGAACAGAAGCCCCTCCCCTCCTGCTGCCTGTGTGCTCACCTTTGTCATTGGGCTGGACTGGAGAAGGGCATTTTCTTGAACCAGGCGGATGAATCCCAGGAACTCCTCGTCTTCATAGTCAAAACGACTGCCAAAGGAAACTGAGCAGAGGATGTTGGCAGTTGCCTGGCTGAGGAAGCGAGATGGGTCGAAGGGCCTTCCTGCCAGGGCACAAACAGAGGCATCATTTCGAAGCCATGGGGAGATCCTGGCTGCATCCGGTCAGGCTCCCCTCCAAGGCCAGGAAGGGTAAGGGCCCATCTCCAGACCCAAGGGAGAGGACTAAGGATGGCTTCTGGCCACGTTGACCATCTCCAGACCCAAGGGAGAGGACTAAGGATGGCTTCTGGCCACGTTGACCATCTCCAGACCCAAGGGAGAGGACTAAGGATGGCTTCTGGCCACGTTGACCATCTCCAGACCCAAGGGAGAGGACTAAGGATGGCTTCTGCATGTTGATTGCCCTCTTAGAAGACAAAGTCCAGCAACTGGAGGAACGTGTATCAAGGGAAGTAATAGTGCCACTGTATTCTGCTCTGGTCAGACCTCACCTGGAGTACTGTGTCCAGTTCTGGGCACCACAGTTCAAGAAGGACACTGACAAACTGAAACGTGTCCAGAGGAGGGCAACCAAAATGGTCAAAGGCCTGGAAACGATGCCTTATGAGGAACGGCTAAGAGAGCTGGGCATGTTTAGCCTGGAGAAGAGGAGCTTAAGGGGTGATATGATAGCCATGTTCAAATATATAAAAGGATGTCACATGGAGGAGGGAGAAAGGTTGTTTTCTGCTGCTCCAGAGAAGCGGACACGGAGCAATGGATCCAAACTCCAAGAAAGAAGATTCCACCTAAACATTAGGAAGAACTTCCTGACAGTAAGAGCTGTTCGACAGTGGAATTTGCTGCCAAGGGGTGTGGTGGAGTCTCCTTCTTTGGAGGTCTTTAAGCAGAGGCTTGACAACCATATGTCAGGAGTGCTCTGATGGTGTTTCCTGCTTGGCAGGGGGTTGGACTCGATGGCCCTTGTGGTCTCTTCCAACTCTATGATTCTATGATTCTATGACTCTGCTCTGCTTTCACAGCCAGAGTCAGAAATGATTCTCAATCCCACAAGAGGGACTGTTTTTGCACTCAGATCCTGCTTGGGGGTTTCCCATGGGGGCAGTGGCGGACTTTGGGCTTTCATGTCTATGCAATACTACAATCTAGCCCCCCCCCCCCGCTCTGTTCTACAGCCTTGTTTTGGTGCCCCCTGCAGGGTGTCTCACGCTACCCTAAAACTGCCTCTGATGGGGTATCTCCTTGGCCCCTGTGAGCAAAGGAGGCTGGGCTAGATGGGCTCCCCTTGGCCTGATCCAGCAGGCCCTTAGGTTCTTCTGCCCACAAGGCTAGTCCTGATCAGGATCTATCCTGTGGAGCCAAAAAGTTAGAGCAGTCTGGCATATTGAAGGTGGTTGGACTAGAAGACCCTCGGGGTCCCTCCCAACTTCACAGTTCTATGATTCTATGAGCCACCAGCCATTTGCTACTTGGAATAAAAGAAGTCTGCTTGAGGAGCCCGTAGCACTGTGTGGTCTGGAGGTGAGGAAAAGAGGCCTCCTTACCATTTGTGTTTCTGAGTCTCTCCACCAGGAAACTCGCCTCCTCCTGGATCCTCTCCTCAAAGCTCCTTTTCCCCACCTCCAAGCTGCCCAAGGTGGCAACAGCAAACTGCCGCAGCTGCCTCCACGTCTCCCCGTTGCTGAAGCCAATTCCTGAGGACACGCAGAGAGGAAGGCAATGCATGAGGGGCAAAGGGGCCTTGTGGGACCAGGATGCTTCCCCCCACCGCAGGGCTGTGCTGTCCCTCTGCCGTAAGCTGAGCAGCAGAGGGTGGAATTTGTCTGTCTGTCTCTCACACACCACAGGAGCCAAGGAAGCTCAATAGGGCAATTAGAGAGAAGGCGAATGGGGCATGTACAGGATTCGGCCTCATTGCACAGGGGAAAACAATCTGCCTTTCTGCCCACATACTTGGATCTGTATTTCTGCGGGAAAAGAGAGCAGGAATGGGGATGGGGAGGGTCGTCCAAAACAGAGAACTACTTGGAACAAGGAGCTCCCCCAATACTTACTTACTTTTCCTCAGTTCCTGGCCTCTGGACCTTAACCAACACCCCCATGAAGGGGAGCTGCGGACCTTAGTCTGTCAAATGCCCAGCAGAGACCTAATGGGTGGCACGGGGAGGGGGGCACTCCTGTGTTGCGTTCACTGCCTTGCATAAGCCACACCTTAGAAAGCAGCCCATAAATACTTTTGACAAAGCCCCTGTGGGCTCTGCCTAAGGGGCTGGAGGCTGTGCGTGTGCTGGTGTGCAGCTCTTCTAGAAACCAACCTGTTCCATTGGCTGTTTTAGCCAGAATGGGGTTGCTTCCTCTGGCCCCAAAGGAGTCTCCCTGGGCCAGCAAGGCCTCCTGCGCCACTTCGTGCCCATAGAGCACCACGACCCGTTGAGAGCCCAGGTGGATGGTGAAGATGGGCCCGTACCTCTGGCTGAGCTGTGAGAAGAGAAGGGAGGTGGGCAGGCTTCCTTTGCGCAAGTACAGGCTGACCTCTCTGGGGGGACCCTCAGGCTGCACCCCAAGAGCCCCGGCCCAGCCTCCACCGCCAAGGGATGTGCCCTTCTGGGCTCCTCACTGTGAGCACTAGAAGAGGGCTGCTTATTGTGGCAAAACAAGTTGATGGACTCTGCTGAAATGGCAAAATTAACTGGGAAGTTCAGAAATCAAGAAGACAAGAACTTCACAAAAGAATGGGGAAATTTCATAATTTATTTACGAGACCATTGTAAGCAGGTTAAAACATTAGCAGGATTTTAAACACACTTGTAAAGTAATGGAAAGTATGGATAATTTGGAAGGACAAAAATTTGGATAAGTATTGATATGCAGTTGTAAATATTATCATTAGGATCCATGGAAGGGATGTGAGGAAGTCAGGAAATTCAGAGTAATCTTGATAGTTGGATCTTGAATTGCTTTTTGTTGTATGTTTATATATATTTTAAAATCAAATAAAAATATATTAAAAAAAGAAGAGGGCTGCTTATTTTGAGCCAGGTGCCTTCGGCCCGCCTACCTGGGCAGAGTCTCCTTCGCTGGCGGTTTCTGCAGCCATTTGGTGCTGCTGTAAGGAGGAGCTCCTAGGTGGTGCCTCTGGGCAGCTGAGAAGGGCAGGGCTGCCCTTATTGGGCCCCAGTGTGTCCTGCAGCCTCACCACCATGTGTGCCTCCTTGAGACAGGGTGGCAGAGGCACGCTGCAGGATGCGGTCCCCCCTTGCTCCAAAGCAGCCCTCCTGGGAACCCTCACATTGCAAAGTGAATCTCGGTCTGCAAACATCTGGGGCCTCCTGACTGTGAAGACCAAGAGGGTGAACTACTCAGGCCTCTTGCTGGGCAAGCCCTGGGGCGGCACAGGCCCCATCTTGCCGTGGGGCTCCATGCCAGGCTAGCCTGCCAGCCCCCACCTGCCCGTACTGCATGCTGGCTTACCTTCTCCAAAGATCTGGGGAAGTCCTTGGTGTCCAGCTGCAGGATGTTCCCCACCCAGGGCAGGGGCTGGGGGCCTGGAGGGAGCCTCTGGCGGCCAGGCGCCTTCCTCCGGACTGAGAGGAAGAAGAGGCAAGCAGCACATAGCAGAAGAAATATGCCAGGGGCCCCCCAAGTCTCCATGACCAAAAGCTGCACTTCACCAGATTGCAGGACGAAGGGAAGCTGTTTATTACAGTCCAAAATATGCAAAACTGCTCAGATGAAGGTGGGGCTGGATTGCTAGCCAATCGCCTTCTGTTGGTCTTCAAGATAACAACTGCAACCTTCTGTGCCCAAAGGTCACCGCCGGAGGTGTGCGGGAGGCCCTTGAAGGAAAGCCAAGGCAGATGCAGGCACATGCAGCCACCCACAGAGCCTCCAAAATGCAGGACTCTCTTGGCACGTCCGGATCCATGAGAAGGTTCCTGCTGGCTCACAGCAAGGTGGGCCCAGCATGCAGCACCCCCCCCCCAAGGCCCACCAGGCACCTCCCAGGAACCCACAAGCCCCAGCCAAAGTTCCCTGCTTTGGGGTGTCCCTGCTTCTCTCTTTCACACTGCTGCAGCGTCTTTTCTGTCACCTGCAGTCTGTCCCCTCTGAATTTTGGGTTGTTTTAAGAAGGGCAGGAATGAGACACAGCATATTTCATCATACAGCAAACCTGCTTTTCCTTCCAGAACAGCTGGCCATCTGCTTGCCCAGGGAGCCACAGCGACTGACCAAGCAGAGGTGGTGGCAGGGAAGGAGCTGCTTGCTCGCTGCCTGGGGGTGCAGGTCCAAGGGGATTCAATGCACTTCATGAGTTCAGGGCTTTTGCATTGTCCCCATGATGTCACCCTCATCCAAGTGACAACCTGAACTTTCCTCCCAATTAATTGGGGTTTCCCCAGTCTATGAATAATCTGATGCGGGTTGATAGAGGGGGAGATCAACATAAAATCACATCCTACCCAAGTGTGGACACTGAAGCAGATAATTCCACATGATGTTCTTGAGCCTACTGGACCAGGCAAATGACCCTTTCTAGTCTAGTGGCCAAGCAGATGCCTTTGGGAAGCTGTCAAGCAGGATTTGAGCACAAGAGCAATTCTCCCCTCCAGTAGCTTCCAGCAAATGGGATTCAGAAGTATTGCTGCTTCTGACCAGGAGGCAGAGCATAGACATCCTGGCTAGGAGTCATCCATGGCCTCTCGGCCATTCCTCCTCCTCCATGGATTTGTCTCGTTCTCTTTCAAAGCCATTCAAGCAGGTGGCCATCTCCGCCTCTTCTGGAAATGAGTTCCATAGTTTAACTCTGTGCGGCTGACCTGCGTTCAAGATGGAGGTCTACTTCTATTCTGGACACTTCTGACAGACCTTCTTAATAAGCTCCAGCTTAATATCAAATAATGGAAAGGTATTCTGAATGGGCTCACTGAGCTTTGCATTGCAGGCCCCCAGACAGTGGATCCCTGAGAGACAGTGTGATTCACTTTAAACTTGTTTTTAGAGCCTTTGAAAATTTGCACAAACTTCAGTACAAGGATTCTGAATTGTAAGCTTAGCATCATTGTGTCTGCCCAGAGACCCAGGCAAAAATGTTCCTATGCAACCAGACCTTTGGCTGATTAGCAGTCAATGTGCTTTTAAATGTGTTTTTTGGATGGGAGCAGGGGTATTACTGTTTTGTTTTTGTTCTTGTTTTTATTATGTACTTTGAGGGTTTTACATTGTTAACTGCCTTGTGATTTTCAGATGAAGGATGCTATACAAATTTAATTAGGAGGAGACGGAGGAGTAATAGAGGTCAATATCACTTGTAACAATACCAGTCTTGTTTTTCTCTTTTCTCTTTGAAGACACAAGTGAAAGATTCAGAAAGTCACAAACTGAAAACAGGAACAAAAGAATATCTGAAGACACCATGGCAGAAGCTGCAAAGCCAGTCTGCAACAGGTATAAATCTGGGGGGGGGGGGGGGAGAACATTTGTTAGGTTTCTAAGCTATGTCAAAGACTTATAGGTCAGCCATACTGAAAACAGGCGTCTCCTGCTGGAGTCTGAACTGCACTTAGCATCCCCTTTCGTGATGGCAGCCCCTCATGGATGCGATAACCCCTCAGCTGCCCTCTTCAGCCTCCGCTCTGAGGTGCTTATGGGGAAGAGGGTTCTGTGGCTGGAGCCTGCCATGTCGCCCTTCTGGTTTCTCTGGCCTGGTATCAGTGCTGCAATCACGAGAGGAATCCAGAACTGCCCCCAGCTGAAACTGCAAGATCTGTCACTGTTAAGACAGACAAGGCAAGAGCTGGGGGGTGGGGCAGAGTCCTGTTTCCCAGCAGGGGCCATTTCCCACAATGCTTAGGGAAGCAGCAGCTGCAACCTCTGGAAGGCAGGCCAGGTGAGCCCTAGAAGCCCAACCCCACAGGGGGGCCGAAACCCTGACCAAGGGTGTGCCCTGCACGGTTGCCCTGGAGCCTGAGAGCAGGACTTCTAGTGGATCAGGCCCTGTTTAGAATGCTGATCTCCTGCTTTATCAACCTGAGTGGCTCTCAAAGGCTCTTTTACGCAAGACAAGCACAGGAGCTGCTGCTTTGGACAAACACAGCGAAGTCGCCTTGCGGCAAAGGGCTCCGCTTCCCCCAAGAGAGCACCTTGTGTGCTGAGTGCTTGGCTGGAGGGCACCTCAGAAGCCCCCAAAGGAGACAAACTCTGGTGCCAGAAGTGCAGATAGATTTTTTAAAAATAGGAACGATCCACAGGTGTATGAGTCGCATAAGAGCCAACTCCTAAGGGTCAAGGTACCTTCACCCCCCCCTAAAATATTTGAGGGCATTGCATGGCGGGGCTTACCTGTGCCCCTCATTATTTTATTCACGTTGGCCCTCCTGGTGTGCTGGACAGTTGAATGAATACATCTGCACATGTCCACAACAGACATCAGGTTTCCTAGGTTGGAGGAACACGTGCATGTTTTCTCCATCTTACTATTTTTTACTGCAATTTGGAGCAAATCTGCAATATTGGAAAATGTAAAAAAAGAAAGAAAAAGGGATAGGGAAGGTTAGTTTCCCCAACTGCCTTTAACCAGCTAATGAACCTTCCTGCCATTTTTCTTAGCATTTTGGCTCATCATTTGGTTTACATTTATTTTAGAGCATAAATAGAGGCATTGCATGCTTTTAGTGATACCTTACAGTTTTTATAAACTCTCAGTGTGCTTATTGCTTTTAAACATCACAGGCACTAAATAGCAGAAGAACCAATGAGCCCATACATGGGATGCATCCAAGCAGGCAGGCAAAGAAGGGGTGGACAGAAAAAGAAAAAAGGAATGGTCTAATTGTAGAGCAAATCACTTGTTTACAGGTTGAAACCTATTTGTTAGCCAAATCAAGTGGACAAGAAGTTGAAAGAATAAGGCACTGAGGTACAGGAAAAGAATATTTAGCATTATAATTTGTCACCATGTTTTGCGGTGGGTTTTTCTACCTACTCCTGAAGCAGAGTAGCCAAGGAGAGAGAAAAATGAATTAATAGCAAGGACCGTTGAGCAAAGTGCATATTTGAAAAAGCAACAGAAGGTGGGGGTAGTGTTGGTAAGCTTTTGCTGCCTGGCGGAAGCCTAACAACTCTGTTGTCAAAGGGAGCTTGCCTCCTTGCTTGAATTTAAAAAGGGGGGGGGCGGAATTCTGCAATTAACCTGAACAAACCTAAGGGCAGTCGAAATATAAAAAAATAAAAAGTCCAGTAGCACCAACTAAGTCTGTTCTGGGTATAAGCTTTCGTGTGCATGCACACTTCTTCAGATACACTGAAACAGAAGTCACCAGACCCTTATATATAGTGGGAGGGTGGGGTTTTTCTCAGGAGGGTAGTAGGAGATGGGTGATAGACTCAATGGGTATGGTAAACCTGTTGACAACTGTTAACAACTGCAATTAGTCCTACAAGAAAAAGCAAGGGATAGTATGCAGATGATTAGCACAGGCATAGGCAACCTCGGCCCTCCAGATGTTTTGGGACTACAACTGCCATCATCCCTGACCACTGGTACTGTTAGCTAGGGATGATGGAAGTTGTAGTCCCAAAACATCTGGTGGGCTGAGGTTGCCTATCCCTGGATCAGCATATGTAATGAGACAGTGTTGTAAATAAAAATATGCCCTTTTCCCTTATGGGGTATCCAAGAGCCCATATAGAGTCCTTACATAGGTTCCCTATTGGTAGGAGAAAATAACAGAGGCCAACCAGAGAATATTGAGAAGCAAAGCAGCTACAGTGGTGCCTCGCAAGACGAAATTAATTCGTTCCGCGAGTTTTGTCGTCTTGCGATTTTTTTCGTCTTGCGAAGCCCGGTGTCGGGAAAGTTTTGGAAAAGCTTCAAAAATCACCAAAGTCTTTAAAAGCCTCAAAAAAGGCTACCACACCGCGTTCTATGAGTTGCTCCTCGAAGTCAAGTCGCAACTGTATTAACGGTGTTAAGAAAAAGGAAACAAACTTGCAAGACGTTTCCGTCTTGCGAAGCAAGCCCATAGGGAAAATCGTCTTGCGAAGCAGCTCAAAAAACAAAAAACCCTTTCGTCTAGCGAGTTTTTTGTCTTGCGAGGCATTCGTCTTGCGAGGTACCACTGTAGTAAGCTTGTTTATTGATCTGTTGCAACAGGGTGCTCCCCTCACTCGCAGGAAAGGAGGACCCCCCAAAATGCTGTGCAAGGGCTTATAAAGACTTTTGAAATTCCCCTCCTGTAGATCAAGACCACCCCCAGAAACATTATACATACCGTATTTTTTGCTCCATAACACTCACTTTTTTCCTCCTAGAAAGGAAGGGGAAATGTCTGTGCGTGTTATGGAGCGAATGCCTACGGATGGCGGGGGGATCTGCTGCAGTCGTGAGCAGAGGATCCATGGTTCCCCTTCCTTCCCTCCTCCGTGGCTCGCTTTGAAACAGCGAGAGGGAGAAGAGCCACTGAGTGGGGAGAAGAGGACAGAGAGCCTGGTTACAAAGCGCAGATCCACATGGATCCTCAGGATTTTTGCATTGGGTCACCCCAAATTCACCATCAGATCACATAGCATGTCCATGGCTACAGCTTGCACCAAAAAAATCATGCACCCACTGTTGCCTGGGGCCACAGTGGTGCAAAAACGTGGGTACAAAGCATGGATCCACATGGATCCTCAGGATTTTTGCATTGGGCTACCCCAAACCACCGTCAGATCACGTCTGTGGCCACAGCATGAACCACAAAAATCATACATCCACTGTTTCGTTTAGATTTTTTTTCTTGTTTTCCTCCTCTAAAAACTATGTGCGTGTTATGGTCGGGTGCGTGTTATAGAGCGAAAAATACGGTACATCACAGAAGGGTGGCCTAAAACAGAACATTTGCATGTTGTTTTTCTCCTGTCGCTTGTTTATTTCCTGTCTGGCAGGTTACTTGATTGGATTGCCTGAGGAGCCTGGCCAGTCTTTTGTAATGATAAGGCTCACACCCTTATTCAAACACAGACATACCCTTAAGACAGGATTTGTGAAGGAAAAGACAATGGGGAGGTTTTTCCACTTTGACCATGCAGAGAAACATTTGCTCAGTTTAGGAATCAAAAAATGGCTTCAGGTCAGTCTTCCTGTGCTTGATCTATGTACGTGCAGTTATGAACATTACCATATATCTAGACCTCAAAATTACTATCACAACAGAAAAACTCCACCCCACCCTCCCACTATATATAAGGGCCTGGTGACTTCTGTTTCAGTGTATCTTAAGAAGTGTGCGTGCACATGAAAGTTTATACCCAGAAGAGACTTAGTTGGTCTCCAAGGTGCTACTGGACAATTTATTGTGTGTTTTTTTATATTCTGACTGCGTCAGACCAACACGGCTAGCTACCTGAATCTAAAACCTAAGGGCATTCACTCAAACATGTCTCTCTGAAATGCAAATTTGGCTTGTCTACAGAACCTTCTCCTTCCTTCCCTTAGCTCCACCTCCCAACAAAGGAAGGAGGAAACTGCATGGACGGACTAGTATTGGCATCCATTAGCCTAGCTAATTAGCAGCTAGGAAGAGCTCAGAAGAACATACATAATAAACTGTTCATCACTTTTCGTTGTCGTTATATTTTTTAAGCTGTATTTTCAGAAATGCTCTGGGAAAGACATACCTCTCATTTACCATTAAGAAGTTTTTCTGCAGGGACACTCAACAGAGTCTTTGCCCTACAAGTAAGTTGCCCTCCTGAATCGTGAATATAAACTGTGAATGGGGTGTTAGGAGAGCGGCACAACACCCCAAAGCAGCATTTTGCTCTTATGGCAGTTTAAAAGGGTTCTACCCTCCACCTTAAGAGGGTGCTGTGGAAGGCAAAGGTTAGCAGACCTTCCTTGAAGAATTTTCTCAAAAGAGACCATCTTCCTGAGGATGTTTCACCCCTCCCATTGCAAGAATCTGCTGACAAATGTTTCAGAAAGGAGGGGGCGGATTTTGCTCATTGCTTCTTCCGCTCCAGCCTGACTTCAAAGTGAGTCTGAGTGTTATCTGTATATAGATAAGGTGACTGCTCAAGCAGCTGTAACACTCATGCAGCCCAGCGTCTCTGATTAGTCTTTAGTTAGTTTATGCAGTAGCTGTAGAGAATAAAAGAAGTTATACTTCAGAGCTGTCGTTCGTGTGGTTCATACTCTGCTGACTTTTGGAATTGAGTTTGGTGCTCACGGCTCTAAGTTGTGAGTCCACAGCACTTAGACCTGCTCCCTGCAGTGGAAGGTCTCTGAGAGTGCTTTTCCAGCTCGCTTGGCCCAGTCGGGGCTGAAGAGGTTGAGCCCAGTCGTTGGCACTGGCTCAAAGGCGAAGCTGACACTTCCCCCGAGTTCCGCTGGTTAGAGCCTGGTGCTTATAATGCCAAGGTTGCAGGTTCAAACCCTGTATGGGACAGCTGCCTATGCTTGCATTGCAGGGGGCTGGACTAGATGATCCTCAAGGTCCCTTCCAACTCTACGATTCTATGATTTGATAAGAGCCAAAATGCTCCTCTCATTCCAGCTGGCATCTCCATGGGTGGGAAGGTCAGTGGGCCCAGAGGGAGCCACAAGGCAACACCCTCCGACTGTCACATTACGGCTGGTATGAAATGAAGGTCCTTTGGAGCAGCCATTAGCCACCCCTTCCCTTCCACATCCCTCCCTCTCTGACACCCATAGCCCCAACCGACTAGCCAGATGCAGATGGGCTCAGCTCATGTATTTAAATATATAAAAACACCCTTTTATTTGAGGATTTTCTTATGACAAAACACTTTTTTTTACAGTACAACAATCCAACATATGTTCAAATTATATACACCCTCCTCAGAGCAATCCTTAGGAATCCGCCTTTGGCCGGCAGTTAATATTTCCCAGCAGAAACAAGGAGCAGCATCTTCTGAGCTGAAACAAAGCCATGAAGAGCGGAAGGGGAGTCTGTCCTGCCATGGCCTCTAACGCCCATCCTGCCTGGGTGCCCTGGAGGATCCTGTAGCAGAGAGAGACCCCTCTCTCCCTGAACCTCATAGGAGATGCTCTGTGTGGGGTGAGTCTGCCTCCGTTTCAGAGGGAACAGCTGCCTTCCTTTCCTCCACAGCACAATCTGGAGTTGGGCGCAGGCCCCCCACTTAGACCCAGCAGCCACCTCTGCTCTGGAAGCCAGACAGGCCAATGGTAGCTGATCCGGGGTGGGGGGGGAAGGTCAGGTGGATGTGGCTGGCCACCCTCCCTCCACGCAGGAAGTCTCTGTGGCTGTGGAAGAAGAGCCCCCGCAGGGAGGGAAAGGAGGCTCCTCACAGGAAGAGAGAGGGCAGGATCCAGCCGGTCTGTGCTGCCGCCTGCTCACTCCCGCCCTGGCCCTTAATCTTCCTGGGCGAGGTCAAAGGGCTCAAAGGCCTGGCGGAAGTCTTGGGCTGCCGTGGCTTCTTCCTCCTGCCCCGCCTGGCAGCTCCTCCAGTCTGCCCGCCCAGGCATGGCCAGGATGGCTTCGCTGGCGAGGACCTCCCTGAGGGGAGAGAGAGGACACCCAGGAAAGCGTCAGCCCAGCCTGCTCTCTTCAAGCGCCCCCAACCCCACCAGGCCCACAGAGCAGTTGGCTTCCTGCCCCCTCCCCAAACCACTCTTCTGCTGGGGGAGGTTGAAGGGGCAGAGACACTGGAGGTTTCCAAGCAGAGGCTGGATGGTTTCAGTTGAGATTCCCACGTCGCAGGGGGCTGGGCTGGATGACAACTGGGATCTCTTGCAACTCTGCAATTCTAGGATTCTCTGACCAAGAGAATCCTGGGGCTCAGCAACCACCCAGCATGTGCAGAGCCCCTGTTACTGGGGGTGGGGACAAATGACAAACCTTCCAAACTGGAGGGGAAAGCTCTTCCTAATACGGTGGAAGAGCTTCTCCCCATTATCGAGCTCCACATAGAAATAAGGCGTCCCTGGCTGGACTATCTGAAAGACAAAACCCAAAGCCTCAGAACGTCTCTGGGGCAGCATTTCCGCTGCTGGGACCCCAGGGCTCAGAGTGGACAGAACACCAGAGCAGCCTCCTCCTTGCCTTGCCAGCCCCAGGCTGAGCTGGAGGTGCTGGGCCCAGCCTTGGAAGAGGTTTCAGCAAGTTATTTGCTAAGTTTATCCTGCCCGTTGACCCAAAGGCAGCAAATATGCCAGGGGTAAGGTAGGACCCTGCCCACTTGCAGCCAACTTGCAGCTTCGGTTCTCAAACATTTTGGAAGTCAAATGGTCTTCCGGAACGGATTACATTCAAAAACTGAGGTACCACTGTATTATTATTATTCATGGCTGCAGCAGGACCCAGGAAATCTGGAGACCCTTAAAGCAACCACAGAGTGATGGAGAGGCCAATACTCCCTCACCCCCCCCCCCGGTGGGTGGCTCTGTTGGCTGGCCCAGGACACAGATGGTCTGGGCAGCTGCCCAAATGGCTACTGAAGAGGAGTCTTCACACAACGTAGGAAGGGGAAGCCAAAAGGACTCCCGTTCAGGATCTGTCAGCAGCAGATGCTGGGCCTCCATGACTCTCAGGCCTTCCTCTGATTACACCTGACCCCCCCCAAGGGCCCTGCTATAGGCCTACTTCCCTCTGAGTGTCCCTCTCGGCTGATGGGGAGAGAAGCAGAAATGGCTCCAGGTTAGGTGAGCCACTTTGCAGTCAGTGACTATGGAGCAGGCGGCAAAGGAAGGACTAGTGACTGAGGTCCCCTGGATTAGCTGTGATTCCTGGACCAGATGACCCTTGAAGTCCCTTCCAACCCTGCAATTCTGATTCCTGGACATCCAGATGAATTTTGCATAAAAAGGTGGCTGCATGCAGCCACCAGCCGTCTCTGAGCATGGCCCACCCAAAGGGGTTGCTCCAAGGAGGGGGAGCTCCAGCCTCGCTACGGATGAAATGGACCTCGTGGCTCCAGGAGACCCTGGTGTGCTCCTTCTACCTGCTTGAGAGCCGAGTGCTCTGGGATCTCCAGCAACTCGATCCGCTGCTCTTCTGCCTGGACGATGAAGGCCTCCTTGATGTCTTCCGTAGTGCAGCAGTTCAGGGGAACAGGAACCACCTGGGGGATGAGAATCGGCACAGAGGAGTTGGCATGGTGCATCGCAGCCTAAGAGCAGAACTGCAAAGCAAGCTGAGAGTACCATCACAGGGGCCCACAGGGCGTCCCTCAGCACAGCTTGTCATCATGGTGAAAGGCAGAGAGCCTCTCCTGCAGGCTTAAACTTATGAAATTTGAGGAAAGAAGGAAAGGAAAGCTTTCCTGTAGCTGTAGGAGGTGAGCAGCAGCAGCCGGGGACTCTGCACCCTCCAGGAGCCCTCCGCTAACTGGCCTCCTCCACACTCTCTGTGACAGCCAGACGCCGCTCAGACACTGTCTCTGGCCGGCTACGCAGAACTGCCACAACAGCTGGCCAGGCTCCGAGAGCCCAGCAGCAACTGCAATCTGCTCCCCAGAAGGAAGGAAGAAGGAGCACCCCCTGCTCTCACGCCCATGGCCATCCCTCGCCGGTTCCTGAGGGACTAACCCAGAGGCCTCTCACCTGGAGCTGGAGGTGCTGACTGCGGTAGTTCCTCTCAAAGGCCACGAATCTCTTCCCTCTGGCCCCGAAGAACCTTTTCAGGGCGGACTTGTACTGCTCTACTTCTTCCACCACCTCTGATGCCAGGTCCACCATCGACTGACAGTGCCCAATGGGCAAGATGAGGACGTGGTCTGGAGTCAAGCCCCCTTTGGCTAGGGCCAGGTAGCACTGCAGCAGAACCAGGCGCAGAGGAACACAAAGGGTGAGCACCCCACCCCGCTAGCTCCGGCAGTGACACCAGCCGGGTCAAAGCTGAAGCAGCCCAGAGTCCCAAGGCGGCTCTCCCTGTGGTCATACTGAGGTTTCCCCGGATCAGCTGCTGCTTCCTTGCACACTGAGAGATACCAAAGAGCAGCTCAAGAGCATCCAGGGACGGGACAGAAAACCCCGGGAAGTCCTTTAAGAGGGAACCAAGCCTCCCTGCCAGGCTTCCCAGCAGCCTCCCCTCCAGGAGGCCAAGTCATGGCCAGCCTCGCTGCATCTCAGTCATGCTGCAGCAACTCCTGTCCTCAGCTGTGAGTCCACCTCAGACCCACACAATGCCCGGCAAGCTCCGAAAGGGACCAAGGCGGAAAGAAAGACTCACGTGCGTGCCGATGCTCACCACCAAATGCTTCTCGACTTCTGGGCTAGCAAGGCAAAACCAGCAGGCGGCCGTTGGCAGAGCTTAAACAGGCAGGTGGAGGGGGGAGAGACACAAACACTCACACATGTGTCGCAGGATGGCCAGCAGGAGGCAGCAAGAGCACTGTTTCCTCTGGGCAACTTGGTGGGCCAGGCCTCCAGAAAGACCCTCCTGCAGGCCAAGGCTGTACTGGACTCATGTGGGGAAGCTGACATTTTCTCGCTTCTTGCCCCTGAGCCCCCAAGGCATGGCCACTGCTTCTTCCCAAGCACAATGGGGATCTCAGGTGTAGCCCCACAGGCAGAGAACAGGCATGTGCTACGAGGGGGCTCAAATTGACTCAGGCAAGGGAGCCCACTCCCTTGAGGATCAAAAGCCCATCCAAGGTGGGAAGACTCTTTCACCAGCCAGCCACAGACAACTCCCTTCTCTCAGGATAGGATAGTAGCCTAACGGGAACCCTCTGGGCAGGGGGAACTTGGCAACCTAAGGCTGGACTACTGCAATGTGCTTCATTGGGGGGCTGCCCTTGGAAGCGGCTTGGAAGGCTGAATTTGTGCAGCTGCTTGACAGTTGACAGGTTGGAGGCAAGCAGATCCTATAACGTGAATCCTGTTGCAGCTCCGCTTGGAAGTGATTGGACACTTCCAAGCCTCATTCAAAGGGCTGGTTTTGACCCAGGAAGCTCTTTGTGAATTAGGGATTAGCCCTAACGTTTTATCATGTATTATTCTTATTCGTATTATCATCCTGTTGGTAGCTGCCCAGAGTGGCTGGACAATCCCAGTAGATGGGCAGGGTATAAATAAGAAATTATTATTATTATTAGGACCCTATTATCTTCTGGAACCCCTCTCCCACAAAAGAGACCTGCCAGACCCCCTGAGGGAGACTGGGAGGGTGGTGCAAGAGAAGTGCCTTTTTTGCTGTGGCTCCACATCTGCAGAGTCCATTCCCCAGCAAGGTCGCCTGCTGCTGCCTCCACTGTGTGTGTGTGCTCTTTAATGGTGTAGTGCAATTACCTTTATGTTTTGTACTGTGTTGTAACAAGTGAGTAGCAAGTCTAGAGCCTCCCCCTTAAGTGGCTCTGTTCTCTGCCTGCCGCCCAGTCAGAGTCTCCATGGAAGAAGTGCGGAAACGACCCCACAAAAGGCAAATCCAATTCCTGGCCTGAAGGGAGAAGTCCACCCTCTGTCCCCCGACTGGCCGAGGGGCTGCCAGCCCATGGAGAGAGGTGTGGGCCTGGTACTCACGGGGCTTGCCGGGGGCACGCTTGGGCTGCTGCCCCTCCCCACCTTCTGGTCGGCGCTTCCTTCCTTTTGGCTTGCTGCTTAAGTCAAAGAAGAACTGGGGAGCCGGCTCCTCCTGCAGAGCAAAGGAGAAGGGCTGCTATCAAGCCACCATCTGGAGAGCAGACTGGGGAAGGTACATGCTTCCATGTACCGTGAGGCCTGGCAATCCTTCCTCTGGAACCCTAGGAACAAAACTCTTTTCTGAAGGAGCTGCAAAGCGGGACTGGGGAGCCCCAAAATAGTGAGCAGCAGGACGAGCAGACAGGGCACAGCCTGCTGGAAGTTTCTTTCGGAGGAAACTTGGGAGATGATCCAAATTCAACTCTTGTGCAGTGCAGAGGGAGGATCAGTGGAACTCATTGTTGTGCCAGGATGAAGGCTGTGTCTGACAAAGCATCTCAGCTCCCCAGGTGGAACAACCTCCCCTGTCCTCCCCCCATGAGCTGTTTTTGGGGGATGCAGGGGGGGGAGTGGCAGTCCTGTTGCGCATGAAGTGAATTCTGGCCAGGATCTTCTGGAAGCAGAAAAGGGAATGGCCCCTTCTACTGACCATTCCCTGGCTGCTGAAGCCACCAGCTCCGCAACCTCCCTCCCCCATGTGCCTATCACCCAGCCGGTCAGAAATGGCCAACCCTCCCGATCCCAAATGCTGGGCATCGCAAGTTGCTGGCGTGCCACTTGGGGGCTCCCCATAGTGGACACTTGGCTGGCCATAAGAGAGGAAGAGGATGTGGGAATGAATGGGTCCCCTTTGGCCTGATCCTGCTGCTGGGCTCTCCTTACATGTTCTTAAACATGCCAGATTTATATCCCACCTTCCTCTCAGGGCAGGAAACACACTAGTGATAAGCCAATTAAAGTTTGTGAAGACAATTCCAATGCAGAGGCAAATTGGGGGGGGGGGGGCTCTGCTGGAAATGCACGTGTGCAGCCCCCACCCCCAGTACCTTTTCATCCGGCAGCAGGTGGGCACAGCTCTTGCCGCCCCCAGGCCTTCGATAGGGGTTCTCCGTCACATCTTGCGGCTGCTTGACCAGCTCTGCAGGCTCCATGGAGCTCATTGGGAGGATGCTGAAGGCGTAGAGATACTGGAGAAAGCGAACAGCAAAGAGAGTCAGGAGAAACACAAACAACTGACTTGTTTCCATCAATGAAACGGTGATTACTTTGACAATTCTCATCAGAGGAGACAGGAGGGTCCCTGGAACTCTCTGTACCTTCCTCTTGTCGGAATTGCCCACCCCGGCCAAGGCGATGAACCTGCTGACATGCTGGGCTGCCTCCTGGAGAACCGCGTGGTTCCTGCAGAAGAGAAGAGTGAGGCCACTTCCAGCAGGAATCAGAGAAACCAAAGAAGTGCCATGCACAGGTCAACATGGAATCTGGACAGAGTTCAGCTTCTTCCAGAGCAGCTCAGCAAGTCACTCATTGAAAGCCTCCAGGAAAGGAGATTCCAAAACTCCCACGCTGAAAGGTGTCCTGCTTCACAGCACCATTTTCCAGTTATGGGAGGGGCACGAGATGGGCTACAGGTGGAACCATCAATGCAGAACAAATTTGGAATTCTGTAAAATCCCAAAACATCAGGGTAGCAAGCAGATTCCCCCTCTGCCTCTCCAAGAGGACTCAATGCAAAGAAACTGCTTGGAGAATTTCAAGAGGCCACTTATGCACAGCAATAGTTATCATATAAATAATAATAATAAACAATATTCCTCCCTGGCCTAATGCATGGGATTGCATCAACACAGAGACACCAGCCAGTCAGCAAACTGCGATCCCAGGCTCTGCGTACCTGTAGGGAAGCCTTTCGTAATAGACCTTTTGCAGGGCAGCAAAATGGTACCGTGGTTTCAGACTCGCAGCTAGTAAAGACACCAGGCCGGAGCCACATTTCTTAGTGTCTATGTCACCCTGTTTAAAACACAAACACACACATTTTGTTTCACATTTCTGTGGATTTGTTAGCAGCCCAAAGAAAGAAAGTAAGTCCCCCTCTGCCCATGTTTGTGAACTGCAGAAGGAAAGGATTGTTTTCTTGGGGAAAGTAAACCTGCTTCCTAGAAAGCCTCTCCCTCCAGCACAGCCCCCTCCACATCTGGGCCAGGCTGCTGAAAGGCTGTCTGGCTGCCATGGTAAACAGCTCACCTGTGGAGGTCTCTGAAGGGGGCCTCGTGCTGCACCCCCCTTCGTCTGATCTCAGGCTGGTGCCTGGTGGCTTCCCCATGGTGGCCCCAAGCCTGAGAAGGGTCTCCAGCCAGAAGCACATCTGGCTCTCAATTTAATGGAGACTTTCTTCTTCTCTCAGACTTTTGAAACAATGACAGCATTTGGTTTGATAACTGTTTACCACAGTTTTGGATATACTGTTATGCATTTCCTTTCTCCATTTTAGAAAGGGTTGGGCTATTTCCTGTTCCTTTATTGTCACTGCAAAAATTATTTATTATGCCTGCATCCCACTCTTGTAGTCAGCATTTATTTTCTTCCAACGCTGAGCCACATTTATCTATTGCCATCCTCTGGGTTCAAGTATTGCACATCACCACATATTTTTATTTCAGTTGACTTTGTGGTATTCCTTACTGTTCCTGCTTTTCCAAAGTGGTGTATAATTTCAAGCACAGATTTACAATCACCACCACCACCAATCCAGAATGTGGATTTCTATGGAACAGAACATACAAGCCCCTCCCACCCAAAACTGGATACTTACAGGGCTATTTCCAAAGATTTCTACTCCTTTTGGCCAAGAAGATGTCAGCAAGATGTCTACGCCTTTGAACTTAGAGGCAGACAGCAGGGAGGTTTTGAGATCAGTCACATCCTTGGTGCTGAAGCAGTGGGCTGGAGTTGGTTCCCCCCCTGTGGACTCAGTCCCACTGAGGTAGGCAATCTGCAGCCCAGAGGCGCCGCTGAAGACCCCTTTACGTCCTACATGCACAGCACAGAACACAACAGTCAGGATCAAACCCTTTGACACACCAGCAATATGCCTGAAGCCTGGACACAATTAATTCTACAGGGAGAACCAGAAAGATCCTAATTGGGTGTATATGTTGGAATTCTGATTTGTTCAAGAGACAGGGAAGGAGCCTCTCTGCCTTGTGCTGGAAAGAACTTTTCCCTGGCCAGTAAAAATGCCCAGTCTTTCCCCAGCCCCTGGTAGAGCCTGGCAGATGCCTGCATTAAGACCCATTCAATTCCTGGGTCAGGTAGCTTGGCATGGAGTGGGGTTGGGGGCTGAGTGAACAGGGGTAGAAACCTTGGCGAGCCCCACACCATCACCTTCTTGGGAGCATTGAGAGAGCTCAGAGGGACATCATCCCTCTCCTCCAAACAAGAAGGCTGAAGGTCAAAGATCTTTGTTCTCCACCAAAGGAAGGGCAGGTGGTAGCCGTGCTCCCAAGCCCAGACCCCAGCAAGGAAGGACCCAACTGAGAAATCTCATTTAGCACAGTAACTTTCCATTTGGAAAAAGAAACAATTTCTGGTTTTGCTGGTTTGAAGGAAATACAAAATATGGTTCCCACAGAGCCCTAAATTGGGGCCCAAACCATGCCTGAGTCCCAAGAGCAGTCAGCTCCTCCTCCCCCCGTCAGCTTTTAGGTGCAAGCCTGAAACCTTTCTATTTGCTTGGGCTTTGGTGGTTCTTCACCTCCATTGTGGTGCTCATCTTTTAGTGGGCATGGGGAGGGATCGTCCTTTTCACTGGATTGTTGGACGAACAGTTTTAAGATTCTGTATGGTGCATCATTTTAAATCTGGCTTTTAACTGATTTATCTCTCTGTATCTCTCTGTGGTCTAAACCACAGAGCCTAGGGCTTGCCAATCAGAAGGTCGGCAGTTCGAATCCGTGTGACAGGGTGAGCTCCCATTGTTCAGTCCCAGCTCCTGCCCACCTAGTAGTTCGAAAGCACGTCAAGTGCAAGTAGATAAATAGGTACTGCTCTGACGGGAAGGTAAACGGTGTTTCCGTGTGATGCTCTGGTTCGCCAGAAGCGGCTTAGCCACATGACCTGGAAGCTGTCTGCAGACAAACGCCGGCTCCCTCGGCCTATAGAGCGAGATGAGCGCGCAACCCCAGAGTCATCCGCGACTGGACCTAACGGTCAAGGGTAACTTTACCTTTATTTTTTAAAGAAGCTACTCTCAGACATTTCCCCCCTTCCTTTTAATTAAATGTAGTAAACAATAAGCATAAAGTTACCCAGGTAAGTGATGTTCTCCGCTAGTTCGCATCCGCTGGCATCTGGAAAACATTGTGCTGTTTCACTGTTGTTGGCACCCAAGACGTATGTCTGTATAGGAGCTGAGGGAGACAAAGCCACCGTGGCCTAAATGAGATGAACTTTGCAGGGCTGTTATTTCTTGGTGGTGGCACCCGCCCTGTGGAACGCCCTCCAATCAGATGTAAAAGAAATAAACAACTATCTGACGTTTAGAAGACATCTGAAGGGAGCCCTGTTTAGGGAAGTTTTTAATGACTGATGTTTTAATGTCTTTTTAATCTTTTGTTAGAAGCCGCCCAGAGTGGCTGGGGAAATGCAGCCAGATGGATGGGGTATAAATTGATTAATTATTATTTCTTTCTCCACAGACAATTCATTTCAGAGAAAGGGCTGGCTTTTGAAAAAGATATGACTGGGCACTGTGGTGTAGGCTAGAAAGAGAGTGAGCTTCCTACATGGAAAGGGGTCCTTCACAGGGAGAACGCTGCAGATGTGTGACCCCACAGTGAAAGTCTGAAGGGCTGCAGCCCAGACACAGATCATCACCTTGGCTGGAAAACAGCCTGAGGTGAGGGAGAGGGGCTGGGAGTCAGGGTTTGAAACGCCCATTGTTCTGTGCGCATTTTGTGACAGGGAATTTCATTAGCATGAGCAGTTTCTGAGCTCTAGGTGCAGGAGTGTGCCTAAGATTTCAGATTAAAACTACAGAGTGGAAAGATAGGAGGACCCTGGGGGGGCGGGCAGGGGAAGCATGGCTTTGTTTTTTGCAGTCTACAGATAAGGCCTAGACCATGTGAAAAAGGAGCCTAAGACTTTAGCTGCCGTTCATTCATTTCCAGCTTTGTATCCGCTCCCCGTTTTCCTCGCCCTACCTTTCTTGGCTCCCGTCTGGTATTCCTCCCATTCTGGGTCTTGGGCCGAGCCAAAGAAGTTCCCCACGCACAAGAGGAGCTGCAAGAGAAGACAAGGGAGACGTTCAGGAGGAGGCCCGGAGGAGGCTCGGCGCCCGCCGCGCGCGGAGGAGACGAGGGGAAGGGGCGCCCTTACGTCGAAGGGGCCGCTCTTGCTCTGCGCCGCCTGGACGCGGCTGTACAGGGAGCCCAGGCGACCCTCCACGTCCCCGCAGACCAGCCTGGAGGGGGGAGAGAGAGAGAGAAGGCGCGTCAGGGGGGGGGAGGCGGACGGAGGCGGCCTGGGCCGGAGCCCCGAGAGGGAGGAGGCGGGCGGGGGGGAGGGAGGGGAGGCCGGCGGGGCCTGGCTGGGGCTCACACTCTCAGGGCGCCGCCGGGCGCCATCGCTCTCCCTCACTCTCCTTCCTCTTTCCGGCGGAAGGGCACTTCCGGCTGGGGCGGGCGGTGCGTCGCCCAAAGTCCTCCGGGGCGGGGAGGCGCGTCTGCGCATGCGGCTCCGAGAGAGCGAGAGCGGAAGGAGGAAGCCAGCGCCATGTCCTCCGGCGGCGGCGGCGGGAGCAGCGGAGGCCTGGCCGGGGAGGGGGAGGCCCGTCGCTGGCCCGGCCCGGCTCCTCCGGGGCCGCCGCCGCGCTCCTCCCGGCCCGCCCGCCCCGCTGGGCCGGGGCCAGTCTGGCCGGGGCGGCGGCGGCGCTGCTCCTCCTGCTGGGCGCCTCCGTCCACCAGGTGCAGGAGGGCCACCTGGCCGTCTATTACAGGTGAGGGGAGCGGGAGGGAGACCCCCGGGACCCCCCCGCCCCTCCGGCCTCTCCGCTCAGCCCCTCTCTCTCCCCAGGGGCGGGGCGCTGCTGGCCACCCTCAGCGGCCCGGGCTACCACCTCATGCTGCCCTTCGTCACCACGCCCAGAGCCGTCCAGGTCTGTATCTCCCGGGGGGGGGGGGGGCTTGGACTGGCAGCCGCCGCCCTGCCAGCTGCCCGGCAGGGAAAGGGGCCTCTGCCGACCCGCGCGGGGCTCCTGCCGGGGAGGAGCAGGCGGGACCTTCCCCGCTCCAGGCCCGCCCCCCCAGCCCCGTTGCCGCTGCTTCTGGGGTTGGCAGGGACCCTCCGCCCTCCCGGGGCCGCTCAGTCTCTCTTCTGTTTCAGACAACGCTGCAAACGGACGAGGTGAAAAACGTGCCTTGCGGGACCAGGTGGGTCGCCCTTTTTATGGCTCTTGCTGCGTCGGAGGCTGTGCAGGGAGGAGCCCCTTAGGCTGGGCGGGTGGAGCCTGAGCGGCGTTTTCTGGGCTGGAAGCACCCAGCACCCCGTCAGTGGCTCTGCTTCTTGGCTGCTCAGTGAGATGTGTTGGGCAGGATTCTGCCAGCAATCTCTTCCGGAACCAAAGGGCTCAAAGGCAGTTTGCTTAATGGAAGCTGCAAGCAGCCAACAGGCTCAGCTTGGGAAAGATGCTCTCTTGTGGGGCTGCTGGCCTTTCTCTTGCGGGGGGGGGGCAGTCAGGTGTATGGCAGGCGCCCCAGTCTGGCTCTTGGCAGCTGCTGGACGCAGCCAGGCTACCTAGTTATCTTTCAGTTGTAGCAGTGTGAAGGCAAAGACGGGAGCTGGGGTTGCCTCTAGAGTCCTGTGTTGATTCCTCTTCATTTTCTCTTGCGTGTTGCTCAGTAGAGGTGTAGGTTAACCTTCAGTCTGTGCCAATAGCAGTGCAATAACCGTGGGACCTGTGTCTGTTCCAAGTCTCTCAGCCGGCGGCTTCATTGCTGTTGTCGTCATTGGCTCTGGCGGGAGTTTGTGTTGTGGAGGGAAGTGCTGCTGGTGCAGCAGCCCAGCTGGGCGGTCTGTGCCACTCGCTCCTGTGCCCATTGTTGAGGGCCAAAGGTTATCTAGGGTCTCCTGGTTCTAACCCTGAGATGAGAACAGGAAGCTGCCTCAGACCAGCCCCCTGCCCACCCCTGCTCTCTTGCACTTAAACTCTGTGCACGCTGTCTCTGCCTCTCTCCCTCTTGGTGGAGAGAAAGGCTCCAGGAAACTGAGTTTGCCCCAAGGGGTGGCAATAGCTCATCTTCCTCCTTTTTTCCTTGCAGTGGAGGAGTCATGATCTACATTGATCGGATAGAGGTGGTGAACATGTTGGCTCCTCATGCAGGTATGGCTCCTTTTCCTGTGCCTGAAAGCAAATCCTGGAGGAAGGAGAGAAGCAGAGCCCCTCGGAGACGGGCGGGTGGGCTCACCAGCAGCAAGAGCTGAGGGAGGTGGAGGGTTGGTGGGCGTGGAAAGGGGCTTGCAGAGGGAAGTTGGAGGAGCTCATGTTGCTGAAAAGGAGGGTTTCCTGTTGACTGTTCCTGACCTTTGATGTTGGCTCAGTAAGGATTGCTAGGCTGATGGAAAACAGCCAGGGGTGGGTCCGGAAGCTGATGCTCTTCGGTGTTGTTATTGGTGACTGGCATGAGCGAGACTTACACCCTCCGAAGGAACTGATTTTGGTCCAGCCGTAAAGGCTAAATTGCTTCTGAATCTGTCAGAGTCAAAGGCGTGTTTGTCTGTGTGGGGCAGGCTGAGCAGGCAGAGAGACTCTCCTTGGGCACCTGCAGGGGAGGCAGTGGGCAGAGCTGTTCTGGTGGGGGGAGTGGCTGGGGCGGCAGGAGGAGGGGGAAGAGAAGGGAAGTGGGGTCCGGAAGGGCACCAGCTGGAAAAGGAGTGCAGGACAGGGCTTCTTGGGGATGGCAGAGGGTGAGCTTTGAGAAGAAGCTTGGCAGCTGGGCTTCTAGGAAAAAGCAGAGACTGACTCCCGCTGGGGCCTGGCTCTCACCACAGTCCCTGCGAGGCTTTGCAGGATGTTGGGAACTGCTGCTCACTGGACTTGTAAAGGTGGACTTCTGTATAGAAGCTTTCAGTTGCAGTTGACATAGAAAGAAAAATATTATCAGTCTCCTGTAACATCACATTGTAATGTTTTCATTAGAGCTGCTCACTTTGGAACTACTGAGTAAAAATTAGGACATTTGCTCATTAGGCCACTGCCATCTTTTTGGGGCTGCAGCCTTAAGCACACTTTCTTGCAAGTAAATCACACTAAAACCAGTTGGACTTCCTTCTGAGTAAATATAGCTAGGATCCGGCTTCAGATGTGTGGACCACTTTTTATACTTACAAGTCATATTCAATTGTTAGTTAGGAATTGTGATTAATTCAGAGAAATAGCTCCTATGTGTTCAAGAAACGCTGAGCACCAGCATCTTGAATTTGCCTGACAGGTGAGAGAGCACCAATGGCATCAGAGTGACTTTCCAGTGACACTTCTGCTGTTCCTTTTCTTAGTATACGATGTTGTGAAGAACTACACTGCAGATTATGACAAGACCCTCATTTTCAACAAAGTCCATCATGAGCTCAACCAGTTCTGCAGTGCCCACACCCTCCAGGAGGTCTACATTGAGCTCTTTGGTAAGCAGGTGACGGGGGGCTTGCTTTTGCTGGTACCGTTTCCCCAAAGCACATCCAGTGAATTGGAAATGGAGCAAGGATGTTTACATAGTTCCTTCCTTCCTCTTCTGGGACGGCATGGGAGAGGAAGCCCACAGAGATCTTGTGCCTCTTGCTCAGTCAGGACTTCGTCCTCCAGCTCTCACCTGATGATGATGATGATATTTTCTCATATATACACCACCCATCTGGTTGGGTTTCCCCAGTCACTCTGGGCAGCTTACAACATACCTAAAAAATAATAAAAAGATCATTCCTTAAAAACTTCCCTTAACAGTGCTGCCTTCAGATGTCTTCTAAAAATCAGATAGTTGTTTATTTCATTGACTTCTGGAGGGAGGGTTTTCCACAGGGAAGGCACCACTACCGAGAAGGTCCTCTGCCTGGGTCCCTGTAACTTCGCTTCTTGCAGTGAGGGAACAAGCAGAAGATCCTTGGAGGAGGACCTTAGTGTCCGTGCTGAGCAATGGGGGTGGAGATGCTCCTTCGGGTATACTGGACCGAGGCCGTTTAGGGCTTTAAAGGTCAGCACCAACACTTTGAATTGTGCTTGGAAACGTACTGGGAGCCAATGTAGGTCTTTCAGGACCGGTGTTATGTGGTCTTGGAGGCTGCTCCCAGTCACCAGTCTAGCTGCCGCATTCTTTATTCATTGTAGTTTCCAAAGGTAGCCCCACGTAGAGCGCATTGCAGTAGTCCAAGCAGGAGATAACCAGAGCATGCACCACTGGTGAGACAGTCTGCGGGCAGGGAGGGTCTCAGCCTGCATACCAGATGGAGCTGGTAGACATCTGCCCTGGACACAGAATTGACCTGCGCCTCCACGGACAGCTGTGAGTCCAAAATGATTCCCAGGCTGTGCACCTGGTCCTTCAGGGGCACAGTTACCCCGTTCAGGACCAGGGAGTCCCCCACCCCTGCCCACCCCCTGTCCTCCAAGAACAGTACTTCAACCATCCGCCAGTAGTTCAACCATCCGCCAGCTGCCTCCAGACCCTCACACAGGACCTTCACCGCCCTCATTGTTTCTGATTTGAAGGAGAGGTAGAGCTGGGTCTTCCCGGTCCTCCTGAGGTGCTGGATCAGGAGGAATGCAGGAGCCTTTTGTGTTGTTGGACCTGCTCCAATTTCAGAATCTGCACTCCTGTTTCCTTAGATGTCTGGCAGGCAGGGTAAGAGGCTGCATGACCAGACTGGGATGGAGTGCTTGGGGAATTTGGGATTTCTGAAGGAGGAAGAATATTATTAGGAGAGAGATGCAGCTGGCAGCTGGGCATTGTGTAGAGACACCCACAGAGCTCCCAGTCTGAGTTTCAAGTATTCTGCTTCACATTAAGCACCACAGAATTACTCTTGGTAGTGAGAACAATATTTATTATGGCATCCTGATATTTTGCCAGCTGTTCTTGGGCTTGTCTGGCAGATCCGATTCTCTGCTTTTGGGAATCTTCGACTGGGTTGCCTGAGGGCCCCGTCCACAGCTGGGCAGTTGGCAGGGCAGTCTGGTGTCTTTGTTGACTCTTGCCTGTGGTTGGCACAGGGGGTGCATGTGGTTCAGTGGCGCAACATCTGTGGTGCATGCAGAATTCCTGTGGGTCAAGTCCTGGCAGTGTTTCCAGTGAGACTGACATGAAGCCATTGCGGCTGGTCAGTGCAGGCAGCACAGAGCCAGCTGGAGAAATGCTGGGACTCTTGTGTAGCGGACTCTCTTTGGCTGATGCTGCCTCTCATCTTTTCTCCCCCTAATCCTAGATCAAATAGATGAAAATCTGAAGTTGGCCCTGCAGCAGGATCTGAATGCCATGGCTCCAGGTCTCACCATCCAGGTAATGCCCCCTTCCCTTTTCCCTTTCCTGGCTCTTGGTGGATTTAGGACTAGCCCACTTCTCTGCGTGGGGATGCAGGTTGAGGAGAGAGAGCTTCCCTCTGTCGAAAATGGAAACTTGCCATATTGCTGGCTGGGGGGTCCAGTCCAGCAGGACGGGCCCAGATGCAGGGGGCTGCTTCCTTTCTTTGCAGCAGAGGAGCTTGCACTTGGGGGTCTGCTGCAGTCTTATGAGGTCTGCTGGCTTTTGTGTGTGTGCAGGCAGTGCGTGTGACGAAGCCCAAGATCCCAGAAGCCATCCGAAGAGATTTTGAACTTGTGTGAGTATTTGCTGAGAGCATCAGAGAAAGGTCAGGCCAAAGCATAGGGCCAGGGAGGAGCTCTAGGCCAGTGTTTCAGGATTCCCACGGGGGCCAACCAAACGTCTCTTCTGGGAAGCCCTGGCAGGCAGGCTGGACCTGAACTCCACCAGTTTTCACCTCCCCTTGGGCTCCTCAGCCCCTGCTCTCCTGAGGCATCTCCTCCGTCCGGCAATGAAGGTAGTACACAGCCACAGCGTGGTTTCGTAGACATGGACAGCCTCCTCCTCTGTGGATTTGTGCCCACCATTTTCTCAGAGGTCTCTCCCCATTCTGTGCAGCTGATGCAACGGCCAGGGTGGGAGAAGCGCCTCTCAGGCGGCTTTGCTTACGTCTCCTTCTCAGGGCTTTCAGGCCTGGGCTGCCCTGCAGTTGCCAGGAGAATCAGAGCGGAGTGTCTCTGCTTGCCAGGCCCCTGCAAAGAGGAAAGGAGCAACCAAGGCTGTTGCTGGATTGCTCTGGGCTATGCCTGAGATTGCTCTGGTCTGGCCCTTCTATGGCGGAGGGACGGGCATGTGAAGAGAGAGATGGTTGTTCGGGGGGTTTGGGGTTTACATTCTGGCATATGGAGAAGTAGGTGGCCGCCAGTTGGACTGCTGTAAACTAGCGGAAGATGGCAGGAGTTGGAGACCACCAGTGGTGCCTGGAGGTATTGGGTAGAGCAGGCCGAGAGACGTGGCTGGAAGGCTGAAGGAAAAACATCTCGGGCAGCTCATTAACTCTTCAGGACCCGTGACACTCTGAAGTGCAAATGTTTATCTTTTGGGTTTCCCCCCAAACACGCCATGTATCTGAATGAGAAAACATTCTGTCTAGTGAAGGGAAGGGCCAAGATCCAGTGCTGGAAAAGGAAACGCGTGAGTCTGGAGCAGGGCAAAAGCTGGAGGGGATTTAAAGGCCAAGCTCCTGCTTTGCGCAGCACCTTGGGATGCAAACAGCAGAGGGGGGGCAGCCACCCCCTCCCAGGGCCCCTTCCTTCCCAAGGCGGCTGGGGCCCCACACCAGGGATGAGCAGGGAAGGACCTTTCCTGTTTTGCCATTCAGGGAAGCAGAGAAGACGAAGCTCCTGATAGCAACCCAGAAGCAGAGAGTGGTGGAGAAGGAGGCCGAGACGGAGAGGAAAAGGGCCGTCATAGGTAACCAGACTCCCTTTGGGAGAGTCTCTCTCTTCCCCCCACCCCCGGTCCCTTATCTTCCCTTGGGACAGAAAATGGCGAGGCTGGGGAGGCATGTGTGGCACAAAGACCTTAGATTCTAGGCTTCTGGCTGGATCTAGACACATCCAAAAAGCATTTCAGGAAAATGCATTGCAAACCTCATGAAAAACGGAACTCCACAGCGCCATATTTGTTTCATACAATTTATATACCATGTGATTGTTAAAAAACCCTAAAGTGGTTTATGAAATGCATAAAATGAAAAAAACAGTAAAAGCAGTTAAAAACAGCTATTTAAAACAATTAGATAAGAATTGAAACCAGCAGTAAGCTAAAAATGGATAAAACATCTTACATTTTTTGGGCAGGCTTGTCTTAAACAAACTATTCTTAGCAGGCGCCAAAAAGGCCACAGTGATGAAGGCACCTGCCTGGTGTCAATAGACAGGGAGTTCTGAAGTGTGGAGGCTGCTGCAATAAAAGATCAGTTTCTGGCAAATGCGGAACGAGAATCCTGTGGCAGCTGTGTAGCTTATTGCTTGACATGGCAAACAGTTGCTAGCGCCTGGTTGCAAAGGCAGCCTGGAGCAAGAGACTGGAGAGGGGCCTGTGGTGACCGCTTCACTTCTGGCAGAGGCCAGAGTGTCGTCTTTCCCCAGGCCCAGCAGGGCCTTTCTGAGAAGAGGACATGGCCTGTGAGGTCCCAGTGACGATGTGTCGCAAGCCAGGCCTGTGGGCCCTTTGGGGTTCTTGGTTGCCTGCTGCTAGAGCGCTGTTGCCACAGATTGCCTCTCGGGAGTCCTGGAGCGCTGGCTGTGGGGCTCGGCTTTGCCCGGGTCTGGAGCATTGGTGCCCTTGGCTGCTGGTGTTTGACTGACTGCTCTCTCCTCACAGAAGCAGAGAAGGCCGCTCAGGTGGCAAAGATTCATTGCCAGCAGAGGGTCATGGAGACTTTGATGGAGAAGCAAATTTCTGAGCTTGAAGGTAGCTATGCAGCCCTTACCTCTACCTCCTCCCTGCCTGCAAAGCAGAAGCTGTGAGCCAAATAACCCTGCGTCTCTGACTGTGCTACCCACAAGCATTTTGCCTGCAGCCAAGCAGAGCACTGGGACTTTGCCTGTCTTCTGGGGACTGAGAAGCCAAGTCCGGGTGCAGCCTGGGTGTCTGGCCATAGTTGAGCACTGATGCCTTGTGGATGCCACTGGGGGTGGCCCAAGGCAGGGGCTCCTTTGCTCCAGATTCACTTGTGTTCACTGGCTCAGATTGCTTGAGCCTGAAAAACAGATCTGCAGGGCCTGTGGGTTTCCAGGGCCGTATCCCCATGGGGCACCCTGGTGATCCTCCTCTCTCCTGAGCTGCCTTCCTTGGTCCCTTCGCAGACACGGCTTTCTTGGCGCGAGAGAAGGCGAAGGCTGACGCCAACTTCTACATGGCCCAGAAAGCAGCTGCCTCGAACAAGGTGGGTGTTGACTCTTGGCTGCCCGTGTGTGTGCTGGGGGTAGATCCTGAGCCATCCTCTGGGAGAAGGAAAAGGATTTTGCCTCAGAAACACAGAACTCCTGCTCATTTGGAAGGATGGCTGCACTGTGGGTATCCCGTGGATGCTCATGGCACAGAAATCCTTGCCTCATTCGTTCTCCTCCTCTCTCCCCCTGCCCTGTGCAGCTGAAACTGACACCTGCCTTCCTGGAGCTGATGAGGTACCAGGCCGTGGCCTCCAACAGCAAGCTCTACTTTGGCAGCAGCCTCCCCCCGAACCTCTTTCTGGGCTCTTACGCCTTTGAGCCGGCAGAGGCGAGGACTGCTAGAGACAGCCGTCTCCTCTCCAAAGCAGGGAAGCTGCGCCTCCAGCACGGGGGAGGCGGAGCCAGCTCTGCCACGGCAACCGCCACTTGATGCCTCTGCTGCACCAGCTGTCGTGTCTGCTCCGTGTTCTGAAACTGCAACTCACTGGCTGCCTCAGATCTGCCTTCTTCAGGGCAGCACAAACCGTCCTTGAAGTTGCGTGGTCCTCCACAGCCCAAGGGCCAGCTTTCATGGGAGTTTTATGGCTGCTGCATCTGCCCCACAGAGGAGGGGTGGGGGGGGTGCTCTGGAGGACCTCAGCCGTTAAGTCCGTGGAGGGTAGACTCTACCGCAGACCTCCTGTGAGGACAACTTTGACACAGCAAAATGGGGGCGGGGAAATCTGATTTTACCACTGGTGCTTGCATGGTCATGGGTTTTGCTGGAAAGCTGCTCTTCAAGCCTCCTTGCAGGGTTTGCTTGTGATGAAGGAGCATCTGTTGTCCTTTTGGAGAGTGTTCCTCTCTCAAAACCTTCCTCCAGGTAGTACTTTCAAGCTCCCTTGGGTGTGGGTGTGTTGCGCTGCTTGATCATTGCTTCTTTCTCTCTGTCCCCTGGGTGGGGCATTGCCCCTCTGTGGAGCCCACCCCACAACACGGTACCGGATGCTCCTTGCAGAGATGCCCAAAGGCTGGGGCCAATGGCCAGGTTGAATGAACCGCGATGCCAGGGCGTGTGCAGAAGTGGGGACACATTTGTTGGGTTGTAATTATAAACTGGATTAAACTGGTGGGCAGACTTTGCTTCAGAACTTAAAAATGCATTTGTGGAAGGTAAACCTGCTGACTGGAAGTGTTTCCTGGCTTTTTTTGTATGGCTTGTATTTCAAAAAAGCAAGAGAGAGATATGCAAAATGTTGAACTTTGGATTAAAGGAAAATAAAGTTATTTTCATAATCTTTTCCTGTGGCTTCTGTATCTGTGCTGCATCTCAATGGTTGCCTTCTAGCCTTTAACAAGCTGCTCTTCATCTCACACACACTGCATTTCGCCAGAGCAGATTAGTTTCTCTCCCCGCTCCCCCGCAGAAAGCTAGTGGAGGGGGGGGGGGTTGAAGAGTGAGTCTGAAGTGCCAAGTTTCTCAGCTCCAAAAAAGGCAGGTTGCAGCAGCACTGCCAATGCCATATGAACAAGCAAGAAGCTTCCCTCCTTGCAGGTGTGTGTGTGTTGGGGTGTTACAAGGGAGCTTTCAATATATGGTGTGGGTGTCCTCTTTAGCAAGCCCACAACTAAGACAGTCTAATGGAAAGGCCCCTCTTTCCCAACAGAGCATGTAGGACGCAGTGTGGGCTGCCCCAAGGTTATGGGATGGGGCCTTGCTGTGCCCCCTTTGGCTCCATCACCATCTCATAGGCCTCAACGCCTCCCTCCCGCCACCTGTGTCACATGACAGGACTTCAGGAACTGCTTACAGGTATTCTTTATGTCAAGTAAAATACACCAAATTGTTCAGCTGCGTTGAAAAAGTAGATGCATCCAGAAACGCCACAATTCTTTATGGACAAGCAACGGCGGCTGCAGCGGGAGTGTGTTGCTGCAGTTCTAGGCTACCTACGCAATAAAAGTGCTAAATTTATGTGGGGAGTTCTGGGTGCAGCCCCTGGGGAGAGGAAAGGGGGTCACTGGGTGGCCACCAGAGGCCTGGGGGGCCCCGCCTGCAGCACGGCTTTCTGGCTCCGCTCGGCAGACATGTGCTCCAGCCGCTCCGTGTAGAAGCCGTTGAAGTCCAACCTGGGGGCGGAGAGAGAGAGGGAGAGGAGGGTGGAAGCAGCACAGGAGCGTGACCAGGAAGTCCCTCTGCCAGAGCAGAAGAGCAGGGTCTGCAGAGTCCAACCTCCTCCTTCCTGCCATGGCCAAGCAGGCGCCATTCCCTGCACAGCTGCCCTGATGCTGGGAGGAGGACAGAGCCTCCACACGAGCCCCAGGCTCCCTCCAGCTGCCCAAGAGATGCTGCTCCCTGCTCACCTGTAAATGATGTTGATCATGCTGTGCTCGCAGTCGTTGGTGCTGTAGATGCTCAGCTTGTCCAGCAGGTCCAGGAGGTGGGCTGAGAAATTGCTGTCAAACTTGTTGATTGTGGCCTCGAAGCCAGAGGTGACCTGCGTGGTACCGGCCTGCTCTGCTGACAGCTGCAGAGGTGGGGGGAGGGGAGAGAGAGAGAGTTAAGGCTCACAAGGGAGAAGGGAGGGCAGGCAAGGAAGCGGCCCTGGCCTTGCTGCCATGGTTCATCCTGGGGCAGGATTTCCTGGAGAGCACAAGGACTTGGGAAGGAGCCAGATAGTGCTCAGCACCACGAGAGAAGGGCTCTGCCCACACTTGAGGTGCTTTCCTTAGCGAAGGGCTGGGATCTGCAAATGAAGAGGCACCTCCACCCTCCCCTGAACCCCTACCTTGTTCGCCAGCTGCTTCCGGGAGGATTCCTCTGTGCGCTCCTGCTCAGTGGGGGGCCCCCTCATGGTCCCGTGCTCCACCGTCAGGCGTCCCAGCTCATTGTCTAGCTTTATGCTGTTGGATAATCTCTGGTGGGTGGGACAAAGGCAGGCATGAGCCCAGAGCATGCTGGCGCACTCAGGGGGTGCCCCTCGCTCCCCGTGGCACAGAGGGACGCAAGAGGGAGCCCACCTGCATGCAGTTGGTGAACATGACGCAGACAGACATCATTTTGGAGAAGATCTTCAGCAGCTCTGGGTTGGTGAGCATGCAGTCCTTCAAGCAGTTGTCCAGGAAGCTGGTGTGGTGGCTCAAGACATCATCAATATTGGAAGCCTGCCCAGAGGAGACAGCAGCCCATCAGAAACGCCCCCCGGCAGCAAAGAGGGAATCGGAAACAGCCATGGCCAGAAATAGTTCTCTGTTCTTTTGCTACAATCAACATGCAGAGCTAGCGATGACAAAGCCTTATTTTCAGGGGCTGAGGCAGGTGGCAAAGGGAGCTCCATCTAACTGTCACATTGGAGGAAAGGGAGCACTAGAAGCCAAAATGTAGCCAAGGGGGTTTCTGGGCCAGTGGCCTCCTGTGAGCAGCTACTTCAGGCTCTCCGGCACAGCAGAAAGCTCCTTACCAGCCAGAACCTTGCTTTCCCAAAAGAGCCTGACACCCTTCCAACTCACAAATGAAGCCCCTGTTTTAGCGGAAAAAGAAGAAAGCCCCTTGGGAACAGAGGCCCCACCCAGCCCCACCATTGGGGGGCGAAAGGAGGACTTGGGGCCTGGTGTGGCCCACAGAGGCTCTGAGAGCCACTGGCCCAAAACTGACCGACTTCAGGTTCTTCTCCAGGATGTGCCAAGTTGGCTCCATCACTTCGAACATCATGTAGTACTGGATATTCTGCACAAAGTTGAGCATCCGTTGGCGGAGAGTGAAGGCGCCAGCAAACCTGGGAACGAGAGAGGGAGGAGCCTGGAGGGGTAGATGGGAGGAGAGCCCCTGTGGGGCTGCAGGATGCTGCCCAGAAGCCCAGGAAGGAGCCCAAACCAGTGCCAGGCAGGAGGAGCCCTGCAATGGGGGGGGGGGGGAGGAAGGCAGCAAGGAGGAAACCCCCCCCCCCCGCAGCCAGTTCTGGCTACCAAGGTCTTTGCCCCTTGAGCGGCTTCTGAAGCCTCAGTGCCCCCTTCCAGAATCTGAAGGGGGAGCTCCCAGGGTCAGAGGACTTGCAGGGAGAGACCCTCTTGCTGCCAGGGGACCCAGCAGCCCAATGCCCTCCCATTGGCCTCGTCCATCCAAGAGGGTGTTCATTCTGCAGAAAGCAGGAAGGCCCAGGAAGCGGCCACAGCTCAGTGGGCTGAGCACCCACGGCACATGTGGAGGGGCCAGGCTCCGCTCTAGGCCTCCGCCTTCAGAGACTCTGCTGGCGACTGGGCCTGCTTGGCTCTGGGAGAGCTCACCATTTGGAGGAGTGCAGGGAGCACTGCTTGGCCGTCTTGCTGCTGATCCAGACATTGCACAGCTGGCGCTCCACATGTTTGCAATAGAACATGTGCCGGAAGAGCATCTGGTAGCGCGTCAAGGCCTTCCTAGGAGACGGGGAGAGGCGTGGAGGAGCCGCTGCTTGGCCAGGGCCCGGAGGGGCCAAGGCAGGTTACCCCAGGGCCAGGGGCCAGCCAGCCCTCTTTCCTCCAGAGGCACCAAGGAGGCCTTCCCAGCACCCCCTTCCCCTCCAGAGTTATGATGCATTGACTGAGGCACATGCACGGAGGAAGGAGGATCAGGATCAGGCCAATGGCTGGCTGTGCTCTGCCCCCTCTGGATGGAAAGGATGAGCCACCATCAGCTGAGCTGCTCTGCCTTACCTGTTGATGATCAGCGAGAGAGGCCACTTCACGATGTAATCGAAGGAAAAGGCTTCCAGGCCGCTGAGCGAGAGCTCCGTGGGGTCTGCGTGGATGATGGCCTTCTCCTGCTTGGTTTCGATGGCCAGGACTCTCAGGAGCTGCGTGATGAGATCGTGGGGCATCAAGTCAACCTGGAAAGAGGGAAAAGGGCCGCGAGAGGAAGGAGGCCAGTCAGACACTCAAACTGCCAAACAGAGCATGTGACTAGACTGTCAACAAACAAATGATAGCAAATATTTGAATTTTCATTCACTGACAGTCCGTGAGGCCAAAGTCAAACCCTGAACCAGCAGAAACACTCCATAGTAGTCTTAAAAAACCTGGAATAATAATAATAACGATATTTATACCCCACCCATCTGGCTGGGTTTTCGCAGCCATTCTGGGCGGCTTTCAACAAAGTATTAAAATACATTGGTCCATCAAAAATTAAAAGCTTCCCTAAACAGGGCTGCCTTCATATGTCTTCTAAAAGTGGGGTAGTAATAATAATAATAATAATAATAATAAAAAATTTTATTTATATCCCGCCCTCCCCAGCCAAAGCCAGGCTCAGGGCGGCTAACAACAAATAAATAATCAAACAATTAAATAGTCCAACATTCTAAAACATTTCATTATAAAAATTAATTAAAATCAAATTAATGGCAACCGTTGAGCAAAGTTCTGTGTAGGTTGCCGGAGGTGGGAGTCAGGCTGGGCCCTGACCAAAGGCCTGGTGGAACAACTCTGTCTTGCAGGCCTTGCGGAAAGATGTCAGGTCCCGCAGGGCCCTAGTCTCTTGTGACAGAGCGTTCCACCAGATTGGAGCCGCAGCCGAGAAAGCCCTGGCTCTAGTTGAGGCCAGCCTAACCTCTCTGAGGCCTGGGACCTTCAGGATGTTTTTATTTGCAGACCGTAGGTTCCTCTGTGGGGCATACCAGGAGAGGCGGTCCCGTAGGTACGAGGGTCCTAGGCCGTATAGGGCTTTAAAGGTTAAAACCAGCACCTTAAACCTGATCCTGTACTCCACCGGGAGCCAGTGCAGCTGGTATAGTACCGGATGAATGTGATCTCGCAGCGAAGACCCCATAAGGAGTCTCGCCGCGGCATTCTGCACCCGCTGGAGTTTCTGGGTCAGTCTCAAGGGCAGCCCCACGTAGAGCGAGTTACAATAATCCAGTCTGGAGGTGACCGTCGCGTGGATCACAGTGGCTAGGTCAGGGCGAGAGAGATAAGGGGCCAACTGCTTAGCTTGGCGGAGATGAAAAAATGCCGCCTTTGTTATAGCTGTAATCTGCGCCTCCATAGAGAGGGAGGTATCGAAGATTACACCCAAACTCTTAACGGACGGTGCTGGCACTAATTGCACCCCGCAAGAGATGGGAGTTGCCCCCAATCCCATATCGTCCCGTCCCAGCCAGAGGACCTCTGTCTTCGAAGGATTTAACTTCAACCGGCTTCCGCGTAACCATCCAGCCACAGCTTCCAAACATCTGGTCAGTGTGTCTGGGGCCGAGTCAGGATGGCCATCCATCAACAGATAGAGTTGGGTGTCATCGGCATACTGATGGCAACCCAGCCCAAAACTCCGGACAAGCTGGGCGAGGGCGCATAAAGATGTTAAAAGCATCGGGAGAGTATCGCACCCTGAGGCACTCCACACACCAAGGAGTGGCGGGATGACAATTCCCCCAAGCGCCACCCTCTGTCCCCGACCGGAGAGAAACGAGCGCAGCCATTGAAGGACTGTGCCCTGGATCCCCACGTCGGCAAGGCGGTGGTCCAGGAGTTCGTGATCAACCATGTCGAAGGCTGCTGACAGATCTAGAAGAATCAGCAGCCCCGACCCGCCTCGATCCAGCTGCCTACGGAGATCATCTGTTAGGGCGACCAGAGCCGTCTCGGTCCCATGACCAGCGCGGAAGCCAGACTGGAATGGATCTAGAGCCGATGTTTCATCCAGAAACCTACCAAGCTGTTCAGCAACCGCTCTCTCAATCACCTTACCCAGGAATGGAAGATTCGAAACCGGGCGGTAATTGGATAGATCTAAGGGATCTAATGATGTTTTCTTTAAGAGCGGGCGCACCACTGCCTCCTTCAATTCCCCTGGAAATATCCCGGTGCCAAGGGACAAATTGATGATATCCCCCAGGGGGGCCCGCACCTCGTCTGGACACGCTCTAATCAGCCAAGACGGGCACGGGTCAAGAGGACAGGTGGTGGGCTTTCCAGCTCGGAGGAGTCTGTCCACATCGGCTGGGGATATCCGATCAAAGTGGTCCAATACTGGACCCGAGGACAGTCAGGGCCTCCAGTTCCTTTATTGTATCCAAATTGGCAGGGAGGTCATGGCGGAGCAACAGGACCTTCTCCGCAAAAAAGCTTCGCAAACGCCTCACAGCTATGTGTCAGATTGTTATTTAAATTTGGCTGTCCTTCAAGGGACGTTAAAGACCTAATTATACTAAATAATTGCGCCGGGCGAGAGCTAGCGGATGCAATGGAGGCCGAGAAGTAAGACTTCTTAGCGGCCTTCACCGCCATCTCATAGGTTTTCATAAAAACCCTATAAGATGTTCTTGAGGCTCCGTCACGGGCACCCCGCCATACTCGCTCTAGCCGTCTGAGGTCCCGCTTCATTTTCCGAAGCTCCTCGGTAAACCAGGGAGCCCGGTTTCTGCGGAGTCGCAGAGGGCGCTTAGGTGCGATCTCATCTATGGCTGCCAGGAGCTGGGTATTCCAGCCCTCAACAAGCTCAGTCAATGAGTCGCCAGGGGAGCAAGGTCCCGCAAGGCTTGACGGAATCTATCAGGGTCCATCAGCCTCTGCGGGCGAGCCCAAATCGGCTCGCCACCTAAGCAGGGTGGGGGTGGAAAGTCAATCCTGGCTTTCAGAGCGTAGTGATCAGACCATGGCACCTTAATTGAAGGAGACATGATCACATCTATACCTACGCCAAAGATCAAATCCAGCGTGTGGCCTGCTTGATGTGTGGGGCCTGAAACAAACTGGGAGAGCCCTAGTGTTGCCATGGAAGACACCAGGTCCAGAGCCTGTGAGGAGGGAGTGGCATCAGCATGGATGTTGAAGTCCCCCAATACCAATAGGTTAGGGAACTCCAAGGCCCAGCCGGCCACCGCCTCCAGTAGGCCTGACAGGGTGGCTGCTGGTGCGCTAGGTGGCCGGTACACCAGCCAGACAGCCAAGCTCACCTCAGAGCCCCACACTAGGCCAACACATTCAATGCCAGGGATCGATGGCGATGGTAGAGCCCTGAAAGGACAATCTTCCCGGATTAATAATGCCACCCCTCCCCCCCGGCCCACAGTCCGTGACTGGTGGAGGACGGAGAAACCCGGGGGCGCCATCTCTCGTAAGGTAACTGTTGCCCCTTCGCGTACCCAGGTCTCCGTCACACAAGCCAGGTCAACCCCCTGCGAGGTAAAGAAATCTCGCAGAGTGGCGGTTTGTTGCCTATAGACCTGGCATTGCACAACACCAGTGACGGAGGTGAGTAATCCTTGCTCACCCTACCCTCGTCCCTCGGGATGGGGCGCAGATTGGAAGGGGGTACGAGCATATCCGTATCTCGATCCCCTTCGCCTATAACATCTGCCCCCACCACCATACCTCCCTCGCCCCTCCACGGTAGCAATCCCAAGCCTCGTACAAGCCTCCATTTACAAAATAAAAAACCAAACCAAACTGAAAACAATTCTACCTAAGCAAAACCAATCCCCACCCCAAACCACAATAAAACAGAACAAAATAAAAATACATAGATAAAAACCACTGTTCACGGTGGTACAATAAAGTAAAAAGTAAAAACACCTTTAAAATACTTTAAAATATATAAAAACATTTTTAACAATTGCTGCGGCAGCTTTCAGCGTCCTTAAAACAGTAGCGGAGGTGAGTCTGGGCCCCGCCCCCTAGGCCTGGTGGAATCAGCCTGAAGAGGGAGCGGCCTTCCCCAACACTCACGGTGCAGCAGCAGCGATGTCCCAATGCCTCAGTGAGGCTTCTTAAAGCTGTGGCGAAGGTGAGTCTGGGCCCCGCCCCCTAGGCCTGGTGGAATCAGCCTGAAGAGGGAGCGGCCTTCCCCAACACTCACGGTGCAGCAGCAGCGATGTCCCAATGCCTCAGTGAGGCTTCTTAAAGCTGTGGCGAAGGTGAGATGTTTTTCTCTTTGACATCTGGTGGGAGGGCGTTCCACAGGGCGGGTGCCACTACCGAGAAGACCCTCTGCCTGGTTCCCTGTAACGTGGCTTCTCACAGTGAGGGAACCACCAGAAGGCCCACAGCGCTGGACCTCAGTGTCTGGGCAGAACGATGAGGGTGGAGACGCTCCTTCAGGTATGCTGGACCGAGGCCATTTAAGGGTTTAAAGGTCAGCACCAACACTTTGAATTGTGCTTGGAAATGTATTGGGAGGCAATGTACCTACATTTCAAGACCGGTGTTATGTGGTCTCGGTGGCCGCTCCCAGTCACCAGTCTAGCTGCCACATTCTGGAATAGTTGTAGTTTCCGGGTCACCTTCAAAGGTAGCCCCACATACAGCGCATTGCAATAGTCCAAGCATAGAGCATGCACCACTCTGGCAAGACAGTCCGCAAGCAGATAGGATTCCAGCCTGCGTACCAGACGGAGCTGGTAGACAGCCGCCCTGGACACAGAATTGACCTGCGCCTCCATGGACAGCTGCAGGTCCAAAATGACTCCCACGCCGCGTACCTGGTCCTTCAGGGGCACAATTACCCTGTTCAGGACCGGGGAGTCCTCCACACCTGCCCGCCTCTTGTCCCCAAAAAACAGTACTTCTGTCTTGTCAGGATTCAACCTCAATCTGTTGGCCGCCATCCATCCTCCAGACACTCACACAGGACCTTCACCGCCTTCACTGGTTCTGATTTGAAAGAGAGGTAGAGCTTGAGTATCATCCACATACTGATGAACACTCAGCCCAAACCCTCTGATGATCTCTCCCAGCGGCTGCATGTAGATGTTGAAAACATTGGGGGGGGGGGGGGAGAGGACGGAAGCCTGAGGCAGCCTACAAGTGAGAGCCCAGGGGTCTGAACACTCACCCCCCCCCCCACTTTCTGATCACGGCCCAGGAGGAAGGAGCAGAACCACTGTATGACAGTGCCCCCAGCTCCCAGCCCCTGTAGACAGTCCAGAAGGATGTTATGGTGGTTGGTATCAAAAGCCGCTGAGAGATCCAGCAGAACTAGGAAACAGCTCTCACCTTTGTCCCTAACCTGCCAGAGATCATCGACCAGCACAACCAAGGCAGTTTCAGTCCCATGGTGAGGCCTGCATCCCGATTGAAAGGGATCCAAATGGTTCACATCCTCCAGGAGTGCTTGGAGTTGTTCAGCAACTACCCGCTCAATCACCTTGCCCAAGAATGGAAGATTTGAGACTGGGCGATAGTTGGCCATATTGGCCGCGTCTAAAGATGGTTTTTTAAGAAGTGGTTTGATAACCGCCTCTTTTAGCAGGTCTAGGAAGGCTCCCTCACGGAGGGAAGCATTCATCACCCCGCGAAGTCCATCGCCCAGCCCTTCCCGGCTAGCTTTTATAAGCCAGGATGGGCAAGGATCAAGCGGGCTTTCTCCCGGGTAGACACTTGTCTGACAATATGAGGAACATAATTGATATTTTGGAGAAACTAGAAGTGAATATAAACACTAAAGCAGTTTTGATATTTGTGGACGCGGAGAAAGCTTTTGACAATATTTCTTGGAGTTTTATGAAGAAGAACCTACAGGGTATGGGGGTAGGTCAAGGCTTTGAAAACGGTATAAGTGCAATTTATTCAGAACAAAAGGCTAAATTAATTGTAAATAATGTGGTGACGGAAGAATTTAAGATAGAAAAAAGGGACACGACAAGGTTGCCCAATTTCCCCACTGCTTTTTATTTCGGTCCTGGAGGTTTTGCTGAACATGATTAGAAGGGACCAGTTGGTTAAAGGTATACAGGTCGGAGCTAAACAGTACAAATTGAGAGCATTTGCAGATGACTTAGTACTGACGTTACAGGAGCCAGAATCTAGTACCAAAAGGGTTTTAGAATTGATTCAAGAATTTGGTCAAGTTGCAGGATTTAAATTGAATAAGGTAAAAACCAAGGCTTTAGAGAAAAATTTAACACCAATAGAGAGAGAGAGGTTTCAGAATGAGACAGTGGTTAAGAAAGTTAAATACTTGGGGATCAATTTGACAGCAAAAAATGGGAACTTATTTAAAGATAATTATGAAAAATGTTGGGCTGAAGTGAAAAAAAGATTTAGAAATTTGATCAAATTTGAAGCTTTCACTGTTGGGCCATATTGCTGCGGTTAAAATGAATGTATTGCCTAGAATGTTGTTTTTGTTTCAAACATTGCAAATTGTGGACAAAATGGACTGTTTCAAGAGGTGGCAGAGAGATATTTCTAGATTTGTCTGGCAGGGCAAAAAGCCCAGAATAAAATTTAAAATACTAACAGATGCAAAGGAAAGAGGTGGATTTGCCCTGCCAGACTTCAAACTTTATTATGAATCAGCAGCTTTTTGCTGGTTGAAAGAATGGCTGCTTCTTGAAAACACTGACATTTTGGATCTAGAAGGTTTTAACAATGTATTTGGATGGCATGCATATCTGTGGTACGATAAGGTCAAAGCACATAAAGCATTTAAAAACCATATTGTCAGGAAAGCATTGTTTAATGTTTGGATAAGATATAAGGATTTATTGGAAAGTAAAACTCCAAGGTGGCTGTCACCGATGGAAGTGAAAGCCTTGAAAAAGCTCAATATGGAGGTCAAATGGCCGAAATATTGGGAAATTTTGGAACAAGATGGAGATAGATTGAAACTGCAGAGTTTTGAAAAACTAAAAAACAAAGTGCGAGACTGGCTTCATTATTATCAGATAATGGAGGCATACAATTTGGACAAGAAAATCGGCTTCCAGGTGGAAAAATCAAAATTAGAAACAGAATTGTTAGAACCCAAAACTAAAATTTCGTCAAAGATGTATAACTTGCTGTTGAAATGGAATACTCAGGATGAAACGGTGAAATCTGCTATGATTAAATGGGCACAAGATGTTGGACATAATATTATGTTTGCTGACTGGGAACAGTTGTGGACCACAGGTATGAAATTTACGGCATGTAATGCCTTAAGAGAAAATATTATGAAAATGATATACAGGTGGTACATAACCCCAGTCAAGCTTGCAAAAATCTATCATGTGCCTGATAATAAATGTTGGAAATGTAAAGAAACTGAAGGTACATTTTTTCACCTTTGGTGGACGTGCCCAAAGATTAAGGCTTTCTGGGAGATGATATATAATGAACTAAAAAGGTATTTAAATATACCTTCTTGAAGAAACCAGAGGCCTTTCTCCTGGGCATAGTCGGCCAAATCGGTGTTAAAAGGACAGAACTTTCTTTATGTATGCTACAACAGCAGCAAGAATACTCATTGCAAAGCATTGGAAGACACAAGATTTACCCACACTGGAGGAATGGCAGATGAAATTAATGGACTATATGGAATTGGCAGAAATGACTGGCAGAATCCGTGACCAGGGAGAAGAGTCGGTGGAAGAAGATTGGAAGAAATTTAAAGACTATTTACAGAAATATTGTAAAATTAATGAATGTTAGAATGATGTTGGATTGAAGTTAAGTGGTTTCTAGCTGTATAGGTACAAAAGAATATGGAAAAATTGGTTTTTAATATGTAAAAATCTAACATTACAATATATCAAGACTAAGGATTAGGATTAGGAGGGAAAGGAATTGTTGGATTAACAAATTGAATTGGAATACAAAAGAGGGAGGTATGAGGAGGTCCGGGAAACAAGTAAACGTAAAAGAAGTGAGGAAAAGATGGAATTGTTTTTAACTGTTTTTTCTTTTTTTTCTACTTTGTATTTTTCCTTTTTATTGTTAATTTTTTTTTATTAATGTGCTTTTTTTCCCCTTTGAAACTTTAATAAATATTATTTAAAAAAATATATATATAAGCCAGGATGGGCAAGGATCAAGGAGACAGGTGGTTGGTTTCACTCGTCTAAGCAGCCTGTCCACATCCTCAGAGGTAACAGATTGGAATTGATTCCATGCAACTTGACTAGACAGGATTCTAGCACTCTCCTGGCCTGACCCTGCTTCCATGGTGGAGTCTACCTCTTCCTGACTCTGAGGAACTTTATCTGCAAAAAGTCTTTTCTTTGGTTGGGTGGGCAAGGGCTCCACACCAAACGTCCCCCAGAGCCCTGCTAGACAAGCCAAAGCCACTTGCGGGGTTGCCCAGGCTCAATGTGGAGACACCGGCAGCACCTCTGGGGCTCTGAGGCCTTGCATTGGTGCCGGGCATCCTTTACCTTCAAGTCATCCTTGAAGGGGTCTGTGTTTGCTGTGCTCATCCGCAGGGCCAGCTCCAGCAGAGCCTCCAGCCGGGTGGGGACAATGTCGTCCACCGGCTTCTTCAGCTCCTCTTCGGTGAGGTCCATGAAATGGACGTAGAAGTCCCCCTGGTCCATGAGGAAGTAGTGCTTGATGGACCTGCTCACAGAAAGGGGCCACCAGTCAACTCACTGCGGCAGGAACAGAGGAGGCAGGAGGGACCCCTCACCCACCGCCTGCCTCCTCCCGCCCGGTAGAAACAGGAAGAAGCGGACCTGGCTTTTGGAATAAGAAGTGCTGCAAGTACCGTATTTTTCGCTCTATAAGACGCACCAGACCATAAGACACACCTAGTTTTTGGAGGAGGAAAATAAGAAACAAAATATTCTGAATCCCAGAAGCCAGAACAGCAAGAGGGATCGCTGCACAGTGAAAGCAGCAATCCCTCTTGCTGTTCTGGCTTCTGGGATAGCTGCACAGCCTGCATTCACTCCATAAGATGCATACACATTTCCCCTTACTTTTTAAGAGAGAAAAAGTGAGTCTTATAGAGCAAAAAATACGGTATCTTTATGCCATCTGCAATAAAGCAGCCCCTTGCAATTCAGCTGGGAGGCAGGAAATGGGAGGACTCTCTCTTGGAGTGGGGGTCCCATGGCCCCTGCCCCTCCACCCAGCTCCTCCTGCATCCTCAGGGCAAGTCTATGAAAGTGCCTGCTTCCCGCCCCCTGCTGGGAAAGCACAAGCTCCTCCACACTTTTGCCCCTTCATTTCCCAAATCAGCAGCCCCTAAAACTGTCCCAGCTGGCATGGAGAAGAAAAGCAGCCTGCAAGAGACGCCACTGGAAGGAAGCAAACCTTAAGTGGGCCACAAGTTCTTTTTCCTCCATGAGGAAATCGAGCAGCACTTTGCTGGCGTAGTTGTAGGCTTTCTCGATCTGCTCCACATATTCTCGCTCCTTCAGTGTGTAGATGACCTCTTTGGCCAGGGGGCAAGTGACATCACGGCCACACTCCCGAACGACATTCAAATACTTCCCTGCAGGACGGAAGGGACAAAGGGACATGAGGACGGGCTCAGCTCTTCACTAAACGCTGTTCAGACCTTGTACACAAACAAATGAGCACATTTCCTCTCCCTTCCCTGCTGTCCCTCTCATCCTCCCAATGCGTGAAACTTAAGCACAGAACCTGACATTAGTCTCTGCTGAAACTCATTTTGTTAGTTTGGGCTGACTTCTCCAATCCGTTAAGGTATTTTTACATCCTGATTCTGTCTTCTGCAGCATTAGCTACCCCTCCCAGTTTGGTATCCTCTGCAAATTTGATGAGGATCCCCTCAATTTCTTCATCTGTCATCTCCCTCCTTGACGGAAGGGCAATGGAAAGAAGGCAGATAAATACAATGATCGGCTTTTGAAGCTTGAGAAAAAATCTCACAGGATATCCTCCATACGACTCGCCCAGAGGCAGAAGGGAAGAGCTGCAAAGGGAACCAGACCTCCCAGGCACTCCACAACTGCTCCCCCCCGCCCGCCTGGGGGCTTCTCCATCCACTGCATGACCCTCCCTCCTCCCCTCCCGCTTTCCTGTCAAGCAGGAATTTGGCTCCTCACCTGTGCTGAGAATTTTGTCTGCAATCTTCTGGAGGAAGGAGGGGATCTGCTGCTGGACGATCGTGTACCTCTGGTCCCAGTACTTGTCATTATAGTCTTCTTGGATCTTCTCCTTCTGGAGCTCATGCTCTTCCACCATGAATTCACTGTGGAATTAAAAAACGGTTAGGCCCGTGGCAGGGAGGCGCAGAGCAGGAGGCTCCCCAGGGCTCTTCATCCAGGCAGTCCCAGGACACAGCGCCCTGCTTGGACTCCCAAACAGACCACAGAGGTTTCTCCAGCTCACATGCCAAGAGAAGGACCACAGGGTCCTCCGCCCACCTGTAGGGATCATTGATGATGCCTCGGTAGATCCATTTCTCCAGGATTTCGAAGTAGGGAACACTGGCAGCCTTGGTCAAGTAGAGGCAGAGCTCCTGGGCTTGGCTGTCTCCCGTGTAGTTGAACGTCTTATCGTGCAGCAGGCTGAGTGTTGACCCTCCAACACACTCCCCTTTGTCCACAGAAGTGGCTGCAACAAGAAGCAAATGCCAAGAAGAGTCACGTGCCGCTGAAGCCAGGGTTGGTCAGGGCACAGGTGCCCATCCATGGCAGACACACCTGGATGTTGCAGGAGCTCCCCCATCTGAAAAGGGGTCAGCAGGAGATGGCTGCTCTGGACCATGGCCTGGGACACCGGCTTACGAGGTGAGCACCCAGAGTGGAGGCAGGGTTTCCGCAAGGCTCAATGGGCCCTTGGGGTTGGTGAAGCGAAACCTGCCTCTCAGGGGTCACTTATGGCCCCCAAAGGTGCCCAAGAACCTCTGAAAAGAGGCTACTGGCAACCACTTCAGGAACAGAACCTCTGCCACTCCCTGGTTGTCCTCAAGTGCACTTATCGCGATTGAGGTGCTCCAGCCAATCCGCTGTGCTGAATCTGAATCATGTAGAACTGTTTATTCAAAGAATGTCCCCCCACCCCACCCTATTCAGCTGATAGAAGCTTCTGCAAAAGCAACAAATAGTGTACAGCTCACAGACTGAGAGCGAGCACGCCAGCATTATTCCTGCAGTCAGCAGGAGGGGCCAGGGGACGGGTTTTAATAACTGTATTATAAGTTGGTATTGTTATAATGAGGCTATTATCGGATTGTAATTGCAAACTTCTTCTTCTTCTTAATTGAATTTATATACCACCCTATACCTGGAGGTCTCAGGGCGGTTCACAGAAGAGATCAACCTTAAAAACTGTAATATATATACAGTAATCAAAATGAAGACATCCCGACATCCCTCTGTGGCAACTTTATAAAAATTATTACCAATATAAGGAGGGGCCAGAGGATGCCCCTTTCTGCTCTGGGGCACCAGGGTAGGGGGGACTTGGAGGCTTCCACAGCATTTGGGGGGGGATGTGTGTACAAAGGAAGCTCCCCTGCAGCTCCTCTTTCTAGGGCTGAGGGATGGGGCTCCTTGTGGGGAGGAGGAGGAGTGGCATTCCCAGGGGGCCCTGGTCCTCCCTCCAGGGGGTGGGTAGGCCCAGAGGGAGCCCCTTTGACTTTGCTGCCCCCAGGAAAAGGAATGACCCAATCACTGGCCTCACCTGAGACTGACTGTGGCACGAGGGAACCCCTTTCAGCTGTGGGCTGCTGGACTCCCTTGAAAGGACCCTCCCTGCAGCAACATCCCAGCGGTGGGCAGAGCCAGAGACCCACCTGCACACACGGACCCAGCTCCTTCCACCGCCCCCCTTGATGAAGGAGAGCCATCTCGGCCTCTCCTGGCACTGGGGCTCCAAGGTCCAAGCCTCTCTCCCTCCCTTGCCCCCTCCAGGGGAGCAGGAGGCAAGCAGACAGAGAAGGCGGCTGCCCAGAAAGACACCCTGCTCACTGCCCCCCAGAGAGACCTTGCCCCGCACTCACCCAGGGAAGCCAGGATCTCCATGGTCCTCATGGTGGGCTGGATGTAGAACCAGAGCTTCTGCAGGGAGAGCAGGCCTTGGCGCTGCAGGTGCTCCAGCTGCGTCACCAGGGTCATGTATTCCTTGACCAGGGCCCTCATGGCGGCCGCCAGCGCGTGGTTCACCTGCCCGTACTCAAAGGAAGACTTCTCTTCCACGAACCTGTCAGGGCGCAGGACAGAGAGCTGCTGCTGGAAGCGAGCCCCAGCACCTCTGGGCCCCACCAGAAACATGGCCCACCAATGCCACCTCCAAGCCCCCCCTGCCCGAGATGCAAGGAAGCCTTGTTCTTGTGCAGCTCAGCAATGAGAGGAAGCAGGAAGCTCCCTAGGTTCTCTGAGCTCCAGGGGCCTTTGGGGCTCTGAGCTGCTGCAGCCCCCAGGTGGGAGGAACCCCAGAGGCCCCCCCCCCAGCCCTCAGCCGGAGGGATGGGACATAGGCTGTCGCTGCGTCCTCTTCGCCTCCCCCAGCTCCGTCCATGATGAGGAACCCCAGGCTGCTACCTGGTGACGATGGAGTAGCTCGCTGCCACGGGGAGGATCCTGGTGACCAGCTCCTTGACTGACATATCCAGGTTGGGATCCACCAAGAAAGTGCGGCTCTCTCTGCCCACCAGTGGCTGCGCAGTGATGTACCGGCCATCCACCCCAATCAAGACGTAGAGCAAGTCCTCCACCACAGCAGATTCCTGGGCTGCCAGTGGCAAAGTCCCTGGCAGAGGAAAGCGGCACGTCATGCACCGGCGCCACTCAAACAAATGCATCTGGGGAACCCGCCTGAGGGCCAAAAGGGCAGCTGGCCATTCTTAAAAAGAGCAGGGTCTCCCACCACCGGTAGAGGAGAGGGCATTTGGCAGGTGGCTGCCTTTGTGTACCTGGAAACGGTTTTGTGTGCTTATTTTTATACGTCAAGCTGTTTGACACTTTTTATTGTGCCTGCTGGGCTCACAAATAAAACTCTACTCATATTCATGTGTTTTTAATCTATGATAAGCTGGCAGTTGTTGGCAGCTATGGGAGAGGAGAGGGCTCTTGGGCTTGGATCCTGCCAATGGATTTCCCACTGGGGGCATCTGGTGGGCCCCTGTGAGGACAGGATGCTGGAATGGATAGGCCCCTTTGGCCTGATCCAGCCGCCCCACTCTTCTTGTGTTCTGGACCTTCCGCACTGCACTGCCCAGACCCACGTTGGCAAAGCATCACCAGCTGCCCATTAAGGGTCCCAGAGAAACATCCAGCAGGCAGGGGAGGCAGAAACAGCCCCAAGCTGTGAGACCCTCTGCTCCTCTCGTGCAAGACTCACCTATAGGCACCGTGGTGTCCAGGCTCAGGCTGGAGCTCGTGAGGAAGTCCCCGATGAGGGCCGGCCTCTCATACACCCAGGCGGGAAAGGACGGGATGGGCTGCCCAGAGTTCTTCCTGTTCTGCTTGTCCCTGAGCGACTTCCGCACCAGCTCAAGAGACTGCCAAGGAAGAGAGTGAGTGACAGGCCAGCCCAGACACTGAACTATCAAGCAGCCATGGCAGCAGGGTGTGTGGCAGCTGGGCTCCCACTCGCTGCCAGTTCCTGCCCCCTTTGCTCAGAGGGCAAAAGAGACTGGCACAGTATTTGCACCCAGGGAGGCCTCTCAGGACCCACCCCTAGTCCCCTTGGCAAACCGAAGACCAGCCCACCCGCCCGGAGCGTTGGACAAGGCAGAACTTCCTCTGAAGTAGGCACTACAGGGAGCCCAGCTAAGGACCTCCTGCAGCTGCCCACTGAGGTCACTGGCTTCCCCATCCTAGGCTTGCCGTGTGAGAGAGAGAGATCCCAAAGGCTTTGGCTGCAGCAGAACCCTCCCTTCCCAAATAACAAACCAGGGGACCCGAGAGAAGAGAGGGACCTGTGGGGCGCTGGAGCTGGTTGTGACAGTGCCCAGCTGCTTCCGTAGCTCCTCCAGCTCCTGGGCGGTCATTTTGGCTGTTGTTGAGGGGATGGAGAAAGTGACGCTGCTGCTGGCTCCGCCACTGTTGGCCGCTGCATTGGCTGCTAGCTCTGCCCTTTCCTTGGCATTTTGCTGCAAGTACTGGAGGGTCTGCAAAAGCCCCACAAAAAGCAGAACTCAGGAACGGCACCAAAGAGCCACAGCCCACAAGGAGAGTGGATCTCCCAGCTGCCTCCCTCCCCAGTCTTGATATATGACAGCCGAGGTGGGCAACCTGCAGCCCTCGGGGGGCCGACTTCAAATTCAGGCCTCAGGCCAGAGCAAGCTGTCTGTCTCTTGTCAGTCTGCCGGGTGGGAAGGGAGAGAGGGGAGCGGGGGCTCTGGACCCTCCAGCCACGGGCTGCAGGTCCCACCCTCTGCTTCTTCTCTTGATGGGGAACCGGGGAGCCAGCGCTGGGCTGGGCTGAGGAATGGCTGGCTGGGGCTGCTTCTGGGGGGACCCGCCTCCCTTCCCCGGATCTGGAACTGCTTTCTGGGTCTCCTTTCCTGTCCCCGCCCGCCTCTCCTCACCTCCTTGTCCTCGGTCAGCTTGGAGAGCAGCTGCACCAGCGAGTCCAGGTGCCGCGTGTTCTTCGACTTCAGCTCGTCGTACTTGGTCAGAAAGTCTTCCGGCGTCCGAGAAAACTCCGCGATCTTCACCTGCGGGGAGACGGGGGGGGGGTCAGCGCCCGGCGGGGAGAGTCCTTGGGGGGTCCCGGGGCCACCCAGGGAGGGAGGGGGCCGGGCGGGGTCCCGGGGGGGTCCTTCCCTCCCTCCCTCCCCCCCCCGGGCCCCGGCTCGCCTTGGCTCCGAGGGCGGCGGCGGAGGTGGCGAGGAAGGGCCCGCTCTGGCTCCTCTGCAGCAGCTCCACGTAGCCCTCGGCGCCGCCTTCCCCGCAGGAGCCCCTCGCGCGGAGGAGCCGGAGAAGCTCGTTCACGTCGTGGTGGAGCCGGAACTCGCTCATGGCCGCCATGGACCGGGAGGCGTCTCCCCGGCAACGGGGCACCGGAAGCGGAAGCGGGAGAGAGAGAGAGACCCGCCTCTTCCGGCAGCCGGCGAGGAAAGCGGGAGGATGCGGGACGAGGAAGGCGAGCGAGACGGGGGCGGCGGAGGCCCCTTCCGCTTCCGCCCGGCCAGGCTCCGCTTCCCCGCGCAGCACCCCTTCTTCGAGGCAGGCGGGCGGGCCGGGGGGGGGGGAGAGGGGAGCCGGGGGGGGCCTCCCGGAAGTGGCGTCACCCGGGTCTTTCTTCCTTCCTCTTAGGACGGCGACGTCCAGCGGCATCTCCGCCTCCAGGATGCGCAGCCCAGCGCCCCCCCCGGAGGGGCCTGCCGGTGAGCGGCGCCCCTCTCCCCTCCCTGCGGGCGGGTCTGGGTGGCCTTTGGGTGCCCCTTGCGACCCCCCTCCCCGCTGTGTCTCCCGCAGGCCCCCCGCCGCCGCCGCCTTCTCGTGCCCGGCCGCGGGCTGCGCGCAGGACTTCGACTCCCTGGCCAGCTGCGAGCACCACTACGGCCTCCTGCACCGCAGCGCCTGCTCGGCCTGCCAGCGCGCCTTCCCCTCGCCGCACCTGCTGCACCTGCACCTGCTCGAGTGGCACGACGCCCTCTTCGGGGTCCTGGCGGAGAAGCGCAGCCTGGTGAGAGCCCGAGGCCCCTGGAAGGCAGGGCAGCCCCGGCGCCCACGTCCTCCCGCCTGCTCCATGAAGACCATTGCACCAGTAGCCAGCTGCTTCTTCATGATAATCATTTTATGATTTGTATCTTGTCCGCCTGACTGTATTGGCCCAGCCACTCTGGGCGGCTTCCAACAAATTATAAAAACGCAATAAGACATCAGAGATTTTTTTTTTTAAAACCCATCTCTGCTTGAGTGGTTGGGACCCCAAATGCTGACCAGCCCCCTCTTGCCCCCTTTTCTAGTACCAATGCCTGGTTGAGAGCTGTCCGGAGAAGTTCAAGAACAGCAAAGAGCGCAAGGAGCACTTGGTCCGAGTTCACTGCTACCCATCGGACTTCCGCTTTGATAAACCTGTGAAGGCAAAGAGGTAAGTACTTAGGTGTGGGTAAGGGGGGGGGGAGGCAGACATGCTCACTGTTCAGCAGACTGGCTTCGGACATGGAGCGGGGGGCGGAGCAGACAAATCTTCTAGACAAATCTAGTACTGTTTGGCTTTCTTTGGAATCCTGCCCTTTTCGCCCAGGAGCCAAGGTAGGTGAGGCTGAGAGGAAGTGCCTGACCCCAAAGCCACTTGGTGAGCCTCATGGGTGGGGAGAGATTTAGATCCTCTTCTTAAAAGTCTTTGCCTGCCACTGTGACTGCTGCACCACCCAGGCTCCTGCCTGCATGTTGCAGGAAGAAAAGCAAGGCTGGGGGGAGAAGAAGCTGACAGGGGAGAAGGGCCTGGACTCACAGACAGCCTCCATGTGGTGAGAGAAACTGGGGTGGTGGCAGCAGCAAGGTCCTCATGCCTTTTCATAAAGTTTGCAAGGGTTTTGCTCTGGGGCTGTGTTTTTGCGCCAGCACAAAGGCAGCGAGATCTCCCTCCAGAGAGAGCACCTTCCCGATGGATGTGTGGGAGGGAGAAGACTGCAGGGAGCCGGCAGCGGACGATGCCATGGAAGTCGGCCCCAGCGAGAGCACAGAGGAGAAGCCGCCCCAGCCTGGGGCAGAGGACACGCCAGCCTTTCCGCCATCTGAGAGGCGGCTCTACAGCTCCAGGTAGGAGCCTCTCCTGGAGCGGCTGTCCTCGTCTTAGCATCCGCTTGTTCTTTGTGTGTGGAGAACGATGTCAACGCTTGCTTCTTCTGTCAGCCACAAACTAAAAAGGGTCACAAAACCTCCAAGAGAAAATAGGTATCTCATCTTAAAATCCTGCCCCAAATCTTTTAGAATGGCTGGAAGCTGCATGAATGGCATTGTGTGAGTGAAACTCAGGGCAATTTGGCACTACTAACTAATATTGTTGTTTATATTAAAATTATATCCCCTTTCCTCCTGAAGAAGCACAGGGTAGTAACGTCTTGAAATGTGTAAGTCTGGCCTCTGGAATAAGTCAGGAAGAGCTGTTTTGCTTTTGGAATATTGTTTGCATGTATATATGTTTGCATAGCTTACTTACTGAACTGGTGGCTGAGTAATTTTTTTACTAATCAAATGACAACGCTGCATGCACTTGTGGTAACATGAGCTCAATATGGAGGTACCAGAAATGAGTTAAAATAAGGAACTACACCCGTTGTTGAGCCTGAGTGGCTGAGCAACAGGAAAGCGTAACAAATTTCTATAGATTTCTGGGCCTTCTGTAGTCACACAAGTTATCTTAAACGGCAGCGCTCGCGTATGGCATTTGGAAACCTGAGAGGCCTCAGCCAAGCCTCTGATCCACCCGGAGTCCTTTTTACTGCTGGCCATGAGGGCACTGAAAGCTCTCTTGCTGTTCCTTCTCTTCCAGTGTCCCACACACTGTTTGCTTTGGACAAGGGGCAAAGCGCAGCTTCCAAGGCAGAAAAAAGAAGGCCTGAGGGACCAAAGAGGAACTTCAGGAAGTGGCAGAGTGAAGAAAGACTTTTGCAAAGCCCAGGCGGCCTTTCCTCGGGCGGAGGAGCTGGTTTTGACCCTTCAGCAGAGGCAAAGTGGGCTCTGGTGCAGGGAGGTGCGCCTGCCCTACCTGGCAGAGACAGTGAACTGGGTCCTTCTCCAACTGGGAGCTGCTCCTGCAGGCCAGGAGTCACCAGGACCAGAGTTGCGTGCAGAGGGTGAAAATCGTTTCTGTATTTTTGAAAATAAAATGCTTGGTGTTTACAGAATCCTGGATGTTGAAAAGAGCAGCTGGTTGATTAAGCCACAGGAGGCAAATGGAGGGTCATCTCTCTCTGAACAAAATGCACAAAATACACAATCTGCATCTAAAAATAATCTGTTCCTATGTTGCAAGAAATGTCCTATCATCTCTCCATTAATCAAAAGGGGCCAAAGTATTATCTTTCCAGTCAATATCAGTCTTTTGGCAGAAGTAAGGGCACAAAGAGTCCATCTAGATCGACCAGCTGCCAAGCCTCATATAATTGACATGACATTTAGGATAATGTCATCATCTGACAATTTTATTTCCCCCCAAATATAGTATTTATACATCCTAAGACTTTAATCCAAAAATTCATAAACGTCAGACATTGCTTAAACTTATGTTTCAAAGAAGCATTTTCCTAATTACATCTTCTGCAACATGTTGTGGATAGTCCCTTTCTGTACAAAAGTACCAGTTCAATTCTAAATATTATCTTTTGTTGCCCAAGACGTAGTTTATAATCTAAAAAACATTTGCTATGGAAGCTAAGACATTATTATGTTTCTTAGTGGCTTTATACAAAGCAATTTTGTATCTCAAAGCAACTTAACAATACACTGTATAAAATAGAACTGGATAAAACCAGTTAAAAATCCGGGTGGAGGGAGACCCCTAACATATCTATGAAACATTTAAATCATCAGTAGGTGCTGGTGGTTCTATACAAAAATGTATTGCGGTGGCCTGTCTTAAAAGGACTGTTTCCAAGAGACACCTAAAAAGCTGCAGGGAGTTCCACGGGCATCCTCCTTCCTGTGGGGCCAACAGCACCTTGTTGAGTTTCTCAACCAGGGAAGCCCCCCCCCCAGCGCAGCCAGGTGCAGTCGCAGGGAGACCCCCTCATGGGGGGGGGCTTATCTCGCCCCCCGCTGGAGCTGGCGCTTCTTTCCTTGGGGCTCAGGGCAGCCCCCGCCCCGGCCACCCAGCCTGCGCCCCCCGCACCTGCTCAGCCTGGACGGGCGGGGGGATCCCTTGGCTGCAGCCCCTCTTCCTCCTTCGCCCCGCAGCTCCACCCGTTTCCATGGCGACGGGGGGGGAGGGCGCCCGGCCGGGAGGAGGAGGAGGCGGACGCCGCGCAGCAGCAGCAGAGACTGGGACGGAGGCGCCGCCAGGTGAGGGGGGGGGAGGAGAGGGGCGCCTCCCCGGAGCGCCAAGGCGAAGACCCGGCTGGTCGCCCCGGTCTGGGCGGGACCGAGATGGGCACCTCGCCCCCGGCCGGGATGGGCTTCCGTCTGCCCCACAGGACCCCCCCTCGCGGCCCTTCTTTGGCCCTCCGCCCCCCTCCTGATCCCTCTCGAGACGGAGGCTTCTGCAAGGAGGCGCCCTCGGCAGGCGGGTCCTGCGCCCTCGCAGAAGGAGCAGGGGGCCCCTCCAAGGCTGCCTCTTTGGAAGCAAGGGGGTGGACTAGATGCCCCGGGGTCCCCTCCAGACCCGGCCAGTCTTGGCTCCTGGAGGCATCGCAGGAAGGCGGGGGCTCCGTCCGTCCCCTCCCGCGGGGCTGCTCGGCCTTCGTCCTTCTCTGGCTTCCTGCCTGGGCGAGACCAGGAAAGGTGAGTCATGTTAGCTGAAGGTGGCTCCGTCCAGTCCCCTGTCCCCCCCCCCCAGGCTCTTCTCCGAGGAATCTTGCCCCCGGCAAGAGGGTCCCCCGGCCGAGAGCGGGAGGCGGCGGGGGCGGGCGGGTGAGGGCCCCCAGTCCGGAGCAGCAGCGCCTCCCCGCCGCTCCGGGCGCGCCAGGGGCGGAGGTGGTGCTGGGCACCGGGGGGGGGGGCGGGAGGGAGGGAGGTCCAGGCTCTGCCCGGAGGAGGAGGAGGAGGAGGAGGAAACGGGAGCCTCGTCTCTCCGCTGCGCAAGGAGCTCCGGAGCGGCCGGCAGACGCGCCTCGGGGGCTCAGGACGCGGAGCAGAGAGCGCAGCGGCAGCAGCAGCAGCAGGTGGGTCTTGGCCGGGCTGAGCGCTGCCTGCCGGGGCTGGACTGCGCGGCGAAGGAGGCAGCGCTGGGGGCACCGAGGAGGGAAGAGTCAGGCCCAGCCTGCTTTGGCTCCTCAGAACCTGGGTCGCTTGGGCTTCCGCCAGGTGGATGGAGGATTTCTTTGGCTCTGCTGACTGCAAGGGGCGCCCAAGGAAGCAGATGCCTCTTTTGCAGAATGAGTGGCAAGGGCAGGTCTGCCAGCCACTTCGGGGTGGATTCTACTTGCCAGAGTTCAGCCAAACAGGTGGAGGGGCCTGTGGGCAAGATGCCTTTCATGGTTCTTTTTTTATATAACGTGGAACCTATAATATTTATTTATTTGCAGAATTTGTTGAAATTTTCAAGTCAGTGCTGGGGGTTTTGTGCAAGAGAAGTCTAGAAAGTGTGTGTGTGTGGGGGGGGGGTTATCTCTCTGCTGTGACTTGGGGGGCAATTTATATGAAAATAGCTTACATATATTTTTGCCGAGCCCCCCACTTTTCTTTCTGGTTGGTATTGTCTGCATTTGGGCCTTCAATATCTCTCCTTTTAGAAACTCCCATCCTTCTTGGACTCCCTTCTCTTTGACCGTGGGATCACACCCAGTAGCTCCTTAAGCTATATGAAGTTGCCCTTCTTGAAGTCCAGAGTCTGTGTCCGACTCCCCTTTCGTTTCCCCTTTCCTCTGTATCCTGAAACCCAGGAGAAGAGGATCACTTCCTCCCAAGTTTCAGAGTTTCCTATTTTTTTTTAAAAAAAGATATTTATTAAGATTTTCAAAATATTACAAAAGAAAAAAAAAGAAAAAAGAAAAATACAAAATAAAAATAGTTAAAAACAATTCAGTCTTTCAATCACTTATCTTTCATTTGCTTATTTCCCGGACCTCCTCACGCCTCCCTTTTCTGTATTCCAATTCAGTTTGTTAGTTCAGCAAATCCCTCCCCTCTTTGTTTATCCTAATCTTCAATCTTAAAGTATTGTTTCCGAGTTTCCGAGTTTCCAAGTGCTTCCACTTCATCGATCAGCTCCTCCCTATTAGTGAGGACCAGATCCAAGATAGATGATCCCCTTGTTGGTTCTTCCACCTTCTGGGAAATGAAATGGTCAGCAAGGCAGGGGAGGAATTTTGTCAGACCTTACACTCTTGGACCAGAAGATGATGCCCAGGGTCCCTTTCAACTCTACAATGGCACAGGGGGAAGGGACTTGGGATGTATGAAAGTTGGTTTGAGGTTTTGCTTTTTTGTCCCTTGGCAGCAACTGGTAACTTCATTCTATTACCCCCCACCCCCGGCACTGTGATTGGAAGAAGGAAGGAGAGCCTGGCAAAGGTGCTCCCTGATTAAAGGCTGGTGCTGCCAGTCACCTCCTCCCCTCCTGCCCTGGCACATCCCTTACATGGCAAGCTTCACGAGACAGGCAGTGTGGGCCTGGCATGGAGGTGGTGGTGGGGTGCAATGCTGCCTTATACTGAGTGGGACCCATTGCTGCATCTTGCTCAGTACTGTCTGCACTGACTGGCAGAAGTGGCTCTCCAGGATTTCAGGCAAGGAGTCTCTCCCCAGCCTTGCCTGGAGATGCCAATGACCTTCTGCATGCCAAGCAGCTGTTCTACCACAGACCAAGTTATGGAGAGCAGGGAGGAAAGTGCAGCCCCTCTCCCTGGCAAGTCAGCACAGCCTAAGGAATCCCCTGCCTTGCGCCTCTCCCTAGGGAGGCCTGTTCTGCAGCCAGATGTTTTCACCTGTTTTAATGGCAGCTCCTGCTCTTTGCTGTTGTGGAGCAGCAGACTCCAAAGTGCTCAGGGGGCCAGATGGGGATCTGGTTGGGGAGCAGGATGTTCCCAACAGAAGCCTGGATCCTGGAAGCTGAGGTGGGAGTGGGTGTCTTTATCACATTTGCATCGATTCTTGGCCAGAGCTGCAGGCCTTATTAGATCAGCGCAGTTAAGTGGATTAAGTCAATTGGCTTAGCTCCGTCCTCCTCCCTGCTGCAAAGGCCAGCTGTGTGCTGTGCAACAGAACAGGCCCCTAGGGTACCCACATCCCTGGCAGAGGGGCAGGGAGATCCAGAGCCCAGCAACGCAGCTGGGGGACAACTCACCAGGCTCCTCAGAGGCCTTGCAGGCTCTGCTTCTCCACCAGCAAATGGTGGTGCTGAGGTTTTGCCCATAAAGGTAAAGGACCCCTGGACGATTAAGTCCAGTCAAAGGCGACTACGGGGTTGTGGCGCTCATCTCGCTTTCAGGCTGAGGGAGCCGCTTTTTGTCCATAGACAGCTTTTCGGATCATGTGGCTAGCAGGACTAAACCACTTCTGGTGCAATTGGACACCATGACAGAAGCCAGAGCACACAGAAACGCCATTTAGCTTCCCTTCACAGCGGTACCGATTTATCTACTTGCACTGGCATGTTTTTGAACTGCTAGGTTGGCAGGAGCTGGGAAAGGGCCACAGGAACTCATTCCGTTGCGGGGATTTGAACTGCCGACCTTCTGATCAGCAAGCCCAAGAGGCTCAGTGGTTTAGTCCTGGTTTTGCCCATAAGCACATCTAGGCTCCATCCTGCCCTATCTTTGGGTGGAGGCTCAGTAGAAGAGAAGCTGGAAGGCAGCCTGCAGGTGGTGGGGGGCGGTCAGACTTTGCATTTTCCTTTCCCAAGAGCAGAGGCTCTTGCTTGGATTGGGAACTCCCAGTGCAGAGAGGACATCATCATTGTTGGTTGTGGCCCAACAAAGGCATTTTTGTGTTTTCCTGGGGCTTGTGTTTGTTTTAAAGGGGAGGATGTTTGCAGACCTTTCTGCTGTGCTGGGTCAAAGTGCAGAGAAGGACCTGAAGATGCAGGTGGGGAACAAGCATTTTGGGTGAGGGACTCCTGGGGGGAGTTTGACCGGAGTGGCCTTCCCCAACATGGTGCTTCATGCCTGCTCAGATGTTCTGAACTCTCCAGGTCCCATCAGGTACCCCAAAACATTGCTGTATGATGCTGAGGAAGATGGGAGTTGTAGCTCCCAGTTGCAGAAGGTGGAGGAGCCTCAGACTCTTGCCCCACAGCTTCGGCTTGGGCTCTCTGCCCCAGGGCCAAGTGGGGCCATGCCAGCTTCCTCTTCTCCCTGATCCTTATAGAGCCACGAAATGGTGAAAGAGAAACCCCAGGCAGCCTGGCCCAGCATCTTAGTTGTGTATGAAAAGTATTCATAGTCGTGGAAAGTCGTGGAAAGAAGCGTATATTACACTTGTACCGAAAACAGACACTGAAAAGACTCAGCTTAAGAACTACCGCCTGGGCCCTCACTTGTGGGGTGCCTCAGGGTTCTGTCCTCTCCTCCATGCTTTTCAACATCTACATGAAGCCGCTGGGAGAGATCATCAGGGGATTTGGGCTGGGTGTCCATCAATATGCAGATGATACCCAGCTCTACCTCTCTTTCAAATCAGAACCAGTGAAGGCAGTGAAGGTCCTGTGTGAGTGCCTGGAGGCGGTTGGAGGTTGGATGGCGGCTAACAGATTGAGGTTGAATCCTGACAAGACAGAAGTACTGTTTTTGGGGACAGGAGGCGGGCAGGTGTGGAGGATTCCCTGGTCCTGAATGGGGTAACTGTGCCCCTGAAGGACCAGGTGCGCAGCCTGGGAGTCATTTTGGACTCACAGCTGTCCATGGAGGCACAGGTCAAATCTGTGTCCAGGGCAGCTGTTTACCAGCTCCATCTGGTATGCAGGCTGAGAACCTATCTGCCTGCGGACTGCCTCGCCAGAGTGGTGCATGCTCTGGTTATCTCCCGCTTGGACTACTGCAATGCACTTTACATGGGGCTACCTTTGAAGGTGACCTGGAAACTACAACTAATCCAGAACGCGGCAGCTACACTGGTGACTGGGAGCGACCGCCGAGACCACATAACACCGGTCTTGAAAGACCTACATTGGCTCCCAGTACGTTTCCGAGCACAATTCAAAGTGTTGGTGCTGACCTTTAAAGCCCTAAACGGCCTTGGTCCAGTATATCTGAAGGAGCGTCTCCACCCCCATCGTTCTACCCAGACACTGAGGTCCAGCACTGAGGGCCTTCTGGCGGTTCCCTCACTGCGAGAAGCCAAGTTACAGGGAACCAGGCAGAGGGCCTTCTCGGTAGTGGCGCCTTCCCTGTGGAACACCCTCCCACCAGATGTCAAAGAGAACAACAACTACCAGGCTTTTAGAAGACATCTGAAGGCAGCCCTGTTTCGGGAAGCTTTTAATGTTTGATGTATTATAGTATTTTAATATTCTTTTGGAAGCCGCCCAGAGTGGCCGGGGAAGCCCAGCCAGATGGGCGGGGTATAAATAATAAATTATTATTATTATTATTATTATTATTATTATTATTATTACCGCCCCATATCATTGCTCAATGTGGATTACAAAATCTTTGCAGACATTTTGGCTAAAAGACTAAAAAGAGTGCTAGTGGAAGAGATACATAAAGACCAAGCAGGCTTTCTCCCGGGTAGACATTTGTATGACAATGTGAGAAACATAATCAATATTTTAGAAAAATTACAAGTGAACATAAATACTAAGACAGTTTTGATATTTGTGGACGCGGAGAAAGCTTTTGACAATATTTCTTGGAGTTTTATGAAGAAGAACCTACAGGGGATGGGGGTAGGCCAAGGTTTTGAAAACGGTAGAAGTGCAATTTATTCAGAACAAAAGGCTAAATTAATTGTAAATAACGTGGTAACGGAAGAATTCAAGATAGAAAAAGGGACACAACAAGGTTGCCCAATCTCCCCATTGCTTTTTATATCAGTCCTGGAGGTTCTGCTGAATATGATTAGAAGGGACCAGTTAGTTAAAGGTATACAAGTCGGAGCTAAACAGTACAAATTGAGAGCATTTGCAGATGACTTAGTATTGACGTTACAGGAGCCAAAATCTAGTACTAAAAGGGTTTTGGAACTGATTCAAGAATTTGGTCAGGTTGCAGGATTTAAACTAAATAAGTTAAAAACAAAGGTTTTAGAGAAAAATTTAACTGTGATGGAGAAAGAGAGGTTTCAGAATGAGACAGGTTTAACAGTGGTTAAGAAAGTGAAATACCTGGGGATTAACATGACAGCTAAAAATGGGAATTTATTTAAAGACAATTATGAAAAATGTTGGACTGAAGTGAAAAAAGACTTAGAAATCTGGTCAAATTTAAAGCTTTCACTGCTAGGCCGTATTGCTGCTATAAAAATGAATGTATTGCCTAGAATGTTGTTTCTGTTTCAAACATTGCAAATTTTGGAGAAAATGGACTGTTTCATGAAGTGGCAGAGAGATATCTCTAGATTTGTCTGGCAGGGCAAGAAGCCTAGAATAAAATTTAAAATACTAACAGATGCAAAGGAAAGAGGTGGATTTGCCCTGCCAGACCTTAAACTTTATTATGAATCAGCAGCTTTTTGCTGGTTGAAAGAATGGCTGCTTCTTGAAAACGCAGACATTTTGGATTTAGAAGGTTTTAATAATGTATTTGGATGGCATGCATACTTGTGGTATGATAAGGTCAAAGCACATAAAGCATTTAAAAACCATATTGTCAGGAAAGCATTGTTTAATGTCTGGATAAGATATAAGGACTTACTGGAAAATAAAACCCCAAGGTGGCTGTCACCGATGGAAGCGAAGGCTCAGAAAAAGCTCAATATGGAGGTCAAATGGCCGAAATATTGGGAAATTTTGGAACAAGGGGGAGATAGACTGAAATTGCAGAGTTTTGAGAAATTAAAAAACAAAGTGCGAGATTGGCTTCATTATTACCAAAATATAAAAATAAATAAATGAAAAAATAAAAAATAAAAAATAAAAAAATAAATAAATGAAAAGTATTCATAGAGCACCCTTCATGCAAAATTCCAGAGCAGTGTGTAGCAAGCTTTACAAAAGAGATAAAATATCACTTTAAAACAATGCAGACAGATAATTAAGAATTGTAATGGGCTCCACTGGAAGTCCAACGAGATCTTGAGGGCCACCTTTGGCTCATAGAGTAACAGGTCCACCCTCTGGGCCTTCTTTGGTCACTGGAATCAACAGAAGATCTGGTGATGGGTGCAGCTTCTCCAAGCTGCTGCTGCCAAGTGGGACAAGGAGGGGTGCAGGTCTCCCCCAAATTCCAGTTCCCCCGAGATTTCCAGAGGCAGCCCCTGCCCTCCCTGGGTCTACCTACTGACAGCTGTGCTCCTCTTGTTTGGCAGCCCGGGCTCTGCTGAGCACAGCTGGAGGATTCTCCGGCCAGGAGCGCCAGTCCATCTGGCCTCACCTACGCCGTGGCTGCTTCGCAGGTGGTGGGCCTGGCTGTGATCACCCTGACGGGGGCCTGGATGGGCCAATACCGGGCGGCATTGCCTGGGATGGATCCAAGCTGCAGTTCAATGCCCACCCACTGTGCATGGTGATTGGGATGGTCTTCCTCCAAGGAGACGGTAAGGAAGTGGTGGGAGGGGGGCCTTTTGAGAACTGTCTTCCAAGGGAGACAACTGGGAGCTGCTTATTTCAAACCCCTCCCCGTGCTGGAGCTGCATTCACAATTTAGGAGAGGGGGCAGAGCAGGATGTGGCCCCCACAAGGGTTCACAAACTGTCTCTGCACATGGTCACATGATTAAGGCAGATGCTCCACTAGATTATCTTCCACTCTGTTATTCAAATCCCAGGCTTTTGAGAGACCCTCAAACCTTTTCAATTATTTGTTTGTTTGTTTTTAAAAAATATATTTATGAATTTATAAGTGTACAAAATACAGCACTGAAGAACGCTACTTGTGGGGTCTGAGCGGAGCAGTTCCTGGCCAGGGGAGCAAGAGCCAAGCCCCCCTCTCAGCCAGCCCCACACCTCATTGCCCCTCTCCCCTCCCTCTTCTCCTCTTGCAGCCCTCCTGGTATATCGGGTCTTCCGGCATGAGAGCAAGCGCTCTACCAAAATCCTCCACGGGCTGCTCCACGCCCTGGCGCTGGTCATTGCACTGGTTGGTGAGTCCGGGGGGGGGGGCAGCTGGAATAATCTGCCCCATTTGCTTGAGCCTCAGCCTCCTGCCTGCCTTCTCAGAAGCCCCTCTGAGGGGCACCAGGCTCAAGGGGGTGGTCAGAGGCTTCCCTGAGTCTCAGGGTCAACCCACAGCTCCTCTGAGTTCTCCAATAAGCTGGAGGAAGCGGGCGTGTTTTGGGCCTCCTCTCCCATAAAAACATAAGGCTGGGGTGGACGAGGCCGTGGGTGGCTTACTGCGTTCCTCACATATGTGGATTGGGATACAACTAGCAGGGCTCCCCCAGACAGACAGACAGTCTCCACCACCTGCCATTTCCACCCATGTGCTTCTTCCCAGGCACGTTGGACCTGCTCATCTCCCCATCCCTCGTCCCTCATGTTAAGTGGGGTCCCACTCTGGTGCAGTTTTGCCTGAGGGTTGGGATGGTGGGGAAAGGCAGGGGGTCACCTGAGGTCTCTCCCTCCCTCCAGGTCTGATAGCCGTGTTCCAGTTCCACAAGAAGCAGAGCATCCCGGACATGTACAGCCTGCACAGCTGGTGTGGCATCCTGGCCTTTGGCTTCTACTTTGTGCAGGTGAGGCAAAAGCAGAGCGGGAGGAAGAAAGGGGGCTGGTGTCTGCCTGGCCTCCTTCCAAAGCAGGTCTGTGCCCCAGAGAGCAGAGAGGGAGAAATGCACAAGGGGCAGGAAAGCAGAGCAAGAGAAAGGAAGAAACTCTGGCTGCTGATTCCCCTGTTGAAACGGCATCTGGTGCTGGGGCTCCCCAGATTCCTCAGCAACCTTGGAGGGGCTTGAGCTGTCCAGGGGTCTGTCTGGACACAAGCAATTAGAGGAAGGACACCCTTGAGCCACATCCTTGCTGGACGCTGCAGCCTGACAGCTTCAGAGCTTCCAGCAGCCACCCACATCCTTCTCAGGGGGGCCTTTGATTCCAGGCGCTGGGTGGGGATCTCTGGGAGGGCTCCATCTGCACTGCAGAAACAACACGGGGCTCTTGACACTGTCTGCCTGGGGAGCTTGGTCTTGGCTCCCAGGAGCCTCATCTTTTCCCAAAGCACAGCTGATCTGCATTGCTGGGAGCCCTTCCTGCGCCCCCCTTCCTCCTGGGGGGGGGGTCACTTGCAGTGGCACCTCATAAAATCTTAAGAGTTGGAAGGCACCCCCCAGGGTCATCCAGTCCAACCCCCTGCAATGCAGGAATCTCAGCTGAAGCATCCATGACAGAGGGCCCTCCAGCCTCTGCTTAAAACCTCCAAGGAAAGAGGCTGCCGCTCTGAATTGCCTTTGAGCCAGCCCTTGTGCCCCCCCTCAGTCGTGGCTTCATGGGATCAGAAGGAGGCCATGGGGGTGGATTATTGGAAGGAGACCTTTCGCCCCTCATCCTGGGGCACCACCCGCCTCTCACCAGAACTTAAAGGCGGTGGCGGCAAGGGAGTTTACAGTGTTTGAGGGCTGGCTCCTCTTTGCCTCCTGATTGTTTAGTCAATTCTGGGGGTGGGATGGGCTCCATGGGAGGTGGGCTGCTGTCTCCTGACTTTGGGGCACTGCCTCCCCTTCTTCCTTAGTGGCTGCTGGGCTGGAGCTTCTTCCTCTTCCCCGGAGCCTCCTTTTCGCTCCGCAGCAGATACAAACCGCAGCATGTCTTCTTTGGGGCTGCCCTCCTCATCCTTTCCGTCGCCACTGCCCTGCTGGGATCTTGGAGGTGCTGCTCTTCAACATCAAGTGAGTGGCCCCCACTTTGTGGAAGTCTTTCTGTTTTAACTTACAACCTGATGGCTCTGTCTCTGCTCGGCTTCCTTCTGATAAATCCAGAATTCTGGGCTGCAAAGTGAGGGATGGAGCAGAAATGACTGCCTGGGAGGGTGTTCGTAAACAGCTTTTGCAGTTTACTTGGCTAATATATTCTCAAATCAACATCCTGCAAAATGGCAGCAGTGCTGGGCTTGGAACTGAGTGCTGTGTCCATTGCCTCCTCTGGCCTGGAAGGCAGAATGAGATTCTGAACATGTCTGGTCAGCAGACGAGTTGCCCAAAGCCTTGAGCTGCCTTTTTCTTAAATGAATTAGAAATTGGGGGTGGGGTGGGGTGGAGATAAAGTGCTTGTGCTAATGTCAACCTTTCTGTTCTTGCTCAGGGAGACTTACAGCTCCTTTGCCCCAGAGGGAGTCCTTGCCAACACTTTGGGCCTCCTGCTGGTGGCTTTTGGGGCCATTGTGGGCTACATTTTGACACGGGAGGAGTGGCAAAGGCCCCCCTTGGCTGAGGAGATGGCCCTGTCCATGGATTTCAAGACCCTCACAGAAGAGGGCAGCCCAACAAGCCCCCAATGACGGCCGCCATCGCTGCCTGCCTGTGTCTCCATGTGGTGTCTCTCGCTTGTCGTGCAACATGGTGGCTGCCACCTTTCCTACTGGGCCACGTGTCAGCAAGCCCTCTCCAGAGGACTCTTTGCTACCCCTTTTCCTTCAGTGGCCATTGCAAGGGTCTCGTTCAGAGCAGGGGTCTCCTGCCCCTGCTCTGCTCCAGAGGATCAGTGCCTTGGTCACTCCTGTGAGCTGGGGTGTTGTGCCACATATCCTGTGAAGAGGGGATTTAACAGGGACTTCCAGTTTCTGCTCTGGAAGCGGCTCCTCTCTTCCTGCTCAGTGTTCATTAATGGCAGCAGGACAAGGAGTCCCCTGGGGCCATTCCCAGAAGGGGGGCTGACAGCACTCACAAAAAGGGTTCAGGGGTGTTGGGAGGGCAGCTGCAGATTCTGTGCAGCTGGAGGCTGGGACTTCTTGCAGAGCTGCATCAGTAAACAAAATTCTGAAGGCTTTAGACATACACACCTTCCTTCCATTAATTGTCCAAAAGATTTAAGCAAGCCTGAATATTTGTAGAGTTTCTCCTGTTTACACAGTGATTATCAGGCATAACAACTGGGAGGCTGAGGCAAGAATGTTGCTTGTGCAATTCTGTCTCCTCTTTCTCTACCAGCAGATATTTGATTGAAATGTTTGTTTTTCCAACTCCAGAAAGCCCTAAAGTTGACAGTCTCTCACTTATCCTGTTTTCTGGGGTTTGGATGCAGGCATTTCCTCTGACGCAAACTGCTCTGGGAGATCTCTGTGGGACCTGGATGTTTAATCTCTCCTAATGGCTCAACTATATAAAAAAGATTATACAATACTGTGGTTTGCAAAATCTTTGTAAGAAAAAGGTGGGACATTACCGTATGGAAGTATTTGAATTGAATGCATCAGGTGTAATAGTGGGGTTGTATAAGAATTACTTAGCTAAGGATGAGGACCACTATGAGCACTCAATAGGCACTATGACAATACTGATCTTAAGTGTGAAATTATTTATTTTCCTGGGGACTCCTTGCCTTAATACAAATACACTCTCTTGTGTACTGACCAGTATATATTGTGTTTGGTGGTTGAGATGAACTTCAATAAATATTTGCAGCAAGTTCTTGAATTGTTTGAAGTTGAATTGTCAGTGAAATCTCAGCAGGGCCCTTTAGGACTGGATCTTGCTGCTGGTCAAGCTACACTCATGAAGCTACTTAGTCCTGCTTAGCTCTTTCAAGAGTCGGTCCCAAATCAAGCCCAAAACTGTTCCACAAACCAGAGGCCCAGCCATTTCAGCATCTTTGTTGTGTTCTGCCAAGGGCAGCTGCTCTTTCTGGATTTGAAGGCAATAAAAATGCTTGGGGTGATGACCACACGTTACTCATACCCAGCAAGAATGAAGCACAACATAGCTGCGTAGCCAACCTGCAGAATGTATTATGTGTAATGCACAGTTCTAGCCTGCATACCGCATGTTAAAGCACAAAGACTAACAGGGTAATGCTCAGCACCACAGTTGGAGTGCCCTAGTGCCACCAGTGCCACCAGTGTGTCCAGCCCCAACTTATAGGATGCCAGGCAAAGCAAGAAGCCCGGTTCCTAGATTGGGCTTCTACATTAAGGCATGAAACAGCACACTTAATAGCGAAGTATCCGGCTTCCAGGCAAGACCTTACTGCTTACGGCTCTTTAGTAGTTCAGAACCTTGGACAGCAATGGACGTGGCCCCTTGCAGTCAGCCTCCAGCAGCCCTGGGCCTTGCTTTGCTGCTGATTTGCGGAGTCTGAGCTGAGTTGAAGTCTTTCCCTTCCGTCTGGCTCCCTGACTCCTGCCCACACAGTGTCGCACTGTCAGGAAAGGGGAATGTTAGTTACACTGTGGTTACAAAGCACGAGGTACCGTATTTACTTGAGTCTAATGTGCCATTGAATTTAATGCGCACCTCAATTTTCAGAACCTTGAAACCAAAAAAAGTATTTGCTGGCAAATGTAAATGTGTCATCGAGTCTAATGCACACCTAGAATCATAGAATCATAGAATCATAGAGTTGGAAGAGACCACAAGGGCCATCGAGTCCAACCCCCTGCCAAGCAGGAGACACCATCAGAGCACTCCTGACATATGGTTGTCAAGCCTCTGCTTAAAGACCTCCAAAGAAGGAGACTCCACCACACTCCTTGGCAGCAAATTCCACTGTTGAACAGCTCTTACTGTCAGGAAGTTCTTCCTAATGTTTAGGTGGAATCTTCTTTCTTGTAGTTTGGATCCATTGCTCCGTGTCCGCTTCTCTGGAGCAGCAGAAAACAACCTTTCTCCCTCCTCTATGTGACATCCTTTTATATATTTGAACATGGCTATCATATCACCCCTTAACCTCCTCTTCTCCAGGCTAAACATGCCCAGCTCCCTTAGCCGTTCCTCATAAGGCATCGTTTCCAGGCCTTTGACCATTTTGGTTGCCCTCCTCTGGACACGTTCCAGTTTGTCAGTGTCCTTCTTGAACTGTGGTGCCCAGAACTGGACACAGTACTCCAGGTGAGGTCTGACCAGAGCAGAATACAGTGGCACTATTACTTCCCTTGATCTAGATGCTATACTCCTATTGATGCAGCCCAGAATTGCATTGGCTTTTAGCTGCCACGTCACATTGTTGGCTCATGTTAAGTTTGTGGTCAACCAAGACTCCTAGATCCTTTTCACATGTACTGCTCTCAAGCCAGGTGTCACCCATCTTGTATTTGTGCCTCTTATTTTTTTGCCCAAGTGAAATACTTTACATTTCTCTCTGTTAAAATTCATCTTGTTTGTTTTGGCCCAGTTCTCTAATCTGTCAAGGTCATTTTGAAGTGTGATCCTGTCCTCTGGGGTGTTAGCCACCCCTCCCAGTTTGGTGTCATCTGCAAATTTGATCAGGATGCCCTTGAGTCCATCATCCAAGTAAATATTCATAAATATTTCATATTTTAAATATTAGAATCATAGAATCATAGAATTATAGAGTTGGAAGAGACCACAAGGGCCATCGAGTCCAACCCCCTGCCAAGCAGGAAACAGGAGGAAATCATAACGTGATTTGGCAAAAAAGGTGTGATTTGATTCGAGTAAATATGGTAATTAGGGCATATTCAATGTGGTGTGATAATTGAGATTTGAACACAAAAGACAGATAAACAGGTGTTATTTTGCTTTGTTAGGAGACATGGAAGAATGGAGTTAGTAAGGGATGTATAATGTAACAAGTGTTTTGGGTAAAGCCACATTTTCCCAATGCACATAGGGCTTCCCCATCATTCCCATGTCTCTCATTGCCCTTTGTGGCTGAAGTTAATTGCACTGAATATGCTAGAACATGCTGACTACCAAACTGATGGGCCACTGTCCTTACCCAAAGGAAAACCAAAGACAGCAGGCTAGGGCACCCTATATTGTGAACTGCTTTGTGATCTTTGGGTGAAGGGCAGAAAACAAATTTAAAAACAAAACAATGTAAAGTAAAGCAAAATAAATAAAATAAAGGAGCCTCTTGTTCTGCCTGCTGGCTGCTCATAGCCATGTGACCTAAGCATCAGCTGTCGTGCAGGCTCTTTCTGGTGCTGTGGATGGTGATCCATGAGTTTCTCCCCCACTCCTCTAGTACTTTCTTTAGGAAGGAGACCTCACTCTTTGTGGAAGCCAGCTCCATATACGTATTTGCTCTGGAGCTGCTGCTGTAGACTTTCCCCACCTGTTTCAGGTGGCCCTCTACCTTGCTGAAGGTAAGTGCTCTAGAGGAACCTGCAAGGATACAAGAAGGTAAGCAGGAGGCAGAAGAGCCACTGGACTATCGGAGTCAAACAACATGGGATGCACAGGTGTTCCATTCCTCTCCCACTACCTCCCTTCATCAATTCTCTTATTCTTTCTCTTTATTTTTCTTCCTTCCTTTCTTGGCTGAAACTTCTAGCAGAAGTTGAGCAGTGGGCAATGGTGGAGGGGGAAGTTTCTTAACAATTTTGCTTCCATTTTTTCTGCTACAAATCCACCCCAAGCTGCATCTCCTACTGACAGGAAAAAGATAATGAGTACAGTTAAATTGTCAATGCTTTAAAACCTGCTGAGTTGTGTGAATATGTCATAGTGTGATCCATGACATCAGTCCAGAGGCTTAAGCAGTTGGGAATACATCACTGTATGATCTACGACATCAATTTAGCTTCTTAAGCAAGAAACCAGAAAATCTTAGCTTTCTTTTTTTAGAGTGTTAATAAAGTCCTTATGCTTTAAATGAACACGACAGCTCTTACAAGTCTGATTCATGGGGCTCAGATATAATTGTACAGATTTTCAATTTTCTCCCCTTGAGTTCATAAATTCTGAGCTTAAACTTACAAACACATATTTCAATGCACTGAAATTGGGGGCAGGGTGAGGTAACAAACTTTGGTTCACATAGATAAAAGCTCAGATATCCTGAGTTTTACTACATTGTACTAAACTTTGATTTTGTGTACCCAAAATGAATGCATTCTCAGATGGCACTATTCATTCCACCAGCATTGTTATGCTTATGTGAAGTGGGATTTTGTAGCGCAACGCCTAGAAGGCCTGAATGCAGTAGTCTTAGGAATCCCCTTGGGGACTTTGAGAAGAAGATGCAGTTTGTTTACTGCCAGGCTTGAGGCAGAAATGCTACACACTTCACCTGGGAGTAAGCCCCACTGAACTCAGTGAGACTGGCTCTTAGTAGAGATGCATGAGATGGTACTGTAAGTTCAGTGTCTATTCTTGCTTACATTTCTTTGATAAACTCAGATGCAACATGCCTATAATATTATTAGGCACTGAATTTGTATTCTCAGCTTGAATTCTGTGTGTCCCTATCACAGAAGCAGGGTATTTAAAAGAAATCTCATCCAGTGATTTTTTTAAACGTATGGATTCCCCCTGAATTAAGATGCCATTATTGGAGGCCTATTCACGGAGTGCTCCTCAGGTGTGCACTGAAAGCCAGAGCCACCACACCGGTGCCCAGAAGGATCTCTGGCCGCAATCCAGACAGGACCATGGCCTTTGCTTCCTCAGAAGGACTGAGTTGCACTGGAATTGCCAGAAGGGCACAAGCAGGGCAGGCAGCCGGTGAAGGGCCAAATTCCCCAGGCCATGTTGGTTGCGCAAGACGGTGAGCCGGCTGTGACCCAAGGAAGCCTCGCCTGCCAGACACACGAGGGACGGAGCCATTGCAAATGCCTGACAAGCACTTCCTAGGAGAGAGGAATGTATCTACAGAATAAAGGATTTACTTCTGCCTATTGCTTATTTGTGCAGCCAAAGCCATGACAAAGCAATGAAACTAAGAAGGATTTCACTGAGCATCCCCACAAACTTCCCCCCTTTTGAGAAATGCAAGGGAGCCGAAAGGAAAGCGAGAGGAGGGCCCAACGGCTCCGCCTGCGGAGAGACTTCAGTCCCAGGCGAAGAGGCACTTTCGGGCCCGTTGCTCCCGGGGAGGCGGACGCTCTTCCCCGCCGCCTCCACCCCCGCCCCACCGGCAGCTCAGAGCGGCGTCTGACGGGGCGGGCAGCGCGGCGCGAGGAGGGGCCACATGTTGACGGGCAGGCGGAGCAGCCAACGCCGAGGCCGAAAGGCGAGCGCGGCGGGGGAGCCCAGAAGCGGCTCTCGCGCTGCCGCGTCCGCGGTTTCCCGCCCTTTTCTTCGTTTGGCCTGAGGCGCTGGAAAGGGCGGGAAGGAGGCGGCGGCGGCGGCGGTGTCCCTCGCCCCTCGCGAGGCGAAGCTCGCCTCAGAGTTCTCCCCAGAAGCCGAGGAGGGTCCGGGCCCCGACCAAGCAAGTCTCCGGCCCGGGAGGCCAGGAGAGGAAGGCCGCGCTCCCCCTCGCCGATCGCAGCCGCCATGGACAGGCTCCCGCGAGGCCCGGGAAAGAACGGAAGACATTCTCCTGGTCACTTCCAAGCCCGCGAGAGCTTTCGGCGCCTGGTCTGGCTCGTTTTGGCTGCCACGGGACTCCTCTCCTTGTCTCCAGCCACGAGTCGGGTGCCGCGGCATCAGATGGCGCCCTTGGGAGACCTGCCCTGGGGTCGGGCCCACTCCGGAACCCAGGAAGCGGCGGCTGCTGGCGGCCTCTCTCGCCTCAGGGCCCCGCCGCCCGTCTGACTACCCTTCAGGCACAAAATCCACCGTAGCTCCTCTGTGGGGAGATAATGTCATGTTTCCCCTGTCAAGAGCAGAGATTTAGAAATAATCACCAGTATGAAAGTGCTTATGTCATTTGAGTAGGATTAGGCTGAAATAGAAACCACGGAGATGAGGAATTCTATCTCTCACAATCAAATTAAAGCGTTTCTGCCTTTTGTGAAATGCCAGGCTTCATTTGCCTTAATAGGTTGTGACAACTTGAGGCTTTGGTGAAATCCTCTTAGGAAGAATGTTAGGGGGCTTCTTTGTTCTCCACCCTGTAATCATGGAGCTAAGAACAAAGGTGACATCGCTCGCCTTTGTAGACGCACTAATAGCGCCTCGTGCAAGTGCGGAATAGTTTTAGCTTTTGCATAGTCATAGCCGTTTCTCAATGGATGCAGCATGCAACTCTGGATAACCTGAATTAAGAAAGAACAAGGATTACAGGGGAAAGATCCCAAAGTTTCAAGCAGTGTGATACCAAGGTTTTGTGACAAAATAGTCAGGAGTCCTGCAAGGGGCATCCAGGCATATAGTGCTTACTCTTGAAGTGACCCACCTGCTGCAAATTTCATACAATACTCCAATGAAACATCAGGAACAACTACTGAGTAAGATCCCATGGTCAGAAATACTCAGAGAGAAGGGAGTCCAAGACTGATGGGAGTTTCCTTAAGATGAAATTTTGAAGGTCCAAATGCAGACATTTCCAACAAGAAAGAAAAGCGGGAGGCATCTAAGGAAACCGGTGTGGCTACATAAGGAGCTTACAGATGAACTGAGAGTTAAGAAGGGAATGTATAAGAAATAGAAGAATGGAGAAATCACAAAGGAGGAGTATACACAAGTAGCCAATAGATGTAGGGTGAATGTCAGGTGGGCTAAAGCTCAGTATGAGCTCAGGCTTGCAAGAGAGGTTAAAAATAATAATAAAGGTTTATTCAGCTATGCTCGAAGGAAGAGGAAGAACAAGCAAGTGGTAGGTCATTTGCATGGAGAAGACAGAGCAATGCTCTTGGGTGACAGGGAGAAGGCGGAACTCCTTAACATATACTTTTTCTCTGTCTTCACACAGTAAGGCTTTTGATGAAGCCCCTCATGATGTTCTTGAGAGGAAGCTGGTAAAATGTGGGCTGGATGAGATAACTGTTAAGTGGATTTGTAGCTGGTTGACTTACTGAACCCAAAGAATACCTCGCTAATGGTTCCTCATCATGCTGGAAAAAAAGTGAAAAGTGGGGTGCTGCAGGGTTCTGTCCTGGGCCCATTGTCTTTATAAATGACTTGGATGAAGGAATTGCTACAGAAGACAGAATTGGGATTCAAGATGACTAACAGATTGGAGAAGACTGGGCCAAAACTAACAAAATGCATTTCAATACTACTACTACTACTACTACTACTACTACTAATTTATACCATGCCCATCTGGCTGGGTTTCCCTAGCCACTCCAACAAAATATTAAAATATGATAGCTTCCCTAAACAGGGCTGCCGTCAGATGTCTTCTAAAATTCTGGTAGTTGTTTTTCTCTTTGACATCTGGTGGGAGGGCGTTCTACAGGGCAGGTGCTGCTACCGAGAAGGCCCTCTGCCTGGTTCCCTATAACTTGGCTTCACGCAGTGAGGGAACCGCCAGAAGACCCTCGGCGCTGGACCTCAGTGTCTGAGCAGAACGATGGAGGTGGAGATGTTCCTTCAGGTATACTGGACCGAGGCCGTTTAAGGCTTTAAAGGTCAGCACCAACACTTTGAATTGTGCGCAGAAACGTACAGTAGGTCTTTCAAGACCAGTGTTATGTGGTCTTTGTGGCCACTCCCAGTCATCAGTCTAGCTGCTGCATTCTGGATTAGTTGTAGTTTCTGGGTCACCTTCAAAGGTAGCCCCACATAGAGCACATAGCAGTAGTCCAAGCGAGAGATAACTAGAGCATGCACCACTCTGGCGAGACAGTCTGCGGGCAGGTAGGGTCTCAGCCTGTGTACCAGATGGAGCTGATAAACAGCTGCCCTGGACACAGAATTGACCTGCGCCTCCATGGACAGCTGTGAGTCCAAAATGACTTCCAAGCCGTGCAGCTGGTCCTTCAGGGTCACAGTTACCCCATTCAGGACCAGGGAGTCCTCCACACCTGCCCACCTCCTGTCTCCTGAAAACAGTACTTCTGTCTTGTCAGGATTCAACTTCAATCTGTTACCTGCCATCCATCCTCCAACCACCTCCAGACACTCGCTCAGGACCTTCACCTCCTTCACTGGTTCTGATTTGAAAGAGAGTTAGAGCTGGGTATCATCCGGATATTGATGAACACCCAGCTCAAGCCCCTGATGATCTCTCCCAGTGGCTGCATGTAGATGTTGAAAAGCATGGGGGAGGACAGAACCTTGAGGCACCCCAAAAGTGAGAGCCCAGGGGTCTGAACACTCACCCCCCACTCTCTGAACATGGCCCAGGAGGAAGGAGCGGAACCACTGCCTAGGGTGCCCCCAGCTCCTAGGGGGACAAATGGAAGCTTCTACATTTAGACAGGAAGAACCAGATGCACAAATATAAGATGAGGGACACCTAGTTGCCAGTAGTACATGTGAAAATGATCTAGGGTGTCACAGAGTGAGCTGTCAGAAAAGCACACTGCTTAAAGTTGGAGTTAACTCTTTATTGTAAAGACACAATTTTCACAGATTTTGCTGAGTGTCAGATCTAATTGCAGAGACTGAAACTCAGCTTTCTCACAGCCATCAAAGTCCTCTCCTCTCCGGTGCTTCCCCCAAGCAATCTGAGACTGTGTCTGCATGCAGCCTGCCCTTCCTCCTCCCATTTCAACCCTTTTTGGTTCTGGGAGATGGGAGGAGAGCTTGTTGCAGCAGGAGGGGGAGATGCCCTTGACTCTTCACCTGTGTACATCAATGGCTGATCATTACATGGTCCATGACACTGTGATCCATCCATGCCCCCCTTGAAGTTGCTCTGATTGACCAAAGCCAAGAGACTTGAGTCCATGAATGGACTGGAGGTGACCATCCTAATGAAGCTCGAACTCCCAAGATCCCAGACTGCTGCCAAAGCACTTGGTCTACAGCACTCAACTGCCTGTGCTTGGCACTTGCGACTGAAATTATTAGAGGCACTTTGCCCAGTGAGTCCCAGGTAGCAAACGGCACATGGACACAGAGCCTTTGCCAAGCAACTGAGACCAACAGCCCCTCGTGATGAAGTGTAGGCCTGGTTACTGAGAAGGAGCCATTTCATGTTTTGGAAAGTGTCAGTGTGACACTTCTTGGTCTGCACGTTAATCATGGCCCCCGGCCCAGATTTATGCACACTATGAGTGCCTCCCTTTATTCCATAATAAATCTTGCAACTTCTGCTCCTGCTTTGGCCATACTAAAGAGAGGTTTTAATAGCAATTGTGAGTTCCAGGAATGAAACTCCCAGCATGCCATTATCCTCAGTCTTGATTACCTCAAAACACCTTGAACATCTCAGCACTGATAAATTGGGCACCTTGATTTCCCTAATTCAATGATAATAGAACCATTTTTAAAAATGCAGCTCCTGAATTTTGAAACATTCTTTGTTCTAACAATTCGTTCTCATGAATTATTTTGCTTCATTAATTTCATACATAAATTACATTTGAATCATTCTGTTGCTGAGTAAAACACTCGAGATTAAATGTATCATGCACATGAGCTGCTGATGCTGTACATGGACACATTAATCAACCCTCCCATTTTCTCCTATCTGGTCATGCATCACATATTGATCACATTCTTATTTCAGCCACTCAAATGACTTCAGGACTGTGCCTTGGAAGCCAAAGGGGGTGGAGTGGGGGATGAAGGCAGGGCAGGGCAACCCCATCACAACATGAGCCTGTGACGTGGCCCATGACCAATACTCCAGCCACCCCATCGCACCAGTCCTCAGCAATGTTATTGGTATAAGGCAGGTGAATTGTGGCTGGTGAAGAGCACTTGGCAGACCTCTCAGTGTGGCAGGTGAGAAGGCCAGCTGGATTCCTGAGCTGGTGAGCCTCCCAACTTAGTGTCCTGGTCACTGATGGACTCTGGGATTGTGGCACTCCAGATGCAATTCATCACTTGTTCACTTGCCAGCAACACCGAAGGAAAGGTTCACTCAGGAGTAACCTCTGCTGGTGTGCTGACAGACCCCTTCAAATGCTCCCTTCCGTCACTGGCTGTGGCATTGTCCGGAACCACCATAGCACAGCTTCTGTCCTGTACAAATATGCGGAGCCCTACTCCTCCTCCTCTGCTGGCACTGCTCTGTGGGAATGTCTGACTGCTCTGTGGGAATGTCTGAATGTCTGACACCCCTGCCTGTTGCCCATGGTGAATCAGCACCACTTTTGCTGGAAGCAGTAAGCCATTCCATGGGAACTCCAGGCTGGGCCCCAAGATCTGATCACCCCCAAAAGACATTCCCTACTTGCACAGGCACTCGTGTCGCTGTTATTGGAGGGGCAGGAAACAAAACTTTTGGTTTGCTTATTGAGACACCCCCAATCTCACACACAAAGTGAACAAAAGCACCACATAAAAACATTGGAAGAGCCTGCTGGAGTCCAGCATCCTTTCCTCAGTGGCCAGCCAGATGCCTCAACAAGAAGCCAGCAAGAAGAATGTGAACACAAGAGCACCTCCTCCTCCTGTGGATCCTAGCAGCTGGTCTTTGGCAGCATTGCTGTCTCCCCATGGCTATTGGCCTTTGATAGCCCTCCTCTCCTCTGTGAATTTGTCTAATCCACTTTTAAAGCCACCCAAGTTGATGGCCATCACGGCCTCCTGAGGCAGAGAGTTCCATAATTGCTCTCTAAAAAGAGAGGCCCTTTCCCTTTGAACTAGGGTGCCTTGTAAATCTGGATGGACTGACGGATGGGAGACAATGGGGGCCCAGACTTGCCTGGAGGGAGAAGATGATTCAAGAAGTCAGGGCAGAATTCCCTCTTCAG